AATGACTGTTTCGTGCTCCTAACGACCAATACTAACCACCCCTATCACCCGTTTTTCGATTTTGGGAAAGTAATTTTTGGCCCAAATTTCGCATTTTTGATAAGGGGTACCATCATCAAAATTTTCAAAAATGGGCCAAAAATGAAGTTTCCCAGATTTGAATGCAAACCGATTGGGAATCATGGCAATCAAGTTACGAGCACTACGAGGTATTACATTTCTCATTTGGACTATTTTTGGCTGTGCTATGGCCAAAGAACTGATTTTTTTGTGCCCAAAATCAAGTTTACTTATGGCAGCAGGGAGTCCTGTTTTGTTGCCGTTTCTTAGCTCTAACTTTGTTAATACAAGACGCACGGCTAAAACAATGACTGTTTTATGCAGCTAACAACCGAAACTAAACACCCTTATACTTGCTTTTATCATTATTGCTCTGATTTTTCGGTGCGAGCTCTGGAAAACGATTTTTAACAGAAATTTGGAATACTATGTTCGGGTTTTTAGCTCTAGCTCGGTCAAAACAGGACGCACAGCCAAAAGAATGACTGTTTCGTGCTGCTAACGACCAATACTAACCACCCCTATCACCCGTTTTTCGATTTTGGGAAAGTCATTTTTGGCCCAAATTTCGCATTTTTGATAAGGGGTACCCCTCATCATACCCCCCATCATCAAAACTTTCAAAAATGGGCCAAAAATGAAGTTTCCCAGATTTGAATGCAAACCGATTGGGAATCATGGCAATCAAGTTACGAGCACTACGAGGTATTACATTTCTCATTTGGACCATTTTTGGCTGTGTTACGGCTAAAGAACTGATTTTTTTGTGCCCAAAATTATGCTACGTCTTTTGACAGCAGAGAGAGCGGCTTGTTGCCGTTTCTTAGCTCTAACTTTGTGAAAACAAGCCGTATGGCTAAAGCAGTGGCTGTTTTATGCAGCTAACTACCGAAACTTAACACCTATATACTTACTTTTTGCGTTATTGTTCTGGTTTTTTAATGCGAGCTCTGTATTTAGGGCTGTATAATCCGGAAACCCATTTTAACAGAAATTTGCAACATTATTTTCGGTTTTTTAGCTCTAGCTCAGCCAAAACAAGCCGCACAGCCAAAAGAATGACTGTTTCGTGCTGCTAACGACCAATACTAACCACCCCTATCACCCGTTTTTCGATTTTGGGAAAGTCATTTTTGGCCCAAATTTCGCATTTTTGATAAGGGGTACCATCATCAAAATTTTCAAAAATGGGCCAAAAATGAAGTTTCCCAGATTTGAATGCAAACCAATTGGGAATCATGGCAATCAAGTTACGAGCCCTACGAGGTATAACATTCCTCCTTAGGACCAATTTTGGCTGTGCTATGGCCAAAGAACTGATTTTTTTGTGCCCAAAATCAAGTATACGTCTTATGGCAGCAGGAAGTCCGGTTTTGTTGCCGTTTCTTAGCTCTAACTTTGTTAATACAAGACGCACGGCCAATTAAATGACTGTTTTATGCAGCTAACAACCAAAACTTAACACCCCTATACTTGCTTTTATCATTATTGCTCTGATTTTTCGGTGCGAGCTCTGGAAAACGATTTTTAACAGAAATTTGCAATACTATGTTCGGGTTTTTAGCTCTAGCTCGGTCAAAACAGGACGCACAGCCAAAAGAATGACTGTTTCGTGCTGCTAACGACCAATACTAACCACCCCTATCACCCGTTTTTCGATTTTGGGAAAGTAATTTTTGGCCCAAATTTCGCATTTTTGATAAGGGGTACCATCATCAAAATTTTCAAAAATGGGCCAAAAATGAAGTTTCCCAGATTTGAATGCAAACCGATTGGGAATCATGGCAATCAAGTTACGAGCCCTACGAGGAATTACATTTCTCATTTGGACTATTTTTGGCTGTGCTATGACCAAAAAACTGATTTTTTTGTGCCCAAAATCAAGTATACGTCTTATGGCAGCAGGGAGTCCTGTTTTGTTGCCGTTTCTTAGCTCTAACTTTGTTAATACAAGACGCACGGCTAAAACAATGACTGTTTTATGCAGCTAACAACCGAAACTAAACACCCCTATACTTGCTTTTATCATTATTGCTCTGATTTTTCGGTGCGAGCTCTGATTTAATGGCAGAAAATTCAAGAAATCTATTTCTATCAGATATTTGCAATACTATGTTCGGTTTTTTAGCTCTAGCTCGGTCAAAACAAGAAGCACAGCCAAAAGAATGACTGTTTCGTGCTGCTAACGACCAATACTAACCACCCCTATCACCCGTTTTTCGATTTTGGGAAAGTCATTTTTGGCCCAAATTTCGCATTTTTGATAAGGGGTACCATCATCAAAATTTTCAAAAATGGGCCAAAAATGAAGTTTCCCAGATTTGAATGCAAACCAATTGGGAATCATGGCAATCAAGTTACGAGCCCTACGAGGTATAACATTCCTCCTCAGGACCAATTTTGGCTGTGCTATGGCCAAAGAACTGATTTTTTTGTGCCCAAAATCAAGTATACGTCTTATGGCAGCAGGAAGTCCGGTTTTGTTGCCGTTTCTTAGCTCTAACTTTGTTAATACAAGACGCACGGCCAATTTAATGACCGTTTTATGCAGCTAACAACCAAAACTTAACACCCCTATACTTGCTTTTATCATTATTGCTCTGATTTTTCGGTGCGAGCTCTGGAAAACGATTTTTAACAGAAATTTGCAATACTATGTTCGGGTTTTTAGCTCTAGCTCGGTCAAAACAGGACGCACAGCCAAAAGAATGACTGTTTCGTGCTGCTAACGACCAATACTAACCACCCCTATCACCCGTTCTTCGATTTTGGGAAAGTAATTTTTGGCCCAAATTTCGCATTTTTGATAAGGGGTACCATCATCAAAATTTTCAAAAATGGGCCAAAAATGAAGTTTCCCAGATTTGAATGCAAACCGATTGGGAATCATGGCAATCAAGTTACGAGCCCTACGAGGAATTACATTTCTCATTTGGACTATTTTTGGCTGTGCTATGACCAAAAAACTGATTTTTTTGTGCCCAAAATCAAGTATACGTCTTATGGCAGCAGGGAGTCCGGTTTTGTTGCCGTTTCTTAGCTCTAACTTTGTTAATACAAGACGCACGGCCAATTTAATGACCGTTTTATGCAGCTAACAACCAAAACTTAACACCCCTATACTTGCTTTTATCATTATTGCTCTGATTTTTCGGTGCGAGCTCTGGAAAACAATTTTCAACAGAAATTTGCAATACTATGTTCGGGTTTTTAGCTCTAGCTCGGTCAAAACAGGACGCACAGCCAAAAGAATGACTGTTTCGTGCTGCTAACGACCAATACTAACCACCCCTATCACCCGTTTTTCGATTTTGGGAAAGTAATTTTTGGCCCAAATTTCGCATTTTTGATAAGGGGTACCATCATCAAAATTTTCAAAAATGGGCCAAAAATTAAGTTTCCCAGATTTGAATGCAAACCGATTGGGAATCATGGCAATCAAGTTACGAGCCCTACGAGGAATTACATTTCTCATTTGGACTATTTTTGGCTGTGCTATGACCAAAAAACTGATTTTTTTGTGCCCAAAATCAAGTATACGTCTTATGGCAGCAGGGAGTCCGGTTTTGTTGCCGTTTCTTAGCTCTAACTTTGTTAATACAAGACGCACGGCCAATTTAATGACCGTTTTATGCAGCTAACAACCAAAACTTAACACCCCTATACTTGCTTTTATCATTATTGCTCTGATTTTTCGGTGCGAGCTCTGGAAAACAATTTTCAACAGAAATTTGCAATACTATGTTCGGGTTTTTAGCTCTAGCTCGGTCAAAACAGGACGCACAGCCAAAAGAATGACTGTTTCGTGCTGCTAACGACCAATACTAACCACCCCTATCACCCGTTTTTCGATTTTGGGAAAGTAATTTTTGGCCCAAATTTCGCATTTTTGATAAGGGGTACCATCATCAAAATTTTCAAAAATGGGCCAAAAATGAAGTTTCCCAGATTTGAATGCAAACCAATTGGGAATCATGGCAATCAAGTTACGAGCACTACGAGGTATTACATTTCTCATTTGGACCATTTTTGGCTGTGTTACGGCTAAAGAACTGATTTTTTTGTGCCCAAAATTATGCTACGTCTTTTGACAGCAGAGAGAGCGGCTTGTTGCCGTTTCTTAGCTCTAACTTTGTGAAAACAAGCCGTATGGCTAAAGCAGTGGCTGTTTTATGCAGCTAACTATCGAAACTTAACACCCATATACTTACTTTTTGCGTTATTGTTCTGGTTTTTTAATGCGAGCTCTGTATTTAGGGCTGTATAATCAGGAAACCGATTTTTAACAGAAATTTGCAACATTATTTTCGGTTTTTTAGCTCTAGCTCAGCCAAAACAAGCCGCACAGCCAAAAGAATGACTGTTTCGTGCTGCTAACGACCAATACTAACCACCCCTATCACCCGTTTTTCGATTTTGGGAAAGTAATTTTTGGCCCAAATTTCGCATTTTTGATAAGGGGTACCATCATCAAAATTTTCAAAAATGGGCCAAAAATGAAGTTTCCCAGATTTGAATGCAAACCAATTGGGAATCATGGCAATCAAGTTACGAGCCCTACGAGGTATAACATTCCTCCTTGGGACCAATTTTGGCTGTGCTATGGCCAAAGAACTGATTTTCTTGCCCAAAATCAAGTATACGTCTTATGGCAGCAGAGAGTCGGGCTTGTTGCCGTTTCTTAGCTCTAACTTTGTCAAAACAAGCCGCATAGCTGAAACAATTATTTTATGCAGCTAACTACCGAAACTAAAGACTCCCATACTTGCTTTTATCATTATTGCTCTGATTTATCGGTGCGAGCTCTGATTTAACGACTGAGAAATCAGGAAACCTCTTTTTCGGTTCGAGCTCTGATTTAATGGCTAAAAAATCAATAAACCTAATTGATTATAGGTTTTATATAGTCACTCTTAAATCTTAAGGAAATGATTACTTACTTGAGATTAGTTAGGTTTTGTTTGGTTGGGCATAAGAATTGTCCGAGGTCGCATTGTAGGTGGCATTCAACTTCATCCTCTCCCGAAGTGCAGTCGGGATAGCCATCGCAAAGCCACGTTTTCTGTAAATAAAAAATAAAAACATTAAAATAAAAAAAACAAAAAGAGTTTGCTATGTCATACCAAAATGCAGCGTCCATTGTTGCAGGTGAACTCATCCGACCCGCAAGTCAACGGATGCTCAGACCCCAAGCTTCCACAATCGTTCTCATCTTCGCCGCCGTCACAATCCTGTTCCTTGTCACACTTCCAGCGTTTCGGGATACAGGTTCCATCGGCGCACTTGTATTCATTTGAGGTACATAGCGATGGTTTCTGTGGACAATTCTCCTCATCACTCCAGTCCCCACAATCGTTGTCGCCATCGCAGCGGAAACGATTGAGGATACACTGTCCACTGGGACCACCAGCACCACCCAAACCACCGCGGCACTTGAACTCGCCCTCCGGGCAGCTGTTAATCACCGCCGCACACTTGAGTTCATCCGAGTTATCGTTGCAATCGTGCTCGCCATCGCAACGAAATGCCAGGGAAATGCAATAGCCATCGTTACAGGTGAAATGCTCATCCGTGCAGGTGGTACGATTGCAATGTGTTTCGTCCGAGAAATCCTTGCAATCGTTTTCTCCATCACAGACCCATGTCCGTGGAATACAGAATCCGTTCATACACTCGAACTGATCATCCGTACAATTTGTCCGGGCACCGCAATGCGTTTCGTCGGAATAATCACCGCAATCGTCATCGCCATCGCATAGCCAATATTTGCTAATACAACGAAAGGTTCGTGGACACATTACATGTATCCCAGTTTTTTCGCAATCTCTCTGCAAATTGGGCATCGTATCCTCTTCGGTTTGGCAATTCTCATCGGATTCATTCGAGTTTTGACAGTTGGAGTAGGTCTCACCCGGCTGACTGGGATCATCCTGCACCAGAACAGCTAGATTAACTCTAAATGGCTTCTGTTTATTACTAGGTCCACCGATGAATCCATCTCGGCCACGTGAACTGATTCGATCAGTCTCTCGAATCCCAGTGATTTCTGTCCGGCCTCTTTGGGCACCGATATTACGGAATTTGGGTGTGTCATTGGGATTGGAGCCACCAGGTACTCTTGCCTTCGATGGCGCAGATGATTCCATCGTATGCAATCTACCTTCGCCACTGTGATGGACTTCTTGGCTATCCTCGTTATTAGTATTTTGATAAGGCGGATAATTGGAAACAGGGAAGAGCTTATCGCCAAATTTGCTCAACTCCTCGGATAGTTGGTCTTCCCGTGACTCGTTTCCCGTTTCTAAATGCCCAATCCTGGCATCTGTATGCAACTGTTTGTGCTTATTCCAGTCCCAACGCCCCAATGCGTTTGTCGGATGTATTCCATAATGGGGCGCGTTACGCTTCACAGCAAATTTCGTCAAATCGCCAAGACCGAAACCTAGTCAAAAGTTATATTTATTAAAAATATTTATTTCTTTTAATATATATTTTATCTTTCAGAAAGGTTATCAAATTTACAGGCTACAGTCAGAAGACTACTCAAAATATTAATCATCACCTTTGTATGTTTAAGTGCTAACCAACCAACTAAACGTGGGTGACAAATACGTCATTTAAATCGAAATATAAACATAAAAAGGTCCCTCCTGCAATAGTATCTGAACTACATATAAAAAAGGAATAATCTAATTAAATCCCTTAAAAGAAAATATTTTTAAGTGGTAGTTTGCAGTGGGTTGGTTTTAATTGGAAGGATTTAGGTGTTTTGTTTTAAGTCTGTATATAACGTAGGCGTTAACAGATATCTCCATGAACGATTCATTCGCAATCTCAATACTTACAGAGCCACACGAAGCATACCAATGGCCAAAAGGGAAAGGCTGTCAAATACATGTCCAGACATGTACACAAACTCGCCCACTCATAGGCACGTAACTTAGTAGCGGTATGCGAGCTTTACTGCTTTTGCTGCCAAAGCATTTGCTGCCCTGCTAAGCGGATGCTGCTGCTGTGCTGTTGCTTTTCTGCTGCGTTCTGTTCCGATTCTGTTGAAAGAAAGGAAGGGGGAAAAGAGGAAGATGAGCGCTTGCGTATAACACATTTGTAGCTCTCGAGGCGGATCTAGAGTTTTATTTTGGGGGCGGAACTTTTTAAATAATGAAATTCGCTTAATGATTTTGTCTTGTTATTACATGTATAACAAAAAGTTTGTAGTTGCATTTGGTGGGCACAGGGAGGGGTTCAGACTCTCTGCGAATCCCGCCCACCTGATGTATCTGTTGTGTATTTTACACCTGACTTAATTTTTGCTTATGTGTAGGTGTCACTTAATAATCTCAGTTCATTGTGTAGTTTTAATGTTTCAATATGATGTTTTTGCTTAAAAACTTTTAAAGTTATTTATATTTATTTAAATTGTTTATTCACTTTTTTGGTTTATTAAAGCCAAACTTTGTTGCTGTTACACCCTTAACATTTTTTGTATTACGTTCTCTAAGTGGGAGGTTCAAACTGGGCACGAAAACTTTGTGCGTCGAAGATCTTATGACTTCCACTTTAAAGACTTTTGCACAAAAACCATATACGGCACATTTCTCATAGCTTTACTTAGTTTTTATCATATTTACACATTGAGCCCGGTAGAACCATTGCTCATTTATCGAATGCGTGGGTTTGGCACAAGGTTTAGTATTTCATAAGTGTGTATAAAGGTGTTTATAAAGTTCTGCAAAAATGTTGGTACTTTGTTGGTATTTATATATGTCATGCGCACCACACACGCAAACATATGCATATTAAACACAAGATTTTTAAAAATCTATTAAAACTTATGCACTTTTCTATGCTGATTAACAACAGTCACGACTGATCTAAATAGTTTATACGTTCAACACATATTTGTGGTTAACGTTCACGTTAAAGACAAAAAATTTTCGTACAGCACGCCTCTTGTCTTCTTAGGGAATATAACGTATATAAAATTTCCGGAGATTACAGCATCCCTTAGTCGGAAAACAATGTCGGTAAACGCGAATGTTAAACTTAACTCTCGTGTCCTGTACAAAGTTTTCTCTTCATCTTAAAGCTTTTGCGGGAAACAGAGCTTTTGGCAGTTTAACGCAAGAGGGGGTAAAAATTTATTTGCTTCAGCTTATTTATCACTGTCCTTAAATAACAAACCTCATTAAAAACCTTATTTTTTAATCTACAATGCTGTTTTATTTTGTATGTTAAAACCATCTACGGCATCCATATTTTCAATATCAATTTCCTAGAACCCAATAAAAACAATTCAAATTGTGCTGTATATAATTTTAGTGCGCAGTTTCAGATGTTAATAACGTCTTCTGGACCAGAATAAATTAAGTTAGCATAAATAAATAAAATAATGCTTTAAATATAAGAGGTAATTGCCAAAGCACAAGTCAGAGTACAATTTTTCTGGGACAATCACAACGTGACAATCAACAGGTGCATTGGCGGTTATTTTTACGAAGTGTAAGGGCGTTCTGCAGAATAAGTTTGTGATTGAATAATTATAAATTACTGATTATGTTGTAAAATGATTAGTATATGCTAAGTGAAGATCAACTAAAGTCATCATTCTCCCCACTTATTTATTTTTTTAAAATATCGTTATGTGAATCAGATGAAAGGTGGCAACGCCCGTTCATTTTTTAGTATATTTATTTTCTGCCCAGGGGTGCAGATTTCTGTATGATCCCCAGATCTTCTCCATCCAATCGATCGTAAAATACAATATTCCAACGTAGATCAAAGGAACGGTTGGGATTGTTGCAGGATGTGACACTGTACATTTAAATAATTTAAAAAAATTAAAGGTAGAAATTTAATTTAATGGTTCTTTTCCTATCACAGGTTACGTTTTTTTAATAACCATTGAACATTTAATGCTGTGTTAAGGGTCAATATATTTTTCGATCAACTGACAACGATCGTGACTAGTGGGTAAAGGCTATCTCTCTTGAAAACTGAACTAGTTTATTTAAGTATAAGGTGTAACTATCTGGTTCATACAAATGCTTTGTCCACGCCGGTTGAGTGGCAAACGTGTGCAACTTCGAGTAAATTTTTCTAAATAGTTTTATTATTTTACTCGAAGGAGTTCTGTGTAGTTTGTATATAATACAAAATAGTCAGAAGGTGTTTATCTTGATAGCACACGTTATTCGACTAGTTTTTGATCAAATCGATCGTGTATATTTATGTATGTATGTACATACTTTTATGTATGTGCATGTGAGTATTAAAGACTTTTTTGAACAGGTCGAAAACATATGTAAATAAAGCCATATAATGTGCATACGAATAAATCAAAGTCGTACGAATATAAGCTATCAAATAATTACCGAGAAAACCAAATGAAATATTTTTCAACAGTGTGGCCTTAACAAATTCATTGAAGTGAAAAACAAGTTCCAAATATACTTACGATCGTTTCTTGTCGTACGCAGTATTCCATATCAGAGTTCCCCTAAAATTCTTGATAATTCGGTACACATAAATGGCCTAAGGGTGACGCGAGAGAACCCAAATGCTTTAAACCACACTTTTTCGCCAAACAATGGATCTTTTATGTTCAGAAAATATAGTTTACGAATCTGATTCATCATTGTATCGATTAAACAAATGCCAACAAAAAATGTCTGCGCCGGTGATCATGCGGGAGCCATCATCGATATGCTCGCCAATGGGAGCTGTTAAGCCCGATTCTGATCCAGAGCCAAGTCCTTCGAACTTCCAACAAGACGATACCGTTGTTTGCAATATGAAGGAAATTATGTATATATATGCATCGGTAGACTCGGCTACGAAGAATCCAGAAGAATTGGAACAGCCACAACCAGCGCAAACTTATGCGCGTTACATCAGCAATCAACCGACGTCACAAACCCAACGACTTCAAGATTATCTGACCAAAACAGCCGATCCGCCCGCAACGGACAACGTGAACACCGCCATCAGTGATCCCACATTGTATTCAGATAGGTGCTTGGAGAATGCCCTCAAGGCCGAGGAGAAACACCACCAAATTGTCGACACGTACTTCAACATTCAAAAGGATATTACTCCCCCGATGCGTAAAATTGTCGCCGAATGGATGATGGAGGTAAGTATCGCTTTTTATTGTATTATATTTGTTTTTAATCGCAAACCATTATTTCATTTTCATTCATAGCATATTTGTAGTTTTTCATACAATAGTCTTATTTACATTCTCCCCTTTCCCATATTGCTTTACAGGTGTGTGCTGAAGAAAATTGCCAGGAAGAGGTCGTGTTACTGGCTTTGAATTACATGGATCGTTTTCTTTCGAGCAAATCAGTACGAAAGACTCATCTACAAATTCTAGCTGCAGCTTGTCTCTTACTTGCTTCCAAACTCCGAGAGCCAAGCTGTCGGGCCCTTTCCGTAGATCTACTAGTTGTTTACACGGATAACAGCATTTACAAGGACGACTTAATTGTAAGTACTTGTTAGTTTGTGATAAAAAAGCATAAGCTGTTTCTTTTCCTTTTTAATATTATATTATTTGTCTCTTTTTATTCATTTTTTTAGAAATGGGAGCTATATGTGCTAAGTCGATTGGGTTGGGACCTTTCATCTGTGACTCCTTTGGATTTCCTTGAGCTTTTAATGATGCGACTGCCGATCGGAAGTAAAAACTTTCCGGACATTAATATTGGAAAAGTAAGGGGACATGCTCAGGCATTTATATCACTGGCAGCAAAAGGTAAGTGTAAACAATTTCATTCTAAATATTGGGTACTGATCATAGCTATCTCTTTGTTTAAAAGAACATAAATTTGCCAAGTTCTCGGCCAGCACAATAGCAGCATCAAGCATAGCTGCCTCGATGAATGGCTTGAAATGGCATCTGCGGTCCGGACATAACTTACATTTCCTTTTGAGTCTTATGACTGACCTAACTAGCGTGGAACAAGTAAGTATAAGGAAAGAATTGCTTTGTTGTCTGGAATTCACTTCTTTCTGTGAACAGGCTCAGGTTCAGGATTGCATGTTACACATGGAAGACATATTCAAGGAGCACAGTCGAAACCTGCAGCCATTTCTAGTAAACATTGATCCTTCACAAATGTCAACATTATACTATCAGGGTCGTTTTCAAATTCATCAAAACCAGCATCTATCGCAAATCTCACTTAGAAACTTGCCACTGCCGAAAACGCCAGCCGATTGCGTTGAGCATCAGCAGCAACATAATTTCGGGTCTGCGGCGCCACATCGAACACATACGTGCAAAATGCAGGCGCAGGCTCAAAACGAGTTGCAAGACGTTACATTTTGAGGTGTCAAATAGTAATACAACATAATAGTTATACTAGATTTAAGAATAAAATAAAATATATATATATATAAATATCACACAATTTTGAATATTGTATAGGATCACGATTACACTACATATTCCTATCACTGTAAGATTGTTCAACATTACAATATTTACATCCAACCCGATGTATTTTTATGTACCCAACTAATTTTGTAATCGAACTATGGGTTTATAGTGTAACTATCATTAATATAGTAGTTAACATAGCCTAAGATAATCATCATGAAACTAAAATGGATAAAGCGTAAAAAAAAAACGAGACTGATTGCAAACAGTAAAGCAACATTTTATATTCTGTATATAAGTTTTTCGAAAACCTACCCAGATAACCAAAAAATAAAAACTATTAAAATAAAAGTTTTACAAAAACCATCCAACATAAAAGGAATAACAATATGTTAAAGTTAAATTTAACAGAAGATTTGGATAATAATATTCGTAGTTGGTAATAAATAATAGGAAACAAAAAATTGTATTGTTTTCTTATTTTAACTGCAAGGCTTGTATATATTAATAATAATATTAATATTTACCCGAAATCCAAAATTTATTAAGAAAAACGCATAATAGTTTAATTTTGTTTATTTTCTTATTAACATACGACTATAAACAAGAATCATTAAAGACCATAACCTTAACACACATAATATTTTTCACTTGAATAGTTTTTTAAAGATTTTTAAGGACATACCCAATGCTAAATAATATTTTTTTGCATTTATTTCTGTTTTGTATTGAAGATAGTCCATACAATTTTTAAGGTGAGTACATAGTTAATTTGACCATCAATGTAGAAGCATTGTAACACTGCATATAACGATTTTGTTTATTTTTTTTTTTTGTGTATTAGTTATCCTTCAGTTTTCAGTTTTATTTGAGCTTTTAAAAAAAATACTGGCTTTATTGCACTCCTGCAATAGATGTTGCATCCATCTCATTCACAAATATCATTATAATACCCTCTCTGTAAAACGAAACTATAAACCTAAGATTGTTTTTTACATAAAATATAAATACTCATTTTGGAAAATAAATTTATTTTATTACGAGTTTAAATATATACTTTAAAAAGTAAATGTTCCATGATGAAATCAATTCGAAAGCAATAATTTGAATAAATAAATGTCCAAAGCTCTTGAGATACACTGATTAATTTTTCAATAGAATTTCAAAAAAAAAAAACCAACAGACATCCTTTGAAAGCTTTGATTGTGGTGATATGGTGACGCGTTCGAGTGTTTTGCTATTTTGTTTTTCTCTGTAAATAATTTGCATATTGTGCATACTCTTTTTGCTTGGATTACTTGAACCGAGAACTAAAGGCATTTGATAATTCATTAATAGCCGCCTGGCCAACTGCCTGATTCACTTGTCCACGCATACTTTCCGGTACATAGCGATTTGCGCCCGATTGTTGGATAATGGCACCGCCGACAGCTCCAGAAACACGGCTTAAAATATGTACAATTTGATTATTGAATTGGGTAACTTTGATATTGGTAATTTTATAGCAGTTTTATTTATGAAATTTTTTTTGACCATTGCTTTATCAGTGATTTTAACAAGGTCTGTTTGTCATGAAGATTTAAAATGATAACCTCTTAAATTAAAAGTCATAAAAATAATTTGTATTGCTTTTTTATTTAAAAAATAAAATCATTTTTATTAAGCATTGTGAATACATATATAAATATGATTTCTTTGATATATTTATATAATATTTTCTGAGTCTCAACACTTAGATATCAAATCTTTTGCGTCGATTATGCAAAGATTATTCCATCTAGTTATAACCCAACATCGACTTCGCTATGTATGTACATCGGTATATCTATTGAGTTTAGAACAATTTTAAGGTAGATAGATAGAATTTCCCAACCAGAAAGCCATACACACTTATGTAATACGAACAATTTATGTATTTATTTATGCACTTTATTTGTGTATACGTAAACTGGTCATATGTAATATAAGTTTGCTGCATATTTCCATCGTCACAATCCATTTGAGTAAGTCACAAGAGTATTTTCATGACTTATATTTTGTAATCAACGTTAAAAATAATACATTTTACATAAATTATTTGAAACACGTACATTAATTTAGGGTTGTAGTGGCAAAAATATCGGTTTAATGTCAAAACAAAAAATATTTTATGACATTGCTGTATATATAATATATATATATAAATGTTTTTTTTTCTACACATATAATTATGTTAAATAATTTTTGTATGTTATTGGGAATCGATACAAACCACTCAAAAAATAAATTTGTTAATATATATATTTTCTTTTTGAAGTCCCGAAAAAATTTTTGATTACATACATGAAAGATGAAAGGATACATACATAGATAAAATGGTACATTTTAGCTCTTCAAACTGACTTCAATTTCATTTCTTGATTGTTTTTATCGATATAAATTCAGTGTTTTGATATCTTGGTCGGCATTCTCCAAAGACTGCCCAAAACTTAATTGCAAAAACCTAAAAATATTTAAAGGAATGAACAATACAAATAAGCGTTTAACTTAATCGTTTCTTGGAAACGGGCCAGCTAGCTATTCCATTTCCGAAAAAATGTCTTCGGATTGGGAATACATTTTTCTTTAAAAAATTACATTGAAATTTAAACGAATCTTGATGGCGAACAAATAGTTAATCATATGCAAATAACTTATTTTTCAAGCATAAAAATATGTTGATCAAAACAACGAAGGCAAATCGTACTTAAATAGTTTGAATCCCAATAATTGCAATAACTTTATATATATATATAGTTTTTTGCTCTTTCGATTAAATGGAAATGGGGGTATATTAGTTAGTTAGTTGGTTAGATTTATGTTTAAGTTCAAGGAAATACTTTGTGACTGACTTGAAATGTTTTTAACGTTGCTTTTTACCTAACATTTTCTAATTTAATTGGGTTTTATAGTTTAACATCAACAACAACACAATGCAGTTAACGAAAGCTATTTATTAATAGTTAGCTATATAATTAAGATCATTGGTTAATATCGTCACTAAGCATCTGCCCAATACAAATAGTTTACATAACTTTTGAGCGTATGCCATTGATAAGGGGACATCAAATAATAATAATAATTTATAAGACATGCACGAACAAATGCACATACATTTTCACACATATATATTTATATATATATAGGTATGTATGTATATGTATATATATTGTATATCTACACAGGAAAGTAGACTTTAGGACAAAAAAAAAACATCAACATCATCATCATCTTATGGAGTTAAAGAAATCATGTGCATCTCGACTAGTTGCTTTTTCACATATTAAGAATTTATATCAGTTTTTGTTTAACGCTTCAGATTATATATATATGACTACAATAATACGCAAGCGATTTAAATGTATCGATTTCCCATCGTTGTTGATTTTTGGATTTGGATTTTGCCGGAATAATATCAAATTGCAATTGTTGAAAAGTATAATTTTAGGTATTGTGTTGGTTAAGTCGTCAGCAAGCTACATATACTTTTGAAGGTTCTTCCCCTAAGATGTCTCTCTCTTGACGCTGACAACAATTTAACGACGTCTGTTTATGTTTTTATTATTGGATTTTTTGTGTTTTGTGTTTTTTGGTGTTGTGTAGTTTGGTTAAGAATGATTTGGGTTTTTATCGTTTCACATAGAAAGAGAAAAAAGAGACAACAAAAACATTTTATTAATTTTGCTTAAAATATCTTCGTCAAGCACATTAATTATTCAACTTAGGTTTAACATTTATAAGAGCATAGCTTAAACTTTCAACAAAAGTTTTAATATTGACTTGATTATATAAAAAAATATAAATTTTAAGAGAGGTTTTCACAGAAATCGCTTCTGTTTATTTTCATTTCGCAGTGCCACAGACTAAATAATCTCACGATTCCCAAAGAAGTTTAGTTACTGATCAACAACTTAGGTTTCGATATTCGTTAAATATTAGTAAATGAACATTTTAGTTAGTAATCATTAGGAACATTAACGAAATATAAAACTTTCCCAGAACTACATTGCATTTTTTTTTTTTTTTTTTATAACCATTTTGAATATACATGGCGAAGTCGCGTTGGATTGCAATAGAGAAATACTCACGGATTTTCAAAGTCATTACTTGCAGTACACCTTCATTGTATATACTGCTTGTTTTTGAGAGAAACCTAATTTCTAAAGTTCTAAAAATCAGAAATTTTTCTATTTTCTGCTTGCTTACAGCAAACACAGCAGATATAAATCAGTCCCAGTCTCAATTGTCGATTATGAAATTAATAAAACAAAAAAACTAAAACTACACAGAGGTGCCACATAAATCGCTTTCGATTGAATTTATTAAGTATTTCAACTTGAGAAAACTTGCAAAAGCTCTTAAACTTGTTAATATCTACTCGTCTGACGTTGCTTATCAAGAATGTATATTATATATCATATATATTTATAGAAAAACATGCACCATCATTATCTACGGTACAAACTTCTGTTCAAGACTATTATATATATGTAGTTATAAGAAAAACAAAACCTAGAAATTACAAAAAGCATTGTGATATATAATTTTTTTTTTTATAGATTATAGGATCAAAAACACTAATCAAACTTTGGGCAAACTTGATCGTAGTTCTGTGGCAATACGAAAATATTGTCTTATCGCGGATTCCCATATGTGTAACGATTTCTGTGACACCCCTAAATATATGGATCATTATTTTACAAAAAACAGATACGACTTAATGAAATGTTCGTAAAATAATGACCAATATATGTGTATTTGACAGTACATTTAGATAGTATTTATAGCAAAGGGTACTCACGAAGGTAGCATTGGTGGGGGCAGAGCTCCGCCAGGACGACCGCCGGGTAGGGGTGGTGCACCACCACCTGGGCGATTCGGAATCGCTGGAGCTGGGCGACCTGTAGCTGGTGGCAATGGTGGGTTCCGTCCACCTAAGGAGCTCTGTAAAAAACAATTTGTTTTATAATTATGTTAATATTAGTTTTAGTTCAGGTTTACCTGTGCGGGAGGTCCTGATTTTCCTCTAACACCACCTGGACTTGGAGGGGAGAGACGTGGGTTGTCCAAGCCACTGGGTAGCCAATCATTCTTAACTGGAGGTGGCAATGGCGAGGACACAGTTGCCATAGATACGTCTCCTGGAATTTGAAGAATATACAATATATAGTATATAAATGGCAAAATGAAAGCAGAATTTTGATAATTACCTATGATCTGCAAAGCATCTTTGCAAGCACGGTACATACGCAGCATCTCCTCTCGCCGTGTGGCCGACTCAGCCGATTCTTCCATCATCTGGGACTATAAGATAAGATATAAGTAAGTATATGCAATTAAAATAATTTAAAAGAGGCTTACCTGATCACCAGACGCATAGAGATGTGCTAGAAGTTCGCCGTTGATAAAGTCCTTGGCATTGTTAATTATGAGCATCATAATTGCTTTGGGCACCATGTCTCGCGTGGTCTTCGTGACAATCTTCATGTAAGAATCAACCAGATTACGAATGGTTTCCACCTGCCGTTCTAGCTGTGGATCGGTGGAACTCTCCTCGCTGGCCGACTGTTGTGTTTCGGTTTTTGGTTTTTGTTTTTTTTTTTTTGGGGAATTTTTGATAGTCAATAAATGATTGTTGATAATTTTATAAAGTGCATAGGTATTCAAAAACATAATAACCAACAAAATACATATTCAAATAACATAATCACCAACTGAATCGTGCACATAAAAAAACAATAAAGAACGCTGCAGTCGAATATCCGACTATGAAGTACCCGCTACTCCTTTTTCCCAATGTAAAAATATGTTGCATACCCAAAACTATTTCCCAAAAGGACCAAAGACACCATTTTTCCGAACATTTTATATAAATGAACAACTTTTAAGGAGGACCTCAGAGAATATGAAGCCATATCGGTTAGTATACCCAATTTTAAAAATACATATTGCTAAAATAAATACATTTTTCGGTGATATAAAAGGCCGAACTTCAATTATTTAAGACTTCTAGAATTGAAAAAAGAAGTTGACTATTTTTCAAGGGTGGCGTAACTCCTTAATATTATTTTCTACGCGATTTATATAAGGGCCACTGCATTGTCATTGCTTTTAATCAATACTTTTTTGATCTAAGAGTTTGTCACATTAGGATTGTATTCACAAAGAACTCGCCGAACCAACTTTTTTTGAGGTAAAAATATCAGTCAATTAAAATCAAATCAAATGATAAACCACCGAAACCCCAATATCCTGAAACTTATAATAATAATATATTTGCTTTACTTATTGAGTTTTAAGTGAAGAAAATGTATGCCTTTTATTGAGATGAAACTGATTAACATTGTATTGTATTGAATGAATTTCATAAACTGTACATATTTCGAAAAATTACATTTGAAATGAGGCCGTTTCGAACTTTCCGAACTCTCATCTTTATTACGATGAAAAACATTTTGAGTTTCATGCGTTTAAATATTTTGATTTCGAACGTTGAATGAAATAAATGATACCAATATAGAAATATAATAAAAATGAATTTAAAAAGTACTTTTGCATGCACTTGAAAATGTTTTAATTTAAGTAAAACTGCAACGTTGTTTTGGGTGAGAGGTTAGCCTAGCCTTTTTCTTTACCATTTCACAGAAATTTAACTTTTTTGTTATTATTTTACATAAATTGTTCTGAATTGATTTTCTCATTTAATTGGCAAATCAAAAAGGCTGTTTTAACCCACTCACCGTATATCTACAAGTTTTATTTACTTAAAAGTGAAACAAATCATCATTATCAAATTTATCAAAAGAAAGAACGCTATAGTCGATTGTTCGACTATTTGATACCCGCTACTCGCTGCGAAATTGGTTATTTATTGGTTATTGGTCCCAGGTTCCGAAAATTCCTATCTTACGGAGGAACAGACATCGCTAAAACATATTATACGAGTAACAGCTATAAATATATAATTATATTGTGGAAAATTCAATAATTACATAAAAACAAAACAAATCAACTCAATAATAACGATTGAAATCAACATACTTGTTGCTAAAAACCAACCGGAAGAAATTATTAATTTTATTTTCGTTTTTTTTTTGTGTATTTTGGCGTTTCATAGTTTTGGTCGTTTTGTTCGGTAGGTGGCGGTAGCAGAATAGAAGAGAACAACATGTTCACAATTGTTAAAAGAAACGAGTAACAATGCAATAGTCGAGTTGCCGACTATTAGATAATCAGTAATACTAAGTTAGTTAAATAAACATGATGAAAGACCGTCAAACTACTTTCTCTTGAGCATAAATTTGGTTAAAACAAAAATATATACCACAACCCGAGACTTGAATGGTCAATCAGCTGATTGTCTATGATTATTAATAATATCTCTAGAACCTTACTCGGGTTGTGATATTGTTTTTAATCGCACCTCTAACCATTTAAGGGGTTACACCATCTTGACAATTCAAGGTGTACTAGCTTTTAATACTCGTTCTTTTACTTTTCAAATAAAATACTACTTTTTGGTTAATGTGATGACATTTAAAGCCGTCGTTCTTAAGTTTTAACAAATCCTGAACCGATTAATCATATATTAGTAGTACATTAATTCTTTTTTTGCATTAACAATTTTGAAAGGTATTTGATCTATGTGTGATAACTTTAATAGATCTAAATATTCAATAATTTTTGTTTATTTCAACCGGCTAAAATACCTCACTCCATTGTCTTTAAAAATGAAACTAAAAAATATATCGAACAAAACAAGTCTTAATTAATCAAAAGGATGTTAAAATAATGTATTAGTCATTAGTATTTTTGAATTCGCATTTTAGATGAGTATACTAAATAAAATATAATCCGAAAAGTTACAAAGATTAACAAACCTCTTGTCCTTCCTGGATGACGAATATATATTAAGCATCAATATTGCGAGTTATTTTGTTGATTTGGTCAATGAAACAGCAAAAACAGAGTTATATTATAGAAATTATACTAACATGACTATTTTTCTATACTTTTTTTTGTTCAATTTAATTGCAAGTATCTTTTAAATAATAAAATATAGATTTCTGATCGTAAATATGATATGGAAAACAATTGGGATTATGTTATAGCATCAGAATACATACAAATATGTATATATACACCGTGAGAGGCTGAACGTTTCAACCAAAAGGTATACTATTTCATTTACTAAATCCAATTAGAGTACAGTTAGACCTTAGTGTACAAATTAATTTCTAGTAATTGTAGATATGTTTCTATATACTCACCTCGTCGCCATTTTCCTGAGTCTCCTGCTTTTCGGGATAGACACCGGCTCGCAAGAAGGAAGCTTTCCAGGACTCCACATCCTCCACAGTCTCGCAGGACAGCTCCAGTTGTTTGTAGTCCTAAAATATCGTGTATTTGATGGCATCGCAAGCAAACACAGAGAAACGAAACATTTATGATATAAAAACATATTGTTAAACATATATAGTCAACATTCAATAGATAATCAGATTGAGAAGTTGGTGATGTTTCTTAAGAATTAATTTTGCTGTTAAGGTTTGTATTTAATTAGTTAGATTAGTTAACTTTTCGACAAGTACATAATAAACTCAGATTTTGACGTGTTCGGCGCTAATCGATACTACTTTTTCTTTAGATTATTTTGGGATCTTTCCTAACTTTTACAGTTCCCAAAATCCTGGTACTAATGCGGACGAACTCTCAGAAGATTGGGCTTTACATGTTTCAAAAACTTGTAATGCAAATCAAGACAGACAACAGACTTCTGTGCCTCTTATTCAGGATGATTCTCCATCGATTCGTTTCGCAAATTGCCGATCACGCCATATTTGTACATATACCCATTGAAGATTTCCCATTTTGAATGTCATTGTCGATCAGTGTAGCCTAAATAGCCCCATCGGCGCATCTGTTGTGGAACCGTTGACCGACTGTTAAAATGATAACTATAACAAATATGAAAAATTTAAGAGAAATTAATATTGTGTGGTGTCGCCTCTGTTACCAATGACTAGGAAGTGAATTATACTTGTTTTTTTTTTTAATATTATTTACGACCAAAACTAGTCTGATGACTTGGATTAACTAGAACTTGTTCAAGTATCCCTAGACAATATCTTTTTCATTGAATTCAGACCAATAAAGTGGCCATTCAAGGACATCAGTACTTTGCCTCTTAATCCGGGATTTCACAGTCCGTGAAATATACATGTATATATGTATATAATATTGCATTATCGTGCTGAAAGCGGGATTTGAAGCAATTTTCGAAATATTTGATTGGTTTTTTAGATAAAAGCTTGCTTGTCCTGATCACAATACGTTTGTAAATTATGAATTGCTAATTTGCGCAAAAGATTGACTTAAGAATATGTTTAATCTGTGTTTAAAAGAAAGATTTATGTGGATTATATTTAAATTTAGCATTTTTGGTGGGTTGTTTAGTGTCTCTAGCCATATGATTGATTCTAAATGAGAGGTCGACTTGTTTACAATGAGGTGAATGGAAACGCTCTTCTGTACAATAGCAATCCTTTAAGCTTCCTCATTTTAAGCAAAACAAATTTAAGAAATTGTGAAAAAGCTGGGCAAAAAGGTTTTATAAATCCCTCTTTTGATTTCTTGGATAAAGCACAAGACGGTACATTCTGCTTTAGCCAAGGAATAAGCCATTTACCCTGGAAATGAGCAAGAAATGTATCTCGTAAATTGTTATGGATTATTAATAAGATTTTCAGATGAATATAATGCATTCTATCAGAAAGTCTTAGACACAATCGATAACCATTTTTAAAGCAATATAATATGGTGTGTGCGTAATTTTTTTTTCTAGACATTTCCATTTTGTATGGCTACTGCATTAAAAAAGTATGTATAAGCTTTACAAATACCAGTACGAGGTTAGATAATGATGGATGACTACTTTGGAGTGATTCACTATGAATCAAATATTGTCGTGAAAAGCTTAAGCTTATGGCATCAGAAAATGAAAAGACAAAAGGAGTTTACGACGCAGCAAACTCCTTTTCCTTTACTTCGACTTAAATGTTGATAAAAACATAGTAATTTTTATATTATACAAAAAAATAATTAATTGATCTCTTTGCCCGACTATTTAACCAAAGGATTCAAATTGGGTTCTATATATATATGTTTATAGAAAATTTGAAATATTTTTACAAAAATATCTTCAAAAATTGCTTTTGTTTTTCGTTTTTTTGGTTTAGTTATTTTGATTTAAAGTTTTTCTCTGGTTTTTTGTCTGTTTTCGTTTTTTTCTGAAATCATTTAAAATTCATTTTTTTGTATGTTAACAAAAATTACTAACCTTATAAACATTACGTCCATCGGGACTAAATAAAGCAAATGTAACACGTCTAGACATTGACATAAATCCCTGTTCAATATCACGCAATTTTAAACCATCCAACGGCAGCATAAACTTCTTTTCCTTCTCATCCTCGTCTTTGTACCAGGAGATACTCTCGGATGTCAAAACAAACCAATAGGGACGCGATCCACCTGTAAAACACACATACACATTTCAGAGTTAATCAAAGTCCAAGTAATTGCGTAAAATATAACAAGTGTTTTGGGTCAGTACGAACAACGCAGATAGTAATATGCAAATCTCTTATTAAACTTCAGTTTGAAAATTGTTAGTTAAGCTTTGTTTTGTACCCAATTCGTATACTTTTTTGTGCAATTGCGTTCAAACACAAAAAGAACTCGCTGTGGGGCAGGAAAGTTGTCTGGAATTACTAATTAACAGGAAAATGATGGAGTATATGTGGATGTGAATATGTATAGACAGGCACCAGTGCTATATTTTACTAAAATCAGTCCACTTTGGCCACTCGAGGATATCAATTTTTGCCAAGCCGACAAAACTTTACCTTAGGCAGTCCAACGTGTCCACATCGGCCAACTTGATCCCCTTACCCCGAGTATCTCAAGGCTTAGGATGAAAAAAAAACTTAGATCTTGAAAAAAGCTGCCCATGATGGTTGAGTCAAAAAAAACATGCATGATGAATGTATTCAAAAAGCAAGAATATCTTAATTGTTTTAAAATAAAAATAAATCAAAAGTAATACAACATAATACCTGTACCAGAAGCAGTACTGAAAAATCGTACATTAAGGGATCCAGGTCGTCCTAATTTTTTATCTTTCAATGATAAAGATTAATATTCACATAAAATAGAATAAAAGCTATAAAAAAAGGTTAAGAGGTCCCGCCCCCAGAGTTAACGCATTTTCATAAGTGAAACTTTAAAAAATATAATATTCTTAAGCAATCTTCCACCGTTTACAGAAACAGAGCCACAATCCATGGCTACATTTTCATGAAGAGATAGCAAACTTTCTTACAGGGTATTGCAAATTCGTGTATATACTTTACCAAAGATAATTTCCTAGCATTCAGAATATTGTACATACCTTTCATGATACCCAGGTTTTGTATAACCATGTGACCCTTGCGTATAACTTGATTGCCAAGCTGACGAGTGCCAGTTTTATTGGCATTTTCTGATTTATTTTGAGCGCTATAAACATCGAACCAAAGATAAGTTTATATATAATGATTTTGATGAAGAGATATACGAACTTGGCAAAACCAATGAAGTCCTCATGGTTGGTATTCATGTAAGCCAGCTCAAAGTCAATAAGCAGAAGAATTTGTTCCTTGCAACTGTGCTCGCGTTGGCGAACATGCGTTGTGATAATACGTTCGGTTTCCTCGCGTAAACGTGGGTATCGACTCATCTAATTAATGTAAAAATATATAAATGACTCTAGGACTTAAAAAAAATCAATTTAATTGACTTACTTTAGCTGTGCACATGCGCACAACCACAGAAAGTTCCTGTACGACTAGATCGACACACTTAATAACCGGCTCCTTAAGCAACGCGATTTGCCTCTTAACAATTGCCTCAAACGCCATGTCGGGTGTGAAGAGGCCAACGCGAATACCGTGAATATTTCGAATTGCAAATGAGATCTCTCGTCGTAGTTCCTTTTCATCACAGGCCATCTTAACAATCTCAAAGCGCAGACTGAAAGGGATAATATATAATTATTAATTATATTATGAAATCAATAATCTTTTAGAGCGAGAAACTTACCGTTCATGGAAAATGCGATTGATCTTGGCGCCGCCTGATAGCTCATTTGTATTGACCAAAGCTGAGCCACTGCCCTCAATTGTCCGCTCAAAATCAGATTGCAGCTGCTGAATCATTCTGTAGGGAAGGAAATGTTATATATATTTTTTTGTATTCACAAAAACATATTCATATATTTGTACACTTACTGAAGCATAGCCTTGGTTTTAATGCTGGCATCGCCTGGCTGAAAGTGCTTGAATTCCTCAACCTCCTTTTCCAACGTTAGCATCTGCTTCTGTAATTTATCTCGCAAGCCAGGTAACGTGTCCCTTATATGGTTAGTAAGTTGTTGGTTAAGGACCCTCTGCAAGTAGGGTGTTCCTAGACGATCGGCCATGTGACGGTAGGATGGGTGACTCAAGAAGAACTTGCGCTCGGCAGCCAATGCCTGGTGGATGTCCTTCCGTCCTTCGATATCCTTTTGTGATCTATTCACAACGCCAATATAACCACGGCGCAATGGAAGCAGCTTGTTCTCAAGAATGTCTCGTGCATCGGTACCCTCGTCCATAAGATCAAGCTTTGTTATAACACCGATCGTGCGCACACCTTGTGGATCCACCTCCTTGGCCAGTTTGAGGGCATCCGAATTGGCCAAATCGGTATTGGCCGGTGTCACAGCCAGAATTAAACAAGTCTCTTTGCGAATAAATTGGAATATCATCTGCTTAATTTGCTGTTCAATATCAACTGGCTGATCACCAATTGCTACTTTTGTTAAGCCTGGCAAATCGATCAGCGTTAGATTGAGTACATGGGGCGAATATACGCGCAAATTAATTGGAATGTTTGAAATGCCTTTGTTACTACCGGTCACACGATCCGTCTCATCCTCGATTTCTTTTCTAATCTCATCAAAGCTTGAAAACTTTTTGCCTTTAATGTGAAGGAACTCGCCATATTCTGTAATAAATTTGGAACAGGTTAGGAACTTGCAAATTACTAATCTGATTCACAAATTTTAACTTACCAGTAACTCCATTGATCAACTGCAATATAAGAGGTCTGCGTGTCACGATGCCCGAACCACGCGGCAAGAAATCTCTGTAAAAAATAATAAAGAATATTATATTATATCCAAGTGCTTTAGGTAGAATGGGCTAGTTTGGGGAATACATTCTTTGGATGTGATAATTTCCAAGATAGATATATCATAAAATAGTTTCTAGCATTGTTTTTTGAAATGCTGCTTAGGACTTATGAACATGAAAGACATACGGGTTATACCTTCTCTACAGATATAAATTCTATTCTAAAAACCCTTTATATTTTTATAGAAACTTATTAATAACTTCCAATTAAAATACTGACACATCGACAATTAGAAAATCCAAATTATAGGGTTTAGTTCTTATAAGTACTATATGTAAAAAATTCAAAGATATGTACTTATCGCCACTTAGAACAGTTTTTAACTTAGATTATTGAATAATGCAATAAAAGTGAAACATACATTGTGTGTTATAATTTCTAAGGAGTACTTAGGAAAATGAAATCATCTTGTAGATAAATTTTGATCCCCAGAGAAAAGCCTAGCTGAAATTAAGTTGAAATAAAGACTGAAAGCCGAGGAAAGTGGTTATCGCTTATATACATATATAGATTAGTTACTAAAGAAAATATATTGGTCAGTAGGGCTGGATGAAAGATACATCCATAATTCGTACCATTAAATGTTAAGATTTAATGCATTTATGAAGTGCAGCATACTGTATTCTAATAACATTATCAAGGCAATATGAGCTTTATTTTTTTTTTTGGGACATTAAAACATTGGACCGCCGAAGGTGGCTTCCCTTCTCGTTTCTTTTGATTGCCCTGTGTGTGATGTGGGGAAACCACCCTAATTGACATACATACATGCATACATACATATATAAACGACGGCGCATGCGAAATCTATCTGGACTATTTTGAACATAGTGAGCTTATGTAAGCAGAAACTTTACATGGTTTAATGCAGTTTGTAAATACATTGATTCATATATACATATATTGATTGATATATTTTGTGCGATATCAAGACTTTCAAGACTCGATAAAACCATAAATATCAATTGCATTTATGCAATGATAATGTTATGATACATTAAGTAAACTTTTTTGCAACTTTATAAATTATAAAACTACACTGAGTAAACTTAATAGATGGCATATTATCATTGCCCTTATCTATATTTTTTGGGGCGTAAGCCATTGTTTTCATAATGTTTGTATTTACAGTGGACACCAACAAAGAAAAATGAGAGACAGCGCAGGCCTATAGATACAAACACAAGAAAATGTTATTGATACATACATTTTAGATTTTTTGGTTAACAATTTTAGGGTATTATATTTTCATTTCATTTGTACATATTTGCTATTGTCACAAGGCATTCGTGATTAAATTTTTGATACCAAAATATAAGATAAATTTTCTTATCAACATAATTAAGTTAAGACCACTGATAATTTTTGGTCATTATTTACAAATACACTTCTTTAAAAGACAACAATTAAAGATTGTTAATAAACAAAAACAAAATAAACAGGAAATCGGTGTTATCTTTACGTTCAGGGGATTACTTATTTACTGAAAAACTTGTAAATTGAGTTAAACAAAAAGAATGGGTATTGATTATAAATATCTGTAATACTTATAAATTATGTTAGCTTTAAGGACAGCTATTGTATATAGGTAAATAGTCCAGAGAAATTCGCACGCAGAAAAATCGATTTTTTAAGCTGCGGGCGAGAAGCTAAAAAAAAGCACTGAAGCTCATATACATAGGTACATATATAGTCCAAGCTGTTATCATTCAAAATACAGGCTAGATATTTAAGGTACTGATAGCAAGAGGGATATAGGGAATGGGTTATTACTCACTTGCCAACGAAGTTCTCCAAAACAGAACTCTTGCCAGCTGATTGGCCACCGACCACTGCGATCTGTGGCAGATCCAATTGCATGTGGACGCCGAGCGATGTGAACGCATCTTGCAGCTTATTTACAATTGTTATTAAGTTATCCATTGCGACAAGTACTGATTCCCACGCAATAAGATTAGATTAGAATTTGTTCAGATCGAACTGCGCGATCCTGACTCGTCCGGGTGTTTCGTGTATTAATCCCTGCGCTTTCTGCACTGCACACTCCTCTGCAATTAATTTATTATTTTTATAAATTGATTATATATATATATATCTATATATACGAGTTTACTTTTTCAAGTCCTTTCACTCAATCACTTTCCGTTTCACACATATATATATCTATATCGCGTATATATAGCGTTTTGGAGATTTGCAATAGATATAAAAAAAAATCACAAAAAAACAGCGAATATGCGTAAGCCGTGGGGAAGCAAAATGCAAACAGAAATCGTTATTGGAGAGCGCCGCTCATGTGTTCGTTTGGTTCAAGAGTTACTCATTCTCCCACACGATTAACCCGATATACCACACCACAATAACCTTTCATGCTTTTGATTATATGGATGAAACTTATAGAATTCCCGAAGTAGTAGTAATTATAATTGTTGTTGCGGTCGCAGGGCAAAAATGTTTATAATTTACTTTAAACATTTGTATTTACACAAAAAGAATTTGTATATATACTCCCAAAGAAATTATCATCGACTTTTCCAAAACGTCGCTTATTTCTCAGGCGTAGCAGTGTACAGTGTAAGTGTAAATGTCATGTTTATCGCCCAAACGCACTGCAAATTAAACAATTTTGCTTTGTCTTTAAACAAATATTCTTCTTATTGTGAAAAACTAACGGCTATCACCACACTCCGCTTCCAAATCGTTTCAATGGATTTTTTCGACTAAAAACTAGAGATGCAAAAAAGTAATCATAATCTGTACCCGATAAGCTTGTCTAAATTTTTGGTATAATTGATAGGGCTGTGTGAATCACTAGCAATTGAATCGATGTATCGAATATTTTAATATGCTGAACGCTATCGAATTATAATCGATACAATCATATCGATAGCAATATAATACAAGGTCGCGGTCAAGAGCGTTTTTACGTTGCCAAACGCTATCGCAATTTTTAGAAACAGCTGACTTTTTTAAACTCATTTCCCAATTAAATCTAATTTTTAATTTACTTGAGGTTTACTATTTTTTAATACACAACTACATACATTGTTTCTTCATTTTGACAATTCCGATTTCTAGCTTACCTCTTGCGCATGTCACCCTATTTTACGTCGTTAGCTTTGTTTTGTTATCGATAGTCTACGTTAGTCAGTGCGCAGGTACCATAACTGTAGAAAAGTAGTGGCGGAAAAAGTAGCACTTTGGGAATTAGCTGCATTCGATATTTTCTGGCTAAAACGATAACAGTGATTTTGTATCTTTGGCATTTAATTTGAATACGTTACATAGCAATTATCCAATCAGAAAGCTTTTATATCTGATTTGCATAAAATATTTGACTGTTATAAAGGCAGCCATTAGAAAATATTTATCTATTAGAGACGTTACAAATTAAACGGTTTAAACAACATTTTAATTTAATGTACATTTAACAAACAGCCTTATAAAGGTTAGGTCTTTGAAACATTTTGCTTATGATTAACCCAGGCCTCTTTTGACTTGCGCATTTTGCTGAGAATCTTATCCATAACTGAGCTTTGATTAAAACTTAAGAAATCTTGTCGCATCTCTGGCCATTCAATATCTGAAGCAGTTTCAGAACTTTCTAATTCGATTTTACTCGGTTCTGTATGGCTATTAGGACTAGAATTCTTATACTGTTGATCAAGTTTGGACAATACTTCCTGGACCTGATAAAGACCGCTACTAGTTTTGTCGCGAACAAACTTTATCCGGGGAACTTCGCCCATAAGATGAAGCTGCGATAGCTCATGTTGCAGTTTGCCGCTCAGGCCATTCAATTTATCCTCGAGCTCGACAGTTGTTCCTCCATCTTTGCCAATCCAGTAGACGTTTATTCGTGAAAAGTCGCTGGTGATCTTCACGTATGAAATTTGCACACCTTGGCCCATGATAGAGTCGGCAACTCCGCCGGTTGCCAATATATCAGTTATGTTTGTCATGAACACCTTATTTAAAACAGACATGCGTCGATTGTTGTCCGATGTTTTGTGCGAATGAGGTTTTCCGAATTTCAAGGCATGAAGTGACGAGCCCGACTTGTGGATTCCACTATTACCAGATGCATTAATATCCGGCGATGGATACCATCGGCTATTACTGCCCTTTATTCGATCTCCAAACAACGAGCTAAATATTTTGCCTTGGCGCTTTATATTATCAAACTTTGGCTGTTTTGTGCTTTTATCCCGTGAAACCGTCTGTTGGTACACATAATTAAGTACAGATTTGCCATTTTGTAACCTCAGCACTCGAATTCCCAGCATTTAGTCTAGTTGCATTAATTATATTTCTATATTAGATAAAATATACAAAATATTATGTGAATTAACACCAGTGTGGATAGAGCATGAACATTAAATAATACCATTTAGATAAAAAAAATACCACCGCATACTTCTAAAACAGTCTGTTCTCACTGTTCATTAAAATATTTATATTCCATAAGACTTTGAATCAGTTCACAATAGACTTTATATGTTTCATTCAACGGGGTTCCTTATTGGTTTTTACTGACTTATATTTACAGACATAAATAGGATATAAAATATTGAGGTCTGCTCGAACCATAAAAATTTGTACATGATCTATACCTAATAAAGTACATTAAATATAGATACATTAAATTGGAAGATATGCAATCGAAAATAATTAATAGATATTTATCTAATTACCTTAATTATTTTTTTAAATAAATAAAATAGTATAAAAAATCCCTGCCCATTATCCTCTGTCGAAGTCGAGTTTTTAGACCTTAAGATTCCCGACCGTTCCACAAGATATTTTCAGTGGGAATATTACATATTATTTATTTTCGCTTGACAACATGCGGCTATCGCTCCTGTCGATTATTTTTCAGTAATGAAAGACCTTTAACCTACTAAAATCATTGTCACAATTTTCATTAGTAGTTCTCAAATTTGTAAATACAGTAAGTTCCAAAAGGTCAGTATATCTAAGTGTTAACAACATTTATTTATGAAATCATTCCCATGCAGAAAGATTTCAATATATGAATATGAAAATAAACGATTTGAGAAGACACTGATAAAAGGTGAGCCGATAAACTTTGGAATTTACATTGCAATTATATATGTACATATTTTCTCGTTCCTTACTGATGCGCTTACATATATTTACCTTCCTTTTGGGTACAAAACGAATGTGTATATACAAACGATCATGTATTTATTGCGAAATGTTTCAATTGACAATATAGGTTGAAGTAAAATATTGTTATATCCAGTTCAAAAAATAACACCATAAGGAGAAAATATTATTTTCACCCACAAGATGGAATCCAAAATTAGTGCAGATCAGGCACAAAATTCCGTTTATGACAAGGATATTGGAGATAATTTAAGCAATGATGATTCTTCATTTTTGGGAAATATACTGCGAGAAATCCTGTACAGTCCAATGAACTTGGCTTTATTGGCAATAATATGTTTCTTGGTTTATAAAATTGTTCGAGATCGCACTGAAGTACCATCTGCGGGGTCTGCAAAGCCATCTGAGCCTGAGTTACCTAAAATTCGATGCGATTTCACTGTAAAGGAACTGCGCAAGTACGATGGAAATCAGCCGGATGGTCGCGTTTTGGTTGCCGTCAATGGAAATGTTTACGACGTTAGCAAAGGCAAGCGTTTTTATGGCCCAGGTGAGTGCTACTTTATAAATATATAAATTGCTCTTAATTTTAGAGTATTACAAATTAATTAAACTCAAACCCTTAACCTAAGCTTCAAAGGGTAAATTTTGTAATTATTTGTTGTTTTTTTTATTATGCTTACATAGAATAATCCTTTTAATATTCCAACAAATTGGATTTCTATTTCGAAACCTAACTATATGCGTTATCAATGTAAAAGTTTCCGAAATGTATTAAAATTATTTGTATATATACTAATATATATATTTATAAGGCTTGTTAGTTCCGCGTGGGTTTTCAAGATGTTTTCGCATAGTTCGTCTATTTTTCGTCATCGTTTTTACTCAGATTAAAAGCTTATCAGTATTAAACCTCTTTTTGTAGTCAGATATGATTTGGAAATTTCATGGGAATGATCTAGCATAATTTACTAACGCAATGAAAAATATTGTAATATAGTTTAGAAAATTAAAAAATAGGCATGAATTGCAAAAAATCGCAGCCTAGAAAATTTGAATAACATGTAATTGCTTTCTAACAATGTAATTGGCTACCTAATGAATACCAAACTTCAATGAAATCTTTAAATATATATGTAAATTTAAAAATGTGAAATTAAAAAAATGCGTTACAGTTTGAGTGCGAGCTATATGTGACGTAGTTGCCCTTGCCCTGAAGTTGCGCACTTGACAATGCTATCTTTGTGGTCATGATGACTAGGCTTCTGACAGCAACAAAATATATTAATTACTGGATTTTTATTATAGGTGGACCCTATGCTACATTCGCTGGGAGAGATGCCTCCCGCAATTTGGCCACATTTAGCGTAGTTGCGAATGACAAGGATGAATACGACGACTTGAGCGATTTAAGTGCCATGGAAATGGACTCTGTACGAGAATGGGAAATGCAATTTAAGGGTAATTAAATATTATATTTAATTTAATCAATGGAATATGAAATAACATTTTAATACTGTTATTTAGAAAAATATGAACTGGTTGGCAAGCTTTTGCGTCAGGGTGAGCAACCCACCAATTATGACGATGATGAGGACGATGAAGTCAACCAAGTATATACAAAAGATGAACCAGAACCAACCAACAACTCTCGTAAACGTCTACCCAAGTCAAAAACTGAGACTGATGAAAAAAATACAGAAAGTCACATTTCGCAAGGCAACACTACAACCATAAATAACGCACAAGATGAACCAATTTCTACCGATTGTTAGCGAACTCTGGTTTTTTGTTTTGCTTTTGGATGTGGCTGTAATAGTTTATTTTCGGTTAGAAACACAACACAAAACTAAAAAGCATTTCCGACTCTTTTAATGCTGCCTCTGCTCCTTTAAAACTGAGAACAAGACCTATTTGGCAATACACTTCATGAAAATAACCCAATTTGAATAAAACAAAACAAGGCATAAAATTTATCATGAACATTGGCAAAAAATTCAATAAAATATACGTTTTTTATGTTATTATTAGAGTGCAGCCTTGACAAAAGCTATAGTTGTTACTATAATTCACGTTGTGATGTGATCTTGTTCCATATATTATAGTAGTATATTCATACAAATGTAATAAACGGAAATCATAAAATTATTTAAGGAGGAGGCCAATGTGTGAGGGTATGGGAGTCATTTTCGTGGCAATATAAATTTAAATGTAACTATATTTGAAATAAAAATTAAATACTTAAACGTATCTTGACTTTCTTTGGTAGCTCTTAAGGAATGAGTTTTAAAAACATTTATAGAACATTTAAAGCAGCTCCATATCAATACAAATTTTTATCAAAATTTGCAAAAATGTTTTTCTTAATGTGATCATGTTTTTCATTTACTCCATTGAAGAGATAATGGTATGTGATATCGGTAACGGAGCTGCAATTTGTAACAAGGCAATTTAATTATATTTGTGAAATTACAAATCATTTATTTCATTAATTTTTAAATTAAAAAAAAAACATTTAGATCCAAAAATGTTTATTGTCGCGAGTTGTTAACATCTTGTTCTAGTCTACAAATTATCTGTTACAGATTACAAAGTTAATAAGAATATGAACTTAAAACTTTTAATTTAAAAACTTTTTTTGTAAATAGTTTTTTTAAGAAGCTATATATGCTAAACTGTTTCCACTTGTATAAAATTTTACACATTCTAATATAATTTAAATTAAAAAATACTTGTAATCATTTTGAAAGACTACCAATGCATCGTTTACATAAAAAAGACCGATACAAAAGTTTATATTATTAATTTTTAAATTCGTCAATACTAGCCTACCCAAGTTATGCTTCATTTCCACTAAATTGATTACTATTTATATTTACTATACTAATGTATTATTTTTATACATTATGTTTTAAAATATTTTTAAACGCATTCTAAAGTTTTAATTTACTTAAATTATTTAAAAAACCTTCACCAATGTAGTTTAAGCCAATTATTCTTATATTTTATCACACACAAACAGCTGATTGAACGATAACACTGCATTGGGCAGGTGTAAACTGTCTTTTCATATTTCAATCGATGGGAAATACGTAAAATCGTTTCGTTGTATGCAGTGGAAGCCGACCATCGTTTCGATAGTTCCCATAATGTTATCCCCTTGAAAATTTTTTAAAGTTATCGAAAAATGGTCCGTCTCTGAGAGACTATGTGTTGGTTCTTTGTGGTTAACAAAATTTTCGGAAAATAATATTGGTTTTTATGTAAAATATACATAATAGGCGTGATGACAGTTAGTTTGAGAGTGTTGCATATTTCGCGTTAATACGCAATCGATTGTTTTTGCCGTTTGGTTCGTGTGGAAAATGTAAAAATGTACGAACAATCGCATACAGCTAACAAAAATTCGTCGCCGTCGTCGTTTTCGTATTTGTCGTTGTCGTTGTCGTATTTTGTATGTACGTGCTGTGTACTGGTGCTAACGACGCTGCGCTGTCTGTTACTGAGTACACAACATGTAGGGACGACACTATGTCGACGGCAACGGCAATCGCAATCGCAATTAGAAAAGTGTAAGCGAGATGACTATTGCTGCTGTGCTGTTTCTGCTGCTATTGCTGCTGCTTTTGCTTCTGCTTCTGCTAGAGACATTGTACAGAGAGCACAGCACATATCGTACATATACAATGCTAACTAGCGCGCGAGCGCTCTCGCCTTTGCGGCAACGACATTGTCAACTTTAGACTTATAGTCGGAACGGAACACGGAGGCATAGAGAAAAAATAAACGAAAAAAAAGAGCCGAACTGGTGTACCACCTCCCTGCGTATATAAATATACATACATATACTGTCGTACGAATTTATATGTACGCATGTATGTACGTACATACACATGTATGTACATACATATATTTCAAGAAGAAGAAGAGAAATACGAAGAAGAAGAGTATATGACGAATGATAAAGTGCTAGACAAAATAAATATGAACTATTTTCGGTGAATTCTTAAATCGGCTTTTTGTTTTTTTCCCCCTAATATATTTTTTATTTGTTGTTTTGTGTAATTCTGCTGACCTGAAAATAAAAGTGTTTGTTAAAAAGTGTGTGCAGAATTAAATATTATGTGTGTGTACAGAAAAAAGCGCAATAGGGAAGTTGACAAAAAGCAAAGAAAAGCAAATTGTTTTTTCTTATTTAAAATTTGAATTGCCACCCTAAATGATATCATATTAACTGGTTTAATCACCGGCCGAAAAATGAAAAACCCCAAAAATAGTGGTCACAATATAACAAAATAACTTCAAAACAGTCGGCGCAGCATCGATTTTTTCAAAATACACGCGATTGAATTGGTTGTACCACCTTAAATCCAATATTTGTAAAGCTTTCGCCTTATCGATGGCATAAAAGAAAACTCTAAATAAATAATACAGAAAAAAGCGGAGCCGAATGCATTGGAAAAGGTTTGGTCCAAAAGAAAATAATACATAATAATGATCATCGATAATTTATATTTCCAAGGAAAGGGAACTGAAGTGTAATCCCCTGAAAGCTTTACGTAGCAAAAGAAATGGACACATCAAATGCCAGCGCTAAATCAAAGACGTCTGCGTCGGGCAGCAGTAGTATTAATGGATTAGGACCCCAAATCAAGCATATATCGTCGCAGGACATCGGTTCCACCGTAGCCGCTGTCCAGGATGAGAAGAGCGAACAATCGCGCGAACAGTCCACAGTGCTCACGGTAGTTGGCCAGAGTATATCCAAGAGTTCGACTGCCCTGGCTGTACTGCATCTTCCTCCGCCAACGGCGACCGCCTTAGTTCAATCAAGTGCCAATATACCCGACTTGGGCTCCATGCCGCGTGCGCGGCCATCGTTTTCATCGAACATAACGACGACGACGACGACAACATCGGATGGCGGCAAATCAATGGCTGTGGCAGCGATTCCCCCAGAATCTACCACCACATCGGAGCCCACTTGTCCACCTGTTTCGTCAGTATCGATGGCCCCCAGTGCCTGTGACTTTGACTCCGACACGGAACTGTCCATTGTGGCAGCCGCAGCGGCTGTCTCCGCATCAGCCGGCATTGACTCGAGGTCACCGACATCTCCGTCACCTGCGGCTGCATCCACAATAATGCCCACATTGGGTTCCAGTGCTGGAGGTGGCACTGCGTCTATGACTGGGAATCAAGTCGGTTTTGGAGCGGGATCAGGAGCAGTGGCTGCTGGGAATACAAATGGCCATAACACCACCTCCAACAACAGCAGCAATCACCTGAGTCTGAATGCCAAGCAACAGCGCCAGCAGAAACGCCGGAGGGAACGTGCCCAGCGTTTGCAAGCGGAACGCGACAGTCGATGTAATGCCAGTTCGCTGAGTGGCACCTTCATTGCCGGATCCTCTGTGGGGGTCAACAGTTCTATGAGTGCGGCTAACGGGGGCCAAGGTGGTAGCCTCGTCACGCCCAGTGGCGGCGGCGGTGGTGGTCAATCATCAGCGGTTGCAATGGGCAATGGATCGGCGGCAGGACCCGGCAATAATGGCATGATATATCACATCAATAGCGCTGGCAGCATGGGCGAGGATAGTAACAATTCAAATGGTAACTTCACCAGCAGCAGCAATGGCAGCAACAATCTGCTGCCGCCCACAGATAGTATTGCATCATTACTCCTAAATCCACCACATTCCCCCGAGTGCAACTCGGGACTGATGGCCACGCCTAGCGATAGCGAAGGTGAGTCGCTCGACGAGGATCTGCTTTCGACTTCATCCTCTTCGACGTTGCTCTTGCCACGGGATAAGCCACCGCCTCGACCACCACCTCCGGTTCGAAGAAAGCTTCCACGATCTCCAGTGCTCGAAGAGGAAATCATCGATGGATTCGCTATATTGGAGTTTAAGACATATGAAGATTTAGAGGTATGTTTCTATGACATTTCCAATCGTAAAGCAATAATCCCTAAAACATTTAAAATCCTTCCATGACAATAGTTTGCCATCAAACTGGGACAGAAACGTAAGGAAAAGCGACTTTCTGCGTTGGACGAGCTAACTTGTACCTACAGTATAGAGGAAATGAAAATTCCAAAGGTTATCGATACTGGTCAATCGCAACCTTTGCGTGTCACTAGCCTGTCCACGTTAACTGTTAACAACAACAATTTGAAGGAAAACCCACAGCCTCTTCATCGTGGCGGAAATGTCATCAGCAACATTAATAATAATAATAATAATAACAATAGCATAACCAGCAATGGTCCCAATGCAAATAGCAATAGCAGCAGTATGGCCAATGTAGTCTATCTGCTGCCGTCTGTAAACATTGGTAATGTTTTGGAAACGGAAACGGAGACGCGAGATCATTGGCGATCTGAATATGGCCAACAGCAAGACCAATTGCAATCGGACAATAGCGCAAACAGTAAAAGTAATAACATTAGTGATGATAATCAAATTAATAATAGTAGTCACCAAATAAATCACAACACCTCCAACCAATTGAGCAAACAGCAAGCGGATGTTGGTTGCAATGCTGCGAAAATGCAAGTGAATAGTGCTACTAGTACACGATTTTTGGAGAATGACAACGATTCACTTATGTTGGATATAAGCCTGCCATCGCTGGGCGTTGGTAGTGCCGTATCGCATAGTCATGACCATATTGACGTTGGTATGATTCACGCCAGTTGTACTGGTAGCGAAACCAAAAAATCTCACAATTCCCCCGCCACAAGTAACACCATTGACCAATTAAATGTGACAAAACCGATGCCCTCGCTTCAGCTCAATAATTTAATATCAAGTGATCTTAATGCAGCTGCCGCAAGTGCAAACAATAATCACCTGGGTGTATGCAAACTGGGATCGCAATCAGCACAGGTCGTTAAGGTGAGTCTTGATGGTGTCTTATCAGTTGTTTCCTTCTAATAATTATCATTGCTTTATCATTAGAAATCGAACGGGTTGGAGAACATTGAAACCGTGACGGCATCTGCAGCCTGTCGTTCTCTGGATATCGAGGAATTGGCCAATGTTCCGACACAATCCTTTGGGGCCAGCAGCAGTATAAAGAAGGAGAACGAGCAAAGTGATCTTTTGAATGAAGTAAAATTAAATTTCTTTGTTTTGACATCATTTTATTTAAACAATTGTTCCCTTTTTTCAGGCTTCAATCAATTGTAGCAGTAACAGCAAAGAAAATAATATCGTAAGTATATTTAAATACGATTTATTAGTACGTTTCTAACAATCTTTTTTTTTTGCAGTGTGATAATGTCAGCAATGATAAAAAGGTATGTGTCTTAGCCATTTGAAAGGATTATGTTTTTTTTTTCAAGTCTTGTGATGTTTTAAAACAAATTTTAATAGTTATTAAATAAATAACAAAAACTTAATTGTGTTTAAATTATATTCTTGAACATTAAATTTGCCGTTAAATACAATTTTTCTTGTCTATAGAAATGGTTTAATGTTTTTCTGTCTCTCTCATTTTCATTGAATAATAAATAGCGAAAAAACCTGCTGAAGAAATCTAATATATTTGTTCTAAGTTAGTTTCGAATTAAAGTAATTTTGATTTTTAAAGACCCTTACATTTTCATAAAAATTCAATTTTTGTATTTATTAATGAAACAATAATTACCTTTATACTTACAGAATTCTGAACAAATATTTGATATTGATAATCCCCCAACGCCTATGAATGTTTCAAATACTTCATCGTGTCAGGATCGTTCAACTCCTCGCAAGTTATCCGACCTGCCGCACCTTAAGAAAAAGAATGCGGCGTGTGGAGATAATGGCACATTTTCGGTAGTACCTTTTGCACCGTCGATAAGCACAGCAGTGTCCGCGGGAGCTCCAGATAGCGATGGAAGTAAAGCTTTAAATATCAAAACTCAATCGGAGAGTACGCAAGGCAAAGTAGTTCATCCTGGTACTTCTTCAGTTTCAACACCTGCGGTGAACGCGGTGGAATCTGGGAATAGAGAGCTGGGTATTCTGCAGAAGTCAACACCCGACAAGGCTCTGTATCCCGGCCTATGCGTTGCGCCCTCTGTTTCGTCAGTGCAAGTAAGTTATTTTCAATATATCCGTATTTTATAGTATCTAATTTATAAAATCTTTTCACAATAGTTTCCCAACGTTGGAATATCAGCTGGAAATGAGAAAATTGTATCAACAGTTGCGTCTGACATTGATCAAAAGATTATATTCAATACCAAGACAACAGCTTCAAACGGATTGTCATCAGGGGTGCAACGGTCAATTGTTCCATTATTATCAGCTGCACCATCACCAGCTGCAGTTACACTAAGCAGTCCGTTTAGCGCACATATTGCCACACCGAATGCTGCTGGATTATCAATATTAACTTCGGCTTCAAATGTAATTCTAGCAAGCAGTATCAAATCAAATGATAACTTTTCACGAAGTAACAGCAACAGTAATAATGGAAGTTCTGGTAATCAGGGACAATTATCATCAGTTGGATTGTCAAGCAATCAAGAAACTGCGAAAAATAATTCGGTACCGACGTCTTCGCCTCCAAATCCTATGGTCAATGGCTTCCTTAGTGTTTATCCGCCTGCTACGATTGCGACATCGACATCGGCAACAACCAGTACATTGCCACGTCTCTCGCCCAATGCAGCCAATAAGTTAGTGGCACCGGTTTCTACATCCATTTCGTTAAATACAAACTATGTTGGAATTTCTGGTGGAACGACAACAACTTCAGGAATGGGAAAGGTAGTCTTTGGAGCTGGCGGTAATGCCATTGTTGGTACAGGATCACCATTGCTTTTTCCTGGTGCACCGCCTGCTCCCATTTCACATGTGGGTGCGGGCGTACCAATGATTATCCAAGCCCCTCCATACCGAGCTCCATATACGAATTATCCCCTCTACACTCCATATAGCAGCCTTACGCACGGGTCGTACCTGCCACCACAATTGCCGGTTGCCACGTCTAACATACCGTCTGCACAACAACATCGGAGCACGGATAGCCGAAGCAGTCGAGTGTCGCCGGCAGCATCTATGAAGCCAACGCCATCGAATATTGCATTAAGTGTCTCGATGACCCCGACTTTGCGCCCAATAACGCCACTTAATAATAGCTGTGCAATTTCTAGCGGCGCATCGCAGCCCGTTGTGACGGTCGTCCCCTCGGCGAACTCAACTGCCCTTTCGTTAAGCAATCCGCATATATCTCATTCCCATCATGTGCCTGTCTATGCCTCAGGTGCATTTTCTTCGGCGTCAGCTGGGACAAGTACTCCGAATTCTGGACTCTCTACTCTTGCAGTAACCTCACTATCAACGTCGGCTGCTCCTCAGCCGCCACACTTTCCCCAGTCAAGTCAGATGCTTTCACAGAGTGGTAACTTCTCATCGGTGTCCCATTTGCTGACTACGCATTCAATGCCATCGCAGAACCAACCTTTAGTACGTTGTGGAAGTACACTATACTCATCTGCGTCTGCATCTGCCGCTGCTGCTGCCTCTGCCTCCAATTTCAGTCCCTCAGTTCTCGCCGTTCCAAGTTTAACGACAGCGGTCACGTCGAGTTCGTCATCTCCATCTACATTATCATCATCTGTGATCCAGAAGGTTATTTCCCCAAAAGGTGAAAGTCCTGGCAACAAAGATCGGGATCCCAGTTACAGGTGAGTAACAAATACACTTTCTGCCATAATACAGAAACAATAATTGTGGCCCTATTTTGCAGTACAAATATCAGGTCCCATGGTGCATCAACAATATTGCCTGTCGTGTCTCAAGGCATTGGCCTGGGATCGTCGTTTTGTGGTATTGCCCCAAATCAATATGGAGGTACAGGTACCCCAGTATTATCCTCTAGTTCTTCAATGCCAGGACTGGGAAATCTCTCCTCATACTCTTCAAAAACGGCGCTATGGTTGAAGTACATATCAAATGATTATTTTTGTTATTTCACGAAATTAACCAGCTTTACTTTACAGCTCTCCTGCAAACGCAGCTGTAACGACGTCTGCTCCGTCAACACCAATAGTGTCTAGTGGAAGTGCCCGTCCAACTCCTCCCCTCTCAAACAGCACAAGCATGGGAATTGGAATGATGAACGCGGCATCGACAGCAAGAAGTTCTTGCAATGCTATATCACCACTTTCGATCCCCGCAACCGCTGGTATCCACGTGTCTGCTACAAATCCCCCTTTTCAGTCTACGTCATACTTCCCAACACCTTTAGCGCCGCCACCATCTTCCCCATCGCCAGCTACTTCTTCCGCGGCAATCATCAACAGTTCATCTGCTTCGCAATTTCCGACAGTATCACACTCAATGAGCAGTATTGTGACGACGGCCGGAGCCACAACGACAACGGCATCATCTTTAACACAACCCACGGTTGCAGCTATATCCAATCCTGTTTCAAATACGCCGCATCCCTTTTCTGCAGAATCACTTTTTCAACCAAGTAAAAGTATGTTTGTTACAATACACATTTTGTATTCAAAAGCGCTTTCATAATCATATCATTATTTTCGCAGATGATCAAGCTGATTTGCTGCGGCGTGAGCTAGATAGCAGATTCCTGGATAGATCTGGCTTAGCTGTTACCCCTACACCGCCATCATCAACATATTTACGAACTGATCTCCAGCATCAACAGCACGCTCATCTACATCAGCATCCGCAGCTGCTACCACCAGCATCAGCTTCATCAACTTCCTTGCCAGCTGTGCAGCCAACATCCGGACAAATTTTTCCCCCGCCATTATTTAAAGATATTTCCAAAATCTCGTCCGTCGATCCTCAGTTCTATCGCACTGGCATGGGATTGCCAACAGGAGGCTACACAGGATACACCTCAGCAGGCCTTTTACATAGTGGCTTAGGTGGCCCAACGCCGTTTATGCCTCCTAACCACTTAACTTCCTTTGCCCCAAAGGTAAGAGCCGATAATAACAGGGTAAGCTTAAAACAATTTGTTAGCCTTTAGAGTTAGTTAGAAGGAATACTTTGTAATGATAAATTGTTGTCCAGATATTCCTGCTATTACATTTTATCTTGCCGTAGTTAATTATTATTTACGGTTGTCTTAAAAAATATTTTTAAAATACACATATACAATATTTTTATTGCAGAAAACTGGTCGTTGGAATGCTATGCATGTTCGCATAGCGTGGGAAATTTATTATCACCAAAACAAACAAAGCTCCGAAAAGACAGGATTCCCAGCGGCCTCATCGAATGCACCATCGATCAACGCACCAATTCCTCCAGGTAATCTGATAAGTGGTGGTGGTGGCATCGCCAGTGGAGCTAGCACACCAGTAAATAATGTAGCAGCTATACCAGCGGTGGGTGGCGGTGTCCTTGTGTCAAATGGTCCGGCCTCAGTACTTGGTATGAAGACAACACCAGCTTTAGGTATAAATGCGGCGCCACAGCATATTCTTCATCGGGCAAATGAACTCCCTCCATCGGCAGCTTTTGCAGGTGGTTTGCCAGGCCGATTAGCCTTTGAAACGTCTCCCTTGGCTGCGAGTTTCATTGGTGCTCCTCCTAGTCATATTGGTAAATAGAAAACATATTTATGATTGCTTTTTTTTTTTAAATAAAAATAAAAATGTTTTTAGGAACCGCTGTTTCCCCATTTGGACGCTATGTAACTCCGTTTGGATTCACAGGACTAACACACTTTGGTGGTCATTTAGACTCTTGGAGGTAAATAAGAGAAATTTATCGTAAAAATTTCCTATTTCAAATATTATATTTTATCTTTTTCTTAGGACAAATGCAATGCAACGAAGTGTCGCCTATCATCCTTCGACCGCTACGGCATCTCCCAATTGGCCGGTAAAGTCGGATCCTGGCCTGGACAATGCGCGGCGCGAAGCCGAGGAACGTGAGCGTGAGCTGCGGGATCGTGAACAGCGGGAACGAGATCGCCAGCGGCGCGAACGTGAGGAACGTGAACGGAAGGAAAAGGAGGAAAAACTTAAGCGCGAACAGCAAGAAAGGGAACGCGAGCGAGAACGTGATCGAAAGGAGCGTGAGCGTGAACGTAGGGAAATCGAGCGCCGGGAACTGGAACGGGAGCGAATGTTGCAACAGCAACGGATAAACGAGAGCAATAAGCAGGCAGCAGTTCAAGCTGCGGCTGCTGTGGCGGCACCCGTTCGCGATCGATCACCACATCGAAATGTTGGCGAGCTTAATACGGAAATTCGAATTAAGGAGGAACATCCGCGCACAAAGGATGAACAGGATGTAATGCTTTTGCGTGCTTCGGCAGCTGGAGTTGGTGTTGGTGATCCGCGCTATCATTCATCCTCGTTGGCAGCCGCCCAAGCTAATGCAGTTGCGGCGGCGGCCCATCATCATCATGCCAACTTTATGGCAGCCAGTCGACATGGTTTGCCGCCACCACCATCACACCTAACCCGCACAATGATGCCACCCACTTTGAGTGTCGGTGGGCCCATCACGCACTTTGGTGCACCAGCTCCGCCAGGCTGGGGAATAGATCCATACCGCGATCCTTATCCGATGCTTCGCTACAATCCCATAATGGAAGCTGCTCTGCGACATGAAGCCGAGGAACGACAGAAGGCGATTAATATCTATGCAGCCCAATCTGCAGCTCATTTGCGCAGCAAGGAACCAAGTCCTATACCGCCTTCAGTTGGTTCTTTGGGCCCTCCACCGCCCCATCATCGATTGCAAATAGTATCTGGTGGCGTTGTGGCATCCTCAGGTGTTCAGCAGCCCGGACCGCCGAATCAGCAACAACAGCCACAGCTTTCTGGTGGCCCGTCAATTGGAAAGAACCCAGGACCCCCAGCACCAGTAAGTATGCCAGTCCAGCATATGATTAGCGTCGATTCAATGAGCCAACAAACTGTTACCGCTAAGAAGGAAGCTGACCACACGATGGGCATTGTAGCAAATGCTGGTGTGGGTCTAAGTTCAGTACCTGGTGGTGTAATAGGAATTTCTCCAGTGTCATCAGTGGCACCAAGTCGATGATAAAAGAATCGTTACTAACAATATTGTAAAGGCGAATAAGACAAAGAAATTTAAAAAATTTCGATCACCTCCACACCACCACCAACCAAAATGTCATCATATACGCAAAGTCCCATCCTAATTACCTCCTCCTAGCATCATTTTGAAGCCTGAGAGAACACCAATAAATATAAAGCGCAACGCTTTTGTAAACTATAATTCTTGAAATACATACATTAATTTGTAACGTGAGGAGATAGATAAAGATGTTTGTGGCAAACAAAAATCAAATTAAAAGAGGTTAAGACTTCCTTATACTTCAGACCTAGCATTCAACCTAAGCACTGAGTCCCACATTGGCAAAATACTTTCCTCGATCTTAATATGGGTCGCGCGTTGAAACGTCACATATAAGTAATACGAACTTTACTTATTTTTAATAAATACAAATTACAAAGCATAAATATAAATTTAGGTTCGCAAATTAAGTTTAAGCGTATTTGTATTATTTGTATAAATATAAGCTTAAGAAAACAGCCACGAGACATGTTGAGCAACAAAAATAATTATAATTTGATTGTACATATACATATATATACAAAGAACTCTCATAGTTATATGACATCAACATGCAGCCTATGGAATCCAAACTATCATGCACATGATACATAACTCTATGTATATCAGTGACAGCTTCATTCCCTTTGTGCATTACGTGTTTAAGGACTAATTATCATATATGCAATTTATGTAAAAAATTGATAAAACTAAAAATAGAATCATTACAAAGAAAAACAAATTCTGACATATAATTCTTGGGGCAGGCAGTATCTCTTTGTGGGTGGTCCATAAGTTAGTTCCCAGTGACACCAGTCCTTAAACGAGAAAAACCAAAGCAGATGGACTGGGACTCGAAGTGATCAAAGCCGGGCAAGCTTAACTCAACTTAGGCAGTTTCTCCATATCGGTGAACCGTCCATAAGTTCCCAGTGACAGCAGTCAGTAAACGAGAAAAACAAAAACTGAGGAAAAGTTCGTCGTCTCTATTGCCGGTGGGTTGGAGCTGGGTGTGATAACAGCTAGGTAGTAGCTCCTTATGCAAGATCCATAAGTCCGATGAAGTTTCTACATTCCAGCGCTGAAATGCACAGTATACAGGTTTAAGCCCAGTAAGCAAAGTATCTCCATGCGTCCATAAGTCCAAGAAAACTAAAGGAGAGCAGTACCTGGTCTCTTTTGCTGATGAACTGGGTGTGACCAAAGCCGGGAAGTATCTCCAGGTCGGTGATCCATAAGTCCACAGCGGCAGCAGTCCATATACAAGAAAAACAGAAGCAGTGCAGTACCTGATCTCCAAGGCCGAATGATTGGATCTGGCAGCGGGACAGCTTAACTTATGAAATATGCCCCTCGACTTATGCAGTAAAAATCAAAAAAAAAATCATGTCACTCACCTTGATTTCCGTCTTGCCGAAGTCCATCGATGATATAGAAAACATCGTCGTATATATCCAACATCACACGTTATCAAAAGTCCAGAAAATGGATTTCCAAAAAAATCCATGATCCACTGCATCCTCCATGGAAGCCATGTCCAAGTACCACCAATATGATAGGGGGTACCACCGGGCCACTTGGAGGCACTTGGAAGCACTGTACTAGAACACACACACACACATAAAAATGACTTGACTGATTTTCACCGGCCAGCAGCGCCCTAGTCATAACATTTCTGCTAGAACAACTTGGGAATTACAAGTACCGCGGAGTGCACAAGGTTAACTTGGAGTTAGCCTTTAACTAACAGTTCACAATCAAAACTTAACTTCCAGGTAACTTTCTGGTAAATTTAAAAATTTCTGTTTACATTTGAATTTTTCTTTGCTAAAAATTTTAAAATTAATTAATTTAATAAAATAAATTTTAAATTAATAAATTTAAATTTGATTTTATTTTGGGCAATGTAAAAGGCCTATTTTGAACTTTCATAATCCTGAAAAACAAACTGCCTTTCCTCACAAGGATCTAAATTTATTTAAAATATAAAACTTATCCGTTATCTGGTTAAAAATTCGTAAGATTCGAGCCTGGGCAGGCCATTTTTTGCCGCTCGCTCTCAAGAAGTCAGTTATCAGCCCATAACTAAGCCAATAATGATCCAAATATGGAATTGTATACCTCGTTAAACTTTTTTTCTGAAACTAAAAATAGAATCATTACAACGAAAAATAAATTCTGGACTATACATTTTAGGGCTTTTCATGGTTCGAAACATAAGTGATCGGAGGTCCAACTAAACTAATTCGGATAGGATCCTAAAATATCTGGATATCTGGATCCTAAAATCTAGAAATTCAACGGCACATGAGTCAAAAACATATAATCGCACAGCTGTTACATTAATTGGGGGAAACCCATTTTCAAATAACTTTGAAAAATCAATAATGTCCGAAAGTCAAAGATATGGAATGGTAAAGTTAGATAGATATCTTATGGTGCTATGTTTTATGCTAAATTCTTTTCGAATATCTTCGAATATAGTGTATATAAACAGCTCCTTTATCAAATTACCCAGTATTTTATAATTTCCCTTGCAGTAAAAACATTTATAAAAGAATGGTTTTTAACTATGTGCCTCTCGCTCTTTTTCAAAACTAGGAAATAAAATTGGTGTGTGTTAAGGTCCGAAGAAAATAATATTAAGAGAATTTCCAAGGTAATTGATTTCGAAAAACTTTTATTTGCAAAAATTAAAACGAGACACGGTCCGCTCTATCATCAGATATTTATGTATCTTTTTTACCCAAACTAGAAAAATTTAAAACTATCAATCTTCATGAAAAAGCTTAAAATAACAAATATAATTAATAATTACCACTTACCTTTGAAATCCGCGCTTTCCAAACTACTACAAGTGTTCAGATATTCAGATATTTCCAATTAAAGGAATATAAATTGTGATGATATCATAGCGCTTGCTGTTATCCGTTTTAAGAATCGAAATTGCTCAGAAAACTTAAGATTCAAATGAGAATCTTTAATAACGATATTGAAATTCCCATTTATAAGAACATTTTGAAGGAAAACTGTATATTTTTCTTCTTAATCCAGCTTATATTATATATTGATAGATCATCAGAAAGGGGTATCATTTTGACATTTATTTAGTAGTTTGTTTTATTTATCTAGATTTTTAGTTTTAATTGTATCGGATTTTTATTTAGAAAGGCATGCTAAAATAATGCCCATGATCGGGGGCCACTCGAAATCTCTATAAAAACCTTGGTGGTCCAGAATTGTATGTCCCGGAATGTTGTGGATGTGATGTTGGCGATGGTTGTCCTTGCCGCAGGATTTCGAATGGCGAGTTCGAACGCTGCATAAAGTGGTGATAGTTGTTTGTTGGCAGTTGGTGCTTTAAAAATAAAAGAAAAAAGATTATCATAGAATACAATTAGGAATAATATTAACCAACCTGTATATTTCGTAGAGTCATTGAACCGACAGCACTTCCAATTATATGAGGGCTAGGTCCATCGCCTAAATCTAATTGCAAGCTCTCGGACATGTCGTTATTACTGCTTACTGCGCGTCCGCCAATATTACTGGCGCATCCAGCTCCATTATTTGTCAAATGAAGCTGTCCCAATGAGGCTGTGGCCATTGCCACATCGGGCATCATTTCGGATAGATGGCTATTGGCCGAATCCAGTCCACAGGCACCGCCCTCGGCGCCCATATCCAATCCGAGGCCATTTCCATGCGGGAAACGAAAGTCTCCCTCGGTTATGAGGGCTGGTAGATCGTTGCGTTGATGCACCGATGATGAGAGTCGCGAATAACTACACTGAAGCGTCGGACCAGAGCTGGAACCAAATGCATTGGCCACACCGATTAGTCCATTCGAATGGTGGCGTGGGAAGGTGAGATTTCGGCTGTAGCACGGATGAGCAGCGTCGGTGCCACAAGACGCCACGGATGAGCCCATTGGCGATAAAAACGATGATGCAACATTGGTGTGTCGCGAAACTGAGCATGTAGCTGCTGGTGATGGCGGCGGGCTTTGATCCTCATCCTCAAGCAACGAGTCATCTTTCTGTGATGTCGATGCACTTGTCTCCTCGGCATGATTCTCATTTCGACCTGTATTGGTTTGTAGGGCGATTTCCAGTAGGTCAGATACCTCGTCGGGCAGATTAAATTCCCGCACAACCCGCAGACGAATTTGCCGGTCGATTTCACTCTTTGATGAAAGTGGCAACAGTAATGCCCTCTGACACATTGGCGATTGACGAAGCTTGTGCTCCCGCTTTCGCATTGCTAATAACGTTTGGTTGTCCGGTGGTGGAATAACAGCGGCGCCTACTAATATATCAACATTACCATCAGTACTACGATTTTCTACTGTGCTAAGATCACTATTCGCCTTTGAATTCATATGTGATACCATATAGAGGGTATCTGGTATATCTGGGGGATGTCGACATCGGCGCATACGCATTAGTTCAACCTGATGATGTGACGATGACATGCGATCTTCCAAGAGCGCTTTGACCTCCTCAAAATAGGGCATAAATAGACGAGGCCTAACGTATAGACCTTGATTTTTACCCCCACGAATCCAGGCATTGATACGCAAATTTTCTCGATCATCTCCGATCATGTGCGATGGTGGTGTGCTCACGAGACCTCGACGAATGGCCTGGCAAAGGACCTCACAATGTGGCGGCAGGACATGATCCATACGTACCAGTGGCAATAGTTCCGAGAGTATCTCGCGTAATTCTATGTCGCTCAGGTCGCGTTTCTTGACACCCTTGCGTGCTACCGAGTGGGCTGTGTGGGACAACAAGTTGGGCTCACGATCCTCCATGCGACGAATGAGCTCCTGCTCACCCCACTTGAGAACGGCTTGCAATACTTCCAATTCGGATGCTTGCAAGAAGTTACTATGCAGAATATGTATTAACTGAGATTTATCGAGTTGATGCAACACCGGTGAGGAGCTTACAGCTGCAAATTCCTCACGTAAATACTGACAAGCTTGGCGAAAGACCCATGCGGATCCGTGGGGCTGGCAACCCCATTTCAGAACTGTGGGTAACGTTTCGATGGATAACCATTCAAGAATCAAATCCTCACAGCCTTGAGCCAATATATCCAGCTCTAGAAAACGACCGATCTGATATAACTCCATGGCCTCCTCGAGAGTCGTTGGTCGCACACGTCCCGTATTGGTTAATGCATGCACTTCACCAAGTGAACCAGCCGATGTACCAGAACCTACGCCACGCAATATCAATGTCAAGTCCACCGAGTCCAGATAGATTGCTTGCAGCAACACACGGGCATATCTTTTTGGTATAACAGTTTCATCTAATACAATGCGTGTGGGTACGTGTAATGAACGTTCAACGTACTCGTCAATATTACGCGTACGGCGCGCAATTAGATTTCGAAAAAAAGGTGAACGCGCGCTTAATATCGCTTTATGGCAAGGTAATTCGATCTTCGGTCTAAATCCATACTCCGAAGTTCCTGAGTCTTGTCTTAGATAGTCGTTGGTACCATCTGCAGTAAAGACAAGAGCTGCATCAGCGTAATCACCTGTTTCCAACAAATAGCGCAGATCATGCTCTAGGGGATTCGGTGTACCGAAATCTTTGCCTAGCTGCCGCAATAGGCTTATGTCAATGTTGGGATCATGGGGACATAGATCACCAGTGTATAGGTAGCGTAATAGTGATGAGAAAAGTTGGACATCAATGGGGGAAGTAGGTAATTCGAGACATATACGCGCTCCGAAACCAGGACATCCTGCCAGCAGGTCCCGAAAATATACACAACGTGCTGATAATATTGAACGGTGCACTGAGAATATCGTTCCACGAAAAACCAAATCACAATCGGTGCACAAATTTTTCTCATATATGGCAGCAAGATCTTGTTTAAACGTTGCTGCCGGCGGCCGTGCCAATTCAGCTTGCACCTGTAATTTGATGTAAATCAGGGGTTAATATAGGAATTTAGGTTTATAGGATATTTTTTTGCTAACCGACAAATCCCTTAGAGCCGACAACGCCTCGAATTCCTCGCATAGAGCTGCTAGTTCCACGGGTGCCCAATCAGATACAAAGTCTCGCAGGACGCGTGCGTGATCACAGGCTTTCGAAGAACGCCGTCGACGTATAAACTTGCGTTTAAGTGTGGCAAAGCCGGTGGCACGTTTCCTCCTCTGATCCCGATGGTAATGTGCTCCACTTATGACAATACCAGGAGTTCCGCTAGCATTTCCACTAGGTCCACAACTGCTACTACTATTTCCACTCATGCCAAAAGCACCTGAACCACTAGACATTTCGCCCATTCCGCCCATAGGCAATGCTGATAAATTTCCATTCGAGTTGCTAGAATTGTTATTAGCTCCACTTCCCGATGAGGCGACTGTGGGATAGCTGCTGCTGCTTGACGTATTGGCTCCCATTTTGAGTGTTATGCCAGATCAGATGAAAACACTAAGCTAACTGCGATACGTTGAGTAAATGTTTTTATGCAGGACATGCACACAGGATAATTTTTTGTAATTTCATGCCTATTTTGCCATGTATATACGGTTTCTAGCAGCGCCTACTTAACAACCAGGTTCTGAAAAAAAGACATATGGATTATATAGCTTAGTCTTGAAAAACACTAAGTATATTTGGTAATTACCTTGTTTGTGCAAATTGCCTTTCAGCATTTTATAAATTCAACTTGTGGGGCCTCTTGCTCCTTGAAGCCTTAACAAATAGGTATTTTCTCTTGGACATGATAACACCTGATAGATTGATCTGAAATAAAGATATAAGTATTCGGGATAAGACTTTTAATGAACTGAAAACTATGGAGATAACATCCGAAAAAGTACTTTTATAGAAGTACTACATCCTAAAAGAAACCAGCGATAAATTAAAACCAAAATGAAGAATTTATAAAAGATAAAATAATGAGTCATTTAATTTTTGAGCTCTAAAAAAAGAAACAATATCTAATCATTTGTCTTAAGGAGTTGACAAAGTTGTTAACATATGGAAATAAAGCGGTAATTTCAAAATAGGAAAAACTTAAATTAAAAATTGTGACCACGCCTTTTCCGCCCTCGCAAACGGAAAAAAGCACTTGCATTTTGATATAAAAATTATTTTTTGTAAAATTTACACTGAGCACACATAATTATAGTACTCTATCTTTCACTTACCTGTGCTATTGCATTCAGTCTTCGAGATCCAATTGTTTACAGTTTCTGATAAGAAAGCCAACCGATTGGCAAGCTTAAAACCTTGAGCTCTTAAAACGCTTTCATGATTTGCTTTAGACCCGCCTTACTGGTGAAAAAAAAAAACAAATGTAGGAAAATGTAGCCTTGAAAATGTATCCGAAACAAAATATTGTTGGCAACCTAAAAGATATATTAGTTTACAAGACATTAACACATACACATGGGCATGGGTACATACATACATACAAAATAAACAACGAAAAGTGACACTGTTATGTATTTATGTATGTATATAGATTTTGACTATTGTCTAAATTGACCCACATATGTAAGTATGTATTTAGGTATATACACAAGTAAATAGGACACTAGAACTTAAGGAATAATAAAACATATCTTAAAACTACAGCAAACAAAATATGTCAGAATTTCATTAAAACATAAGGATTCTTTAAAATTTAAAACAAATAATTGTTTAAATAATTTTCACTGTTACACTTTTGAAACCCTTAAAACCAGCGATTTGCATTCTACTATTTCGTATCTCTCGAAATCCACTAAATACATACATACACTCTTATGTACACACGAAGTTGCCAATACGAAATGGAACGTCCCATATGTACATACATACATATATAATAAATAGTTCATCTGCTTGGACAAATTGGCATTCTCATAAAGGTTTCCCAACACTTCTGGGCATTAGTTAATAAAAAAAAAACAAATTTTACAACTCATTCATAGATAACATTGAAATGTTAAATTTATATATACCAAAATAGATGGGCATATGTATAGAGAAACGCACTGTTGCACATGTGCAACTAAACATCTTTTTAAATTTCTATACATGTATATATTTCACTTTAAAATCCATTAATAATTTTGATCTTTGATATTAACGAAAGTATCCAATATGTTTTGACACCGTTTATAAATATTAATTATTAATGGGTTCCTCACATATATTTTCGACGTGCATACATATATATCAATATGTATACAGATTTATGTCCACTGAACACATAAGTACGTAAAATGAGAATTCTATATTTTGTGTTACGGGGCACTAATATTTTCCTATATTTCAATAGCGAAAATATCTACCTACAACATAATTTATAAGATGACTTGAAAAACATACTCTTTGTTCGCAACTTCAATTTTACACAAATTATCGCGTTTTCACTCGACCACTTTAATTCACATTTAGCAGGAACCAAAAGTCTTTAATTTTATATTGTTTAATGCCCATTTGATTCTATTGCATGTTTAATAATTCACATTTTATTTTAGGGTTTCACCAATTGATTATTTTATTTACATGCCAGTATTAAAATGTTCTGAAAATTAGTGTGCCCGTAGGTTCACTGCGATAAAATGCCGAGCGATTGAATATCGATAACAATATGTGTCCGATATATCAAAAAAGCGTTTATATTGACTAAAGCTTTATATTCTCACAAAATGATTTAGAAAACTACAGCTTTTTTACTTACACATTTAAGCTATAGTAATATACAATCAAGTATAACAATTGCAAAGTGACCAATAATATTAATAATAATAATAAATTAATATTTATTTGATCTGTATACATATATCGATAACTGAGAACATCTCTAGGGTTTTGAACGAAGTAAGAGTTCGATTTTTTGCAAATGTGAAATGTATCCTCTATCGAGAAACTAACTTGTTTCTTTTAAAAATGTTTTATTTGTGCCATGGTAACCGAAAATGAAATGTGTAAACGGTTATGCAATCGTAAATAAAATAAACTATCCATAATTAGAGTTATAACAATGCTTTACTTTTTTTTTTAAACATAAAACTTTGTAATCGGCTATTTTTTTTTACAATCTTTTTTCTAAAATTGGGAGCAACAAAAGTACTATAACACAATTAAAGGGAATTAAAATATTATTTTTAATGATTTAATCACTAAGCTTGTTAATAACTAGCATCCCGAGAAATTACATTTCGTTTAAATATTGTTTTTATATGGTTTACAAATTGCTAAACCTGAAGTAAAATAAAAATGCGAAAACACATATTTAAATGCTTTTAAATTAATATTTTTACAACTACACACAGAGTGAAACTTTATTCAACAACAGTAAACATATTTATGTATATGGATGTATTGTATTAATATTTTTCCAATGTGGCTTTGTGGCTGGTAAATTGAAGAGCGAAAACAGAAGCATATTTCATAGCGCATAGGTGATGCTCCACCGGGGAGCGATATAAGTTATGTGATGCCATTTTCGGCAATTTCTGATGTGTCTCACCCCAGTTTACCGCGCCCTAAACTTTAACTTTCATATTGTGCGGGTGGGTATTCTATATTTAATCCTTGCTCTGCATGTACTTGATCAAATCGATGACACGGTTGGAGTAACCGAACTCGTTGTCGTACCAAGAGATCAACTTAACGAACTTGTCGTTAAGAGAAATGCCAGCCTTGGCATCGAAGACCGACGAGTGAGTGTCGCTGAGGAAATCGGTGGACACAACCTCTTCATCGGTGTATCCCAAAATTCCCTTCAAAGGTCCGTTAGCAGCCTCTTGGACTTTGGCCTTAATCTCATCATAGGATGCGCCCTTGCCCAAACGCACCGTCAAATCAACAACGGACACATTTGGTGTGGGAACGCGGAATGCCATTCCAGTAAGCTTACCGTTCAGAGCCGGAATAACCTTGCCCACGGCCTTGGCAGCTCCCGTGGAAGCTGGAATGATGTTCTGAGCAGCACCACGTCCATCACGCCACAATTTTCCAGATGGTCCATCGACGGTCTTCTGGGTAGCAGTGGTGGCATGGACGGTGGTCATCAGACCCTCGACGATCTCGAAGTTATCGTTGATTACCTTAGCCAGTGGAGCCAGGCAATTGGTGGTACACGATGCGTTGGAAACCACCTTCATATCCGGGCTGTAGGCATCCAAATTGACGCCGCATACGAACATAGGGGCATCGGCAGATGGGGCCGAAATAATGACTTTCTTGGCACCGCCCTTCAAGTGAGTGGAAGCCTTGTCGATGGTGGTGAAAACACCAGTAGACTCGACGACATATTCAGCGCCAGCACTGGCCCAGTTGATATTGGCCGGGTCGCGCTCACTGAACACGGTGATCTTCTGGCCATTTACAACCAGGAAACCTCCCTCGGCGGCAACGGTGCCCTTAAAACGTCCATGGGTAGAATCGAACTTGAAGAGATACACCATGTAGTTCACATCGATGAAGGGATCGTTTACGGCCACAACTGAGGCTCCCTTTTCGATGGCGGCACGCAGAACCAAGCGGCCGATGCGACCAAATCCGTTAATACCAATCTTCGACATGGTTAACTCTTTGTTTATCTATAATGAATATATATATGTATAAATAGTAGTTAATATATAAAAACACTCAAGAAGATAGTCTAGAAAGAATAGAGCCACTACCTATCGGCTTGCTAGCAAGGAATCGACTGTGACGGCTGAGAAATTGTGAGCACTTTCTATGGGCGAAAACTTGGGCGAGAAAATTTTCAAAGTCAGATGAAGGACGTGCATGTCAAACGCAAACACCACAATAAAATGAGCTTTTGCTCTCCCAAGTTGTAAAGCTCAATGTTACCCAACAGGCTTGTTTTGTTCGTTATAATAATAAGCAAATAATTGTACATAATAAGAACATAATAAATAGTTGAAAACTTAACATTTTATATTTCTACTATACCTTATAACGTTTAAAAATAACTGTTAATTTTTATTCCTAAAAAATGTTTATTATGTTATATTTTTTGTAGATTTCTTCTGCTGAATTTTGTCGCTGGAAGTTTTGCTGTTTCAGAGCTTTGAGAGAACATGTGAATATAGAATTATTCCACTCCAAGTTTGGTTGCCGGTAATTACATATGTATGTATTTGGTACATATGTACATAAACATGTCTTGATGAATATCAATTGGAAAGGATGAATATATGTATGCACAAACAAATGCAAACATCCCTACATAAATATTAGTTCCCTAAATTAAATATTATTATGTATGAATATTTATGTGCATATTATAGTACAATCATTGAGAAAGAGAGTTAAAGAGAGTTTTGATGATGAACTGCTAATCTTAGAAAAGCGATTTCCATATACCATAATTGTTGTTGGTAATTTCGATCCATTGAATACCCAATAAAAAATCGATTCGCACTTAATAGCTCGCCTACTTTAATTTCATGAATTTTGAATTCATTCTGTAATGAATTGTATTAGTCATAACTCTATGACCCACCTAAAAAATATAAACACTTTGTGATGAAATCTTCATGACCGCGAATTTCGTGATTTTTTAGATTTTAATAGTGTTTTCACTTTCTGATGTCAGAAACTTAAACACTTAAAATACATTGATGCAAGTATATATATGCTGCAGATAAGAAAGATTTCAAAATTAGTTAAATGTATATACATATGCCTATACAAATATTGAACGATTTCATAAACAAGTAAATAAAATTAAATACGTGAATTGGATTGCATTTGTTGTAATAAAGTCGGAAAATAGTAAGCATTACGTACATGAGTAACAATGTCATTAGAAATAAGAAAAAAAAACCCATTATAGTACAAAACAAGTCAAACTTATCTTATCGTTAAACAAATTTAATATAGAGATTACATTCGGACTTTTCAACTCTTGTTTTGCATATCAATTTGTATTCATGGCCTCATATACTTTTGTTATTAATGAAGCAATGCGAGAAAAATATACATTTAAAAAATCTTCAAAAGGAAGACAATACTTTTATGTATAAATATTATGAATAATTATAAATTTACCCTAATTAAAGAATTTTTGTCGAGTTTCCTATTGTTTTCTTATATAAAGCAAACCAAAACAACAACTGTTAGAAGTGTTTTAATGGAATAACTTTGATTAATGTATTTGTTCGTTTGGTGACATTTCAATCGGTATCGATAGCAAGTACGCTTGGTGAAAGTGCAATCGGCTAATATTTTTCGATATTTCGCTAACGGCTTTTCCGTGCTTTAAAAAAGTAACCGTTTTAACGTTCACTATGAAATGTAGGCAACGAAATGTCAGTGCTAACAAATATGGAAATCTTATTTGCTTTTTAACATCCCTTTTGAGCTTTATATTATTACAAAAGTGCTAATCAGCAAAAATAGAGCTTGATACGTAAGCTTTTAAATATGATGTATAATAAATACTTAGCTTTAGAATTGCGGCAATTAAATGAGCCACAATCACAACACACAACTCATAGACATCTAAATACCCTTCGAGAGTGAGGTTAATGGCGCCGGGTTCCCACGCCAATAATCCAAGTCGACTTTTTAACCTAGAAACCTCATTATAGATGGCAGCTCCTTGACGTCACAGGGTGAAATAGGCTATCTTTATCTAGAAAAACAGAAACTAGGATCGAATCCAACCGACATCTGACAACATATACTATTTTTTAATGCTGCTATCTAGTACTTTTTGGCACACCCTAAAAAAAATTAAATTATATATTATATAAATTAATATTAATACATAAAGCTTTAAAGCTGATTAAGACCTTCTATTTTGATATTTTAATATTAATATACTTTCTCGGAAGTTTATTATGTGCTGGTATAATAATGAGTCATATCGTACAGGCTTTGCCCATAACGATAAAAAACATTTAAACAACAAAAATTATATTCGATGTTGAAAACAAATTTAAAACTTAAAGGATGTTTTATAAGTATTCATATATTTTTCTTTTAATTATATTAGCCCTAATTCTATTTATTCGAACTACGTATCATGTTTTTAAAAATGAGTTCCCAGAACTAAATAAATATTCATGACTAGGATTGTGGGCAAGCCAAAGCTGATATCAAATTACCAAGTGTTTAATTGAAAAAAAAAAATGAATTTGATTGCATATAAATGTAAGACTATTAGCATGCCAGTTTTATTAACCCGTTAATCCTGACAGACCAAACTCTTAATTAATGTTTTCGGCATGTACATATGTGCACACGTACATTAAATGATATATGTATGTAGCATTTGCTTAACACAATTTTCTTTATTATTTATTCTAGATATAACGCTGAGTTGACGGCTATGACACAAATTATAAATTAATGTTAGTAATCTTCAGTTTTCTTTTTTTTTTAAATATGTATGTTTGTATGTATGTTTATTACATGACCATGTTTTATTTAAATTTCAATTTGTTTTGTTGACAGTTTTTTTTGTTTTGTTCAATTATTGTTAATAACTAATTACAAATAAACCATTTTATTAAATTTGTCGATTTTTTCGGTTGACAAATAAAACAGTAATTAAATTACAATACATATATGCGCATATATATGATCGTGTGGCATATATATGTATATAAACATAATGTATACATAATTAAATTTACACGGAAACACACATACATAGAGAAGGATTCTGATATTAACATACTTAAGGGTGATGCGCGGGTTCTAATAACAAAATACGCTTAAAACAAAATATTTAAAAAAGAAATAACACGTTGCATTTTGTTCCTTTTGGGCTGTGATAGAAAAATATTTTAATTCAACTTACTGCTGGAGTAAAAATTCCTGACAATTCGTAAAGTGCGTATGTAATTATTATTTAAACCTTAGATGGACTTACTTTGATGCATTTTTTAAATTTCACAAAATAAATCAACTTTAATTAATCCTTGTTTAAGTTAAACAATAATATTACCGTATGTTTTTATTATTATATTTTATTATTTAAATGTTACAAAGTTGTTTCTTTTCATAATTTATTTATAGTTTTGAAACAGCATTGGTTTTTGTTTTTTTTTTTTTTTAATGGCCGTCCAGAATGTCCAAAATGTACTAAAAATAAAAGTAAGTCCATCTATGGTGAAAAAGCAGAGCTCAAATAAGCTTACCAATAGTTACACATATGTATACATAGGAATATTCGGTTCAATATATTTATCAAGCATCAAAAGTTGGTAAAAATACACAATTTTTCGTCCATTTTAAATGTTGATTAAGTTGTTTTTGATTGGGATTGGTTTAGGATTCCTCGTTGCTTGAAAAACTATTCACTTTAAATCACAATTTACCTATCGGACCAAGATTATTATCGTTTAAAAAATACTTTAAGAAGGTCAATAAACCAATAAGTTTATTACAATTTTCAATGAAATTTGTTTATTATTTTTTGGTATTACTAGGATTTTAGAATGCTGGAATCAAGTTTTCCGCGAATTTTCCTATTACCTCTTAAAATTAATTTAAAACAAAGAAAAAAATGGATAAGAACTTGATGATTCAGTATATTCGTAAGACAGCAAGACAATATCAGTATTTTCACAATATAAGCTTTAGTTTCTTGTTTGCATTCTACAATCGTTTTTTTTTTTGCATTCTTCAAACCTCAGATAAGCCATATATTTATGTAAAACCTCATACAAATTTAGGAGAATAAATTGAACAAAATTTAATTATATAGTGAGGGATGAATGCTCAAATTATTTCCATGATGCTTTTTTATGCCCTTACTGCCGCAATTCTATGAATGTATTTTTTGTTAAGATTTTGTTAAACATTTATAAATGTATTATAAGATTTAAAGGTGTTTTTCAATTTATTGTTATAGCTTATATGGCCATCATATTATATATAAATAGTTTTCCACTTTTTTTCACTAATGCATAGTTTACATATATGTTATTTAAATCATTCTTATTTTTTGTTTGTATATAAATTAGGGACTTAAACATAATAAGACAAAAATTTGTTATAGTGTTTTGTTTACTTTTTGTTTCATTACTTGATTTATAAAGTTTATTACGCAATTTTTTTGTTTTGTTTTACTTTAGGTTTTTGCCGTGATTCTTTTTTTTTTTTTTTTTTGTTATTTTTTTTAAATGCTTTAACTTTATTTGACTTCCACATCCTATTCATCAGGATCCACACATGCTGAAGTTGTTTTTATGTATTATACGCAAAAGAATATGTATTTACTTGTTTGACATACAATGATTACAATGATACCTCTTCTTTTTCTTTTACAAAGTGCAAACGACTGACTGACGCAATTACGGTGTGTTGGCGCACTCCTGGGGATTTCCCATGGATTTTCAGTTGCACTCACCGCTGAAATACGATTTGAACTAAGTTTAATTTACGTACGTTTTTAAACTGTAGCTGTAACCGGAATTCTGACTAAACAACTGACTAACATCAGCGGGCCCATCGTTTTCATTTTCATTTTCTTTTGGTTTTTGTTTCATTTTTCATTTTTTTTTTTTGTTTCAATTTTCCATTTACACTAATAATATTCTTGTATGCGTGTGTATGTCTATTTGTATGTTGCTGCGTATGTCTGCGGTTTTTTTTGTTTGGTTTTTTTTTATTTGTTTTTTTGTATAATTTTAGTTAATAAGTATATAGCAATATAAATAATGTTGTATATAAAGTTCTTTGTTGTTGTGGTCTACGTTCTAGTCAACTAGCTGCGCCCACATATTCAAAACGTCCGGCACTCATTTAATATTAACCACAGAGGTAACACCGAATCATATACATTAGATCACAATGTAGATGATGGGTGAAACACTATCCGCAGACTGCGCAACCGTTGACCTGACACCCCACCCCACCCTTTAATGCATTTTGAAGTTCTTTTTCTTTTTTTGTTTTTGTTTTGTTTGTTTGGTTTTTACTGGTTTTACTTTAGTTCCATACGCGCAAGAAGGAGTCCCACGATCCTGTTGCCACCGCCATACCATTTTCGGTAACGCCCAAACAGGATACACGGTTGTCGTGGCCAGCGAGTATGCCCGACCGTTCTGCCTTCATCGTGTCCCATACATTGCAGTTGAAATCATCGTATCCCGCTAATAACAGACGTCCGCTCTTCGAGAATGCCACCGATGTGATACCGCATATGATGTTGTCGTGCGAATACATTGCCAACTCCTGATCGGCACGAATGTCGAACAGTCGACAGGTTGCGTCGTCCGAGCCGGTGGCAAATGCCTGGCCATTGGGGAAAAATGTTACCGCATTGATATCGGATTCATGGCCGGGGAAGGTTTGTTTACAAACGCCCTCCCGTATGTCCCATAGCTTGGCGGACGCATCACAGGCGCCGGATACGAACGTTTTGCATTGTGGCGCCAGCGATAGAGCCATAACATCACCGGTGTGGCCAAGAAAAGAGGTGACCTGCAATCCCGTCTCAATGTCCCACAATCCGCACGACATATCACCGGAGCTGGTCACGATCTGATTGTCGTCCAGGAAACGGCAGCACGATAGATAGCCACCATGGCCGGGCAGCTCACGGGACACCCGGACATTGCCCTCGCGCGTCTTTAGGTTGTAAATTGAACACATGTTGTCGAGGCCGCCGCAGGCCACATAGCTACCGGATGGGGCGTACGCACAGGTCATCACCCACGATGATCGCAGTGGAATGGCATGGACTTTGTTCGTGGTATGCGAGTCCCAAACGATCAATTTGCCGTCCTGTGAGGCTGATACGAGATTTCTTGAATCGTTGCCCCAATGCATGGCATAGATTTTCGCCAAATGACCGCGTAATGTACGACGTGTACGCATTTGTATGCGGCCAATGGGTTCCAGCGATGAGGCTGCTTGCAACAGTGATGTGTCGCAGGCCGCCTTCCGGGCATCCCGAATGGCATTCTTTAGGGATTCGGCTTCCTGCCTGAGACTGTCTAGTTCATTCATCTTGTGATCGTTGAGACAGAGGCGTCCTTATGGGATGATTTGGTTGAGGATTCGGTTTCGGATTCGGCTAGCCGGCTTTTCTAAATCCTTGTGCTGTGTTGTGCTGTGTGTGTGATCTGTATTCTTCCACTCGCTCAGTAGATGTGCTATATACATCAAAAAGTAAACAAAAGCTTTCATAAACCTATTATACATATATAAATAATATGTTGCTACTTACGCTTACTTTTTTTAAGCTGGCCAATAGCTTAGTCAAATAAATAGCTTTGGATGATCACGCTTTCATACGGCGTTTATTTTGTGCACTGTCTCTAGTATTGATAAATCATGAACTTTGTTCTGCAAAAGTTTCGGTTTTTTTAGTTTTCGAATAATACTATTCACGCATTATATTTTTATTCTCGGTAATACGGTATGCATTTATAAATGACGTTTTTGTCGTAGTCGTCCTTTTGTGCTCTGCCAATTGAATTATTTGGTTTTTTTGTTTGGTTACTTTATTTCTTTTTTTTTTTTTTGGTTGGTAGTTGGTATGAATGTGCGGTTGGTGTATATTAGATCCCTGTAGAAAGTTTGGATTGTTAAATATACTATGTTTAGTGGGGGAATTTCCTAAAGATTTCCTGTGATTCGTTTTCGATTTTTTTTCTTTTCTTTTCTGCCCTGGTTTTCGTTTCTTTTGGTCTGATTTTTAATAAGGAGGTTTTTTGAAGCCTTCGTTTTGGTAAAACTTTTATTTTGTGGATATGATATTTGAAAAAAAAAGAAAGAAAACTATCTTGTGCAGCGGATAAGATGGAAATAAATCAATTTTTCTTTTATGCTCTATAGTTTTTATGCTGGATTTCGGTTTCGAATTCAATTTTTAATTTCTCGCCTCTGTTCTGCTGGATGGGTAGGATATGGGATATGTTCCTTTTGCTTTTTTTGTACACCAAAATTGCAATTTTTGCACCACCACCGCGGCGCAAAGTGGCAAACTGATTGGAGCAAGGAGCACGACCAGTAGATGCGAACCGTGCGCAATTGAAAGCGCGGCAGCAAAAGCAGGTCAGAAGTCCCCGAAAGCGGGCGGTGAGACAAAAACAGTCGCGATGATTAGTTGTCGCATTCGCACCAATGCCGACAGCGTAAGCGCACACATGACAAAGAGTAAGAAGGAAATAGATAAAAAAAAAAAAATAATCAATTTTAAACGTTGAACATTTTTCGTTGGGAAGGCACAGAAATATTTCTCATTCAATTTTTTTATGCGGAATAATAGCCGTGTCTTGAACTTAAAAAAAAGTAACCTGACAATATGCGCCCCTAATAATCATATATGTAAGCGCAAAATATTCGAGACTGCCTTTCATTACTCGTCGTCGCCCGAGTATGAAAATTTTTTTCATTTAGCACATACACACACATTACCATAGATCAGTATTTTTCTTTAAATTGTCATTCACTGGACAGTTTTTTGTTGACGATAAAACGTTACTTACACGTAATGTTAACTTTTTATACGCAAAACAAATTCCCGTCTTCAACTACACAAATAACTGAAAATTTTGTTAACGAAGCCACCAATCTGTAACTTTTCATTTGCACTCTACAATTGGCAGCCAACACCTAGAAACAAATTAAGGGTGCATGAAAGCTGTATCGATGTGTTTGGTTTTTATCGATAGCATAGATACATATTTAGAAATCAGTGTGTTCACACTTCTTGACGGAAAGCAAGTAACATTATTCCGATTGTTTTTGCGTATCCGAAAATTCGCTTGTATTTAGGAAAGTGTTCTTTTATTTTAAATAATAAGGGACAATAAATAGCTTTTTTTCTGAAAATTTAAAAATGTCATATCTTAAAACAAATAACAATCAATCCCATTTTATCTACCGGCTATATTTCCATCCGTTTACGTTTCATGCAACCATGAATTTTGAATAGTCAAAGTACAAACTTAAACGATCACTGCGAAAACGTCAACAAATAATTTTTGAAAAACATTATAAAGTTATGAAATAGATTTGATTAAAATAATATTGTTTTTATATCGATATACCATTTAAGTATCGATAGAAATCTAAAATATATATCAGAAATGAATCATTTAAAAGAAAAAAATATGATATTACCCGAAAAATGAAATGTATCAATTTTGATTGAATCCTACCACTGTTAAGAGAAGAAAACCGGTCCACTGGACACCGACATATTTCCACCCATATGATTCATATATTAAAGTGTTGAATAGCATTTCCGATCTCTCCTCAGGCAGTCACACTGTTTTATTTATTGTTGATAATGTATATATGGTTTATTAAATATGTTTAAGTTAGTTTTTAAACAATACAAGACCAAAAGTAGTACTCCCGATTTAAGGGATGTGATAAATTTTGATGATTTTGAAATTACGCAGAATGATCTACGACAAAATGATAATGTAAGGAATTGACAATGAGACCTGTTGCTGTTGCATTTGAATTTTACAATATTCTTTCTATTTACAATCACAGAATGTTCAACGATTAAGTATCATCAATGAAAAACCAATTCAAATGATACCAGGGATAAAATCACCAAATGATTGGCGATCCTATAAATTAACTCATCATCCCGGCATTGTTATTATCAGAAACCCCTTTACAGAGCGTGGTCGGCGTTATTGGATTGCTCGATGTCTAAGGGATTACCCCCGAACACCAAACGTCGTTAATTTGAATGAAAGACTTTTTAATGATTCTGTTAGATCGGACTGGTGGAAACAGCTTAATCTGTGCAGCGATAAGGACGAATTCCAACGCATAAAAACAGCTATGCGTTGGACAACATTTGGATATCATCACAACTGGGACACAAAGCTCTACGATGAGCAAATGAAATCCTCGTTTCCGGAAGATTTAAGCAGTCTTTGTCGATTATTTGCGTTTACTTTGGGTTACAGTGATTTTAAGCCCGAAGCTGCTATTGTAAATTACTACCCAGTTGGTAGTACTTTATCAGGTCACGTCGACCACTCTGAACCTAATAAAACGGCCCCATTGTTTTCATTTAGGTAATGTACCCGAAAGAGCCACATACATTCACTAATTTTTTTTTTTATATTTAACAGTTTTGGACAGACTGCCATTTTTCTTATTGGTGGAACGACTTTGGAGGAAAAACCAACTGCCATATACCTTCAGAGTGGAGACGTTATGATAATGTCTGGGGAATCGCGTCTGTGTTATCACGCAGTTCCTCGTATTATTAAAACTCAGAGAGATTCAACTTCTATGCTGGCATCTGAACAGGATGATGACTCAGAAATTGAATTAAAACTATTGGATACGGCTTTATTTAAGAATGTATGCGAACCCACATTTTGGGAACCATTTTCTAATTATGTTGATGATTCGCGTATTAATATTAATGTACGTCAAGTGTTGAATCTAGGGGATTTTAAGTTATAGATATACTGCTCATCAGTTTTTGGTATTTTAAACCGAAAACCGGCTTATTTTAAGAATTTGTAATTACAGCGATTATTTATCAATTTTAAAAAATATATGTGCATATTTTTTTTTAGAAAAGTTTCCTTCTACAGCCCTGCATATTTTGTACACCCACCAATTAACACTAATTTCCATCGATAAGGAATATGACATTTGTGTACTTTTTGTTGTATTGTGATGCAAATAAAACGCCTAAGAAGAAAATATGTAGGACATAAAAAGGAACATCTTTTGTTATAATAACGAAATTAAATCGTAATTCAGTGCAGGTGTCCAAAAATATTGAAATGATAAAAAATTAATTTTGGAAACAAATTGTGATAAGTATCGAAAATAATAAGGAATCGACGGTGAAACTAGACAGTGGTCTAGTGGAAACATTCCGATTCCGTCAATGGGTATTTTTCTCGTAATATTTCAATCGTTTACGATGGTAAATGCCAACTTTTGCACAATGGTCATACTAAATACCATATTTTAAAATAATAAACGATACGACGCCGTCGAATTCCTGTGTAAAAACGTGAATAATTTGATAAAACGTAAAAGTGCGTATATACAAATAAACAGTTAATATTTGAAAAATCGGTAGCGTACACTTTAAGTACATATGTTCTACCGAGCTTGCTCTCAATTTCAAAGGCTATATGCTAAATAGAGAAGAATGTTTGGCGTGAATATAATATCGTGAAATACATTGGCATCTGTATGTTATCATTTTGCATGGATGAGCATGTCCATGGAAAGACCTGCGAATAACTGTAACTTAGAAGTAATCAAAAGCACACTTGGCGTTAATCCGAATCTAAATTCAAGTGAACAATACGATTTCGATCGCACCGAAAATGATGCGACGCACCCAATATTACGCAGCGATCGTCGTCGTCAGGGTGAACTGGTCCAATGTTTGACGTGCCGCATGCAATTCAAGAGTTTCTCCTTCAGCGACATTTGTGCTCACTACATTTTTACGCACGATAATCGGAACGAGTGCGGTTTAAATCAATTGTACAAGTGTTTGTATTGCAAGCGCGACGTCCATTATTTCCTACGTGAAAAAAAGTCCAATCCCGAAATATATCATTTTTGTTCGCCCAGAAAACAAAATTAAAGATATACCCACACACACAGATATAAAAATATATAAATATAAAAATGGCGAATGCGAGCAGTGAAAATGGGGAAGAGCTATTGGTTTACGATGGGAACTCTGACTCCGAGGAATCGGAGTATTCGGAAAACGAAGATATGCAAGATGGCGATAAGGAATCGCCTTTAGTTACACCGAATAGTAATACCGATTCGGGATATCCACTGGAATCCTCTCTGCAAGATCCGAAATCATCTGGAAAAAATGGTCAGAATAAGAGTAATAGTAGTAGCAGTATTGGGGCAGTACATCCGAATTACGGTTTTGGCAAACGTTGGTCCAAATCCGAAGATGTATTGCTAAAAAAATTGGTAGAAAAACATGGTGAGAACTGGGAGATCATTGGACCGCACTTCAAGGATCGAATGGAACAACAGGTTCAGCAGCGGTGGGCCAAGGTACTCAATCCCGAGCTTATTAAGGGTCCATGGACTAGGGACGAGGATGACAAGGTCATTAATCTGGTGCAAAGTTTTGGACCGAAGAAATGGACACTTATAGCTCGATACCTTAACGGACGCATTGGAAAACAGTGCCGCGAAAGATGGCACAATCACCTCAATCCGAATATTAAGAAAACAGCTTGGACCGAGGAGGAGGACAAGATAATCTACGAGGCACACATTCAATTGGGAAATCAATGGGCAAAGATTGCCAAACGTTTGCCCGGTCGCACTGATAACGCTATCAAAAACCATTGGAACTCAACAATGCGTCGTAAATATGATGCCGAACGCAGGTCGGTTAATGCATCTGGTGGCGATTTGAAGAGTTCGCGAACCCATCTTATAACGCTAATCAAATCCGGTGGCATTAGCAAGGGGCAGTATAACGTGCAACAAAAGCAAGTTTCCGCAGAAACTATCGAATGTAAGCCAATTATCAAATCCGAATATATTGATGATACGTCAGGCGGACTATCCGGGTCACAAGATTCTTCTGGAGACGTAAATCAAATCAGACCTCTAGCTACACTTAATATCCCCAATCATCTGAAAATTGCACTACCGCGCCAAACACCAAACATATTAAAGCGTCCGCGCAAACACATTCCCGAAACTCACCATCAGGCTGGTCCATCAAATGGCGTTTTCAACCAGGAAGAAGCCGCCAAACCCCGTCAACCGGGCTCGCCTGTTATTACGCCTATTAAATCTCTACCCTTCTCGCCGAGCCATTTTCTTAAGTCACCATGCCTGACTACCTTTGAAGATATGAATTTAAGAGCAAGCACACCAGTAACTAAGGTTTACAATCGCGTTGGTATGGAGATCAAGAAGGAAATGGATAATTCATCCATAGAAACTCCACATAAAAGTAAGTATTTCAACACACATATATTTAGTCAGTGCATCTTGAAAACCCACTAATATATTTTCTATTTCAGGTCAACTTGGTCCACGTACACCAACGCCCTTCAAAAAGGCATTAGCTGCTATTGGAAAGAAAAGGGATGGCCGACGATATGAACCATCTAGCCCGTCCAGTTTAGTGGAAGATCTTGCTGAAATCATCCATGAGGAACATCTTAGCAATTCACTAACTGCAAACAATTCCAAAATGATGGGTGCTGGCGATCAAAATACTTCAATCAGCACTGAAAATAATATTCAGTCGCCGCATTTAAAACGTGCCAGAAAATCACTACTTTCAACTTGGAGCTCCAATCATCTTTCGAATGGTAGCTCCGCTAAAAAGATGCAGCCTTTCGAAACTGAGACACCCAGCAAGTTTCTCACATCGCCATGTAACATTTTGAAGGACACGCTATGCAGTGAACAGGATCTACCATTCGACGAAGGGCGAAAGGAAAATCGACCATTCCATAATCGCAGAAGCTACAAGTACCGTGGTGGTTTGTCCAATGATCATGTTATTGATCCGAAATGGGCACGAGTGGCTTGTGGGAAGACCAAAGATCAATTATTTATGGAGGAGCAAGCATATGAGTGTCTTAAAAATTTTTCCTGTATTCCACGTTCCCTAAACTTTGAAAAGCAAAAATGTTTGGTAAACTCATTTGACCGTTTTGGCTCGCTATAATTTTCATGTTGCTATATGTATTAAAAAAATCAATTGAATATAATTTTTATGATAGTGTAGATATGGCTCCTTCAATTTGAACCCGATTATAATTATTATGAGCAACGCATTTCAAAATATGAGTTAAATTTCTACATTTATTGCACCATTGGTAACATACACTTTCAACTGTATCCCATTTTTTTCGTATATTTAATAAATAAATATGCCTAAAGTAATAAAACGCGTTTTAGCTAACAGACTGTTCGAATTGTCGAATTTTCAAATTTGGAGATGGTAAAGCTAACAAGTAGATATGTTATACCTTATTTACATTTTGCGTTGCCTTTTTTTAGAAAACATGAAAAGATCTGTGTGATTAAAATTCATAAACAATGAACAGAGCATATTCAAATATATTTCAATTGCTTGGTTGAGATTGGCTTGAAGGATCACTAACTAATATTTTATTAAGATATTTTGGCACAAGTTGTTCCGCGGAATAATGGTCGAAATTAAACGTTTCAAAGAATTGATCCCGGTGCTTGCGAAATACCTTCGGATTTCTGCAAAAGTTATAGAGCTTCTTAATCAGAGAATTGGATGTGTTGTACAGATTTTCCTTCGGATAGATTTCCGGATAAACTAATTTATTGGGGACAATAGGAAAACAGCCACAAAAAGTTGCTTCCAGCATGGATACCCCGAAAAACTCATGGTCCGCAGTTGAAATCACAATGTCTCCAGTCAACAGGGTCTGCACATAGTCCTCCCGTTTTAAATGCCCAAAATTTACCAATTTTTCCCCCAGTCTCTCCTGTATATTATTGAAGGCCTCTGGTATCTCCTGGTAGCTTTCGCCGCATATAGTCACCTTGAAGTTCACATTGCGCTCATTAAGCTCGTATAGCGCCTCAGTCAATAGCTTTGGATTCTTATCGTGTTCCCAGCGATGTGGCCATATGAGATGGAGGCCATCCTGATCCCGATCCAGATCAGCATTAATATCCTCCTTTACAACTAACCGCTTGTTGGGAAATCTATGAAACCTGACGGGGAAGTAAAGCACCTGGCATTTCTTCTCGATTTTCTCCCTAATCTGTTGTATTTTAAAGTCTGGTTGGATTTTTAAAAAGGGTTGCACATTATCCAGAAACGATGTGCAATTGAACTGCGAATTGAATATCACAATGTCTGCGGCTAGGCTAAAAATAGGAAAATATAAAAATTGCATCGAAAGGGAAATAACCGAGGGACTTACCAGGAAAGAATCTCATTAAAACCATACTGACAATCCCGTTGTTTTACCTCACGTACGGGATAGATCAGCTGGTTTTCGTGAAAGTATACTATTTTACGGCACGTTCCAAGATCCGGACGAATGCCAATCAGTTCGGCCAGGCTGAGAACGGAGCTGGTGAATAGTACCCGATATTCGTGATCGAGGGGGATCAGCTGTGAGAAGTGCAGAGCGGAGGTTCGTGCTCTCCAATGCCATTTCTTGGCGGGAAGGCTGAATATCTCATAATCTGTATGGCTGAGACCTGCGGAATATAGCTATAGTACAAGTAGTAATAGTATTTTACACCACCTACCCTCGATCACTGTGTCAATCAGCTGTTTGTGACTTCCCCCGTAAAATGGTTCAATAATCAAAATGTGTGGCTTGGTGGACGTCATGACTTCGAATACTTTAAATCAGTGTGACCACGAATAATACTATATTTCCAACACATTAATTTACTAATACATTTCGATTAATGATAATATAAGCAAAAAAATAACAAGACTTAAAACAGCTAAGGCCTTTTATACATTTTTCCGTTAATTCATTGATATAAATAAAGATTTTATTTATTTTTTCATCATCAGCTGTTTGGAGGCAGAACTTGCAAAACAAGAAAATACTGACAGAAGAAGCTCGCTCATAATTTGATATTTACATCGTTTGAAAGCTGGCCACACCGATTTTATAAAATAAATGAGTATGTATAAGTATTTACCATCGTGTCGTTATAGGAAAATTAAAAATTGTGTCATCTCGGGCAAAGATAAATGTTAAAAAGAAAAACCCAAGTGAAGCATAAGTATTTCATAAACAAGACGCTGCTTGTCTGCAGATTGCATCGTTTATCCAAGTAAAGTTCAACGCACAAAAAAAATTTATCGCGAAAGTACTTTTTTATATCCAACACCATCTACATACATATGTGTGTATATGTACAAAGACAATGATATGAATATAGGAAAAAATTTAAGATGTTAAATATATCATATAAGCAATCATAGATGTAATTTATATGAATCCCAATGTACGTATTCATAATCTATACTGTTTTACTTAATTTTAGTGTCTGGAGATTGGGCATATAAACATACACATATATATTAGTGCGCAGGTATATAAAGAAAACATTGAGAAAAAAATAACAGCCGAAATAATAGTTTCAAATATTGGAAAAACAATTGAATACAATCCAATTTGAAGTGTTTAAAGCAAGCAATGTAGTCGGATTACGATTATGTATGATTGTAATTGACTAAGAAAATAATCGAAAGTTACATCAAATCGTTCAAGAAAAAAATTACCAAAGTTGCATATAATCAAAAATGGCATTTGCCAATGATGGTAACAATTATATCCAATCAGAGAAATTGAATACACGGAAATATATTGTGCAGTTAAATCAGTGAAAAACTGAATTTGCTACAAAAACGGAAAACACCCTCTCGCCATGTCGGTAACATCTTCGATAGAAAAGCCAACAACTACTACAGTTCAACAACAACAACAACATCACCAGCAACAGCACCAACAACAGGAGAACACAACCATTGCAATTGTAGCTGGCCAACAGAAACGAAAGTCCCTGAATTCCAAGCGTTCTTATTCTTTATCATCAAGTGCATCGAGTTCTGCTTCCTTCGGGGCGATAAGGTCCGCGACATCGCCATTAGTCACCGAGAAAGAGAAAAATTCGGGTAAATTTTATCATGGGCAGCAAGCCTTTTTGTCATTCTTCTCGTATTCATACTCCACCGATACCATAGCAGGTGTACATCAGCGGCAGTCTTACGCATTGGTCCAGAAACCACCATCGTTGCGTTACCAGGGTAAGCCCCAGCATCATCATCATCAGCTATTGGCCAACTTCTCGCCAACGATGACCACCTCGGAGCCCTCATCCCCATTGGCCGTCGATGGATCCGGATCTGGTATCCACAGCCCATCGGAGGTAGCCAACACCCATTGTTGCACTAATGTCAAGGCCAGTATTGCTCCGTTGGCCACACAAAAAATGCACCGAACAATACCATCTGATAAAGTAAGTCTCGCTCTAATATAGTTAGTTTTATAACAAAATAAATGAAGTGTTTTGAACTCATTAGGTATATGTGTATATAAAAATAACCTTTTTAGCATGTTTATATCTTATTTGAAACTATTATTATTAAAAATGTAATAAAATCTTTCTCTTTTTAGATTAACCTACGCCTCATTCTTGTTAGTGGTAAAACAAAAGAATTTATTTTTAGCCCGTCAGATTCCGCAGGTGATATTGCACAAACAGTATTTGATAATTGGCCAGAAGGTGAGTAAATTGCAGTGGACAAAAATTCTACATTTCCATAATGAAATACTTCCAATAAGAATATGTAAACCTAATCAGATGACAGTCAATATTGATTCAATGTATTAATGATGTTCAATTCTTATTTGACTATTGATTTCCTTTCGTAGGTCAGAAGGCAAATAAATATTATTATTTATACAATGGCAAATATTGTTAATATTAATATGTCATACTATTCGTTTTAGATTGGACCCACGAAACTGTATCGAAAGCTGAAATCTTGCGCTTAATTTACCAAGGTCGTTTTCTTCACTGCAATGTAACTTTAGGCGCGTTGGGACTTCCATTAGGCAAAACGACTGTTATGCATTTAGTGCCACGTGATAACTTGCCAGAGCCCAATTCACAAGGTATATTACCGAAATATAATATATTTTTTCAAATATAAATGATAGAAAACGGTACTTGAGCTTGAAAAAATTAGTTTGTTTCTAATTTGATTTTTCTTGTTTTTAGATCAAAGACAAAATAGTAAAGGTGGTTCTGGACGATGCTGTTCCACAAATTGCTCTATTTTGTAACTAAATTATTATAAAATAGTATAATATTTAAACTAATTTGCATTAAACAAAAATAAATAAAAACAAATATTTGTATAAATTACATTTTTGTGCAGTCAAATATATATTTATTAAACTATAAAAATGTATGTCTGGAAGAACAAGGCGCTTTGTTTAAAATATTAATGTACATACAATATATATATTTTATATATATACCACACAGGAATTCATGAGCATCTGCAAGAAATGCATATACTCTGTATTAAAGTTGCTAGACTGCATATTTATAACATGTAATATACGAATACAATGCTAATTGCTTTTAGAAATCGGACTTGTTAACCTAATTAGAAAAACGAGTAATTACAACACTTATTTCAAATATGTCAAGAATATTGAAAAATCTAATTATGTGAAGAAAAAACTAAGTAACTTTCCCTTTGCGTTCAGCTTTTAAGTGTGCGTCTATAACAAAATAAAATCAGCAATTACTTGTCAGACCGATTCTTTAACACGATTAAAGAATATTCAATAATTTTTTTGTTCTGTATATATACATATTTAATTAGAGTTTAAGTGTTTTCTTCTGTTAAGTTTTAAAATATTATCTGTAAAGTCTAACTTAAAGTCAATGATAAATAAATAATCTAATATATCCTTAAGATTATTTTATATTGGGCATATTTTTTAGTTCGTTATATGATATTCCTGGACTTGTGTAGAAGATATTGCAGGTGCATAAAAATAAATGAATGACGTCAATGACTTTCCCGCAAACACGATCCAAATTTTAGTCAGAATTCGAAAGGAGAGTTAACTACGCTATATAAAACCAATAGTCTTAACTTATTTTGCGTTCTGCTTCGCATTCGTTGATTTGGTCAACGATTTTAGTGATACATGCGTGTTAAAATGTTTGACCTTTGTTGCCAACCTCTGCGTACCACGATAAACACCATGTTCTTTCACCAACTTAAAATTTTCAAACCTAAAATAAAACCGCATTCATTTGAATATTGATAACAATATTAATATTCAGAGCATCCCTACCGTTCCATGCCAACGTTCCATTTTTGTTCGCAAGTTTTCGACACACATTATTTGTATTATATGGTATATTTTGATAACATATTTCGATTTTTCATTGGTCACACTAGTGCAATTCTGAAAAGAAATATCCTATTTTATTTGGTGTAGCGTGAATATATTTCGAATAATCCGATCACAATGACTGCCTGGAGAGCTGCCGGAATTACGTAAGCATTATATAAATGAATGCCACTATATGTTGTGAAAGTTTTCTGTAACAACGAAAACTCATTCAGTGCCGGATTACATAACATACATGTTAATATAAATATTCTTGATTACAGCTACATTCAATATTCCAACATCGCTGCTCGTATCTTGCGCGAATCCTTGAAAACGGAGCTGCGTGTGGATGCCGCAAAACGCAATGCGAGTCATGTGAAATTCACTCCCTGGGCAAATGGCAAGCCAGCTCGTATGTATCCCCATCCAGTTGGACAGTGTGTTTAAACTTAGTGCCATGATTGACCTGCCAAATAGCAGGAATTATATAAAATAATTTATGTTATCTATGGATAATTTAGAATCAATGGCAAAACCATTTTAAATATCATTAAAAATTTTACCGCAGTTTTCCAGCGAACTCCTCCCAACCTAAAGCTCTTCCAAAAAAGGAAGATCTTCAGAAAATTATCGTTTTCAAGTATTTCAACGAAGACAATTGAATAATAAGTGCTAATCAATCAAGTTAAAAGGACTATATAGTCTAGTTCCAACTTCTTACTTCCCTTTTAAAAATTATATTGCCTATACGTAGGCGTAAATGATAGTATTTAAGTTTAAAATATTTCGACTTCAACATTTGTTTACATCTAGACATATTAGAGATTTGTATCATTTACATATAAAATACCCCAAGATTTGAGAAAATCACTCCTCTGATAAATTTAATTCCATTGCAATTTTTTATCTTAACTAAACATAAAGAGGACATCAGATTTATAGTCAAATTCAATTTATATTTCATGTTGCTTAATTTGTATGTATTTTTCAGATGAAAGGGCTTAAGTGTTCTGTTGACAATTTATTAATTTAAAACGTGGCGTAAGTGCCTGCATTTGCAAGGCTGAACCCAAAATATCCCAGTGTTTGCCTTAAACTCATGTGTCTAACTTTGTTTACAAAGCGTCTAACAACGTTTTCAATTTGATTTGCATGTAAATGCGATATGTTTCTACATTCCAAAATTCCTGCCCTAAAGTTCACAACCAAAAAACTATTAACTATACCTTGTAAAGTACAAATAACTTCTTTTGCAATTGCTGATTCTTGTTATCTGTTCTTCTCCACAGAGCGCCAAACCCAGTCGGAATCCTCCTAGATGCTTTCAGTGGCCCCTTTTTGAATGATTTGCAATAATTAACATCTGCAATGTTGTAGGATCATTAAAAACGAAAAAAAACTTTAAATAAATTTGATTTATTTAAACAAGTGCTTTAATTTTTCTTAAATGTGTCATTTTTATTGGGCGTTCCGTTGAGAGATCGCGACCGGTTAAACGGGTACTAGCTGATATTAAAAGATGGACTGTATAAAAAAAAGCAATTGGTCATGTTTAACCGAAACCATTCAATTTTTTTCTATAATTGTTTTAAACGCATATTAGTAAAAAAAAAAAATTTTTCTTAAACACTTGCTGACCAATTGAATTGTTACTTATATTTTGCGCTTTACATATTATATATAGACATTATTTATGTTAATTATTATCCTGTTAGATTATATTTTAATTTAAATATATATATTTTTAAGGTAGAGTATTTTGGATTATCCTTCAAAAATTATCGTTTTGCTACCACTAAGACCGATTAAGTTGCTATCAAGGTGCTATTTTAATTGCAGCATTTGTATGTTGTTGCTGATGATGTCGTACTGTTTTATTACTGTCTATGTCATCGGATGCGACCTTTCAATGGCTGGCGATATTGCAACTCCCATTTTAGATCATAAGTCCTTTAGTATGGTACTCTTAGCATTTTTCAATTTATCGAGACGTTTTAACAAATGATTGTTTGACGTTTCTGCTTCCTCCAATTTTTCCAACAGTTCCCGGTGCTAAAAGGTGTTTATAAATATAGAAAAAGAATCTGTTTTAAAATATTTGTAAATACTTGCCTCTCGTTGAAGCTTACGGCGCTCCACTTTTAATTCGGCTTCCGCCTTTTCGGCCGCTTCTGCAGTGCTCTTGTATCGGATTACTTGAGTCTCCGATCGGGCTAAGCTTGATTGTAAGTTGGCGATTTCCTGTTCCGCCTTTTGTAGCTTATATTTATGGTCTGAAATGATTTTGTTTGATTCCCCTGTCGGATAATATAAGAAATAAGACTCATAATATAATACAAGTATTTTGCAGTTGTATTGTGCCAAACTGCTATAATAATATAGAATTTATTATTTATTTGTTAAAAAACCGAGGTTATGGAATTTACAGAAAGGCGAAAAAATGCGGCCGATCAATAAAATCGGAAGTATATGATAATTACTTTTTCAATTTCGTAACGAAAAATGATAACATAAAAATATAAAATAAAAAAATATATATTCTTCTAAAAATATGTTCATTTTAAGAAGGAATCTGTTAATATTTGTGATGTTAAAGAGCAAGACACTTAAGAACACTGGGAAAACTTTGCATGCTGAAAGTGTAAAGTGTTGTCAATATGTATTTTAAGTAAACATACGTTGGGCCTCGTAATCATTCTCATCACCAAAGGAACCTTGCGAAAGACTGCGACGTCCTGTCATTCCATCACTTTTATACTCGTCAAGCTGTTCGTGAAGCTTTTGCACTTCAGTCAGAAGTCGCTGCTTTTCGTCACTAAACTTTTTAAGTCTTACATCTGAAATTAAATTAATTATTCCAAATTGAACTACATTTGCTTAATCCACGTTGACAATCACCTAAAGATCCCTGAACGGATGCTAGAACTTTTGCATTTTCAACACTAACTAGAGCTCGTTTGGCATCGCTGCCATCGGCATTTTCAACTGCCACAATTATAAGGCCCTGTTCAGCTATCAACGAATCGCGTTCGTTTAACTGTCCTTGTACTAGCTTAAGCTCGAGATTGGTGCGGTCCAAGTTCCTTTTAAGGGCATTACAGTCACGCATTTTCTCCTTAAATTCGCGCTGTAATTGCGCAAAGGATTCTTCCATAATTTCACATTTGTCCTTCAGGAGCTTTACTTCATAGGCCTGTGAGGCACGATCGTTATCCAACTGGGCATTTGTTATCATGGCTTTCCTAAACCGTTCTTCAACATCCTAAAAAGGAAAGGCATACTTGTTAAAAATATAGTCAAAAAAACTAGATGTCACCATATTACCTTAAGCTCATGCTTGAAGTCGCGAAAACTTCTACCTTCATCTTCCACAGAATCCTCACTACTACGCCGAGATGCTGAGGCACGGGTTACGTTTAAAAGTCCGCCGTAGACGAGGCGTGCGGGATGCGCTGAAAGGGTTTCGCTGCCCACTGCAGTGGAATTTTGCATGTCAAACACACGGTCAGCTGTTATTTCCTGCTCCTTTTGCTGCCGCTCCAGTTCCTTCATGCGAATCTCACGGGCTTCGGCACGCGCCTGCCGACGTGCAGCAAGTCGGGCTTCGGCCTTATGGTAATAATTTTATTCGAATTTTAATAAACTTGTTAAAGTATGTATTATTTTAACATTAAGGGGTTATATGGTTTTAAAATTTCCAAATAAAAAAAAATCCATTAAACAATATTAAAAAATACCTCTTTTGTAATTTGATCCAGGGCATTATCTTCGGCATTGATTCGCATGTTGTTCCGTCGACGACCTGTAGTGCTGATACTTTCCATTGAATCTGAGTTCAATTTACCTTAACTTTTTATATTTATCGTAAACGGACGTACGCTGGATGAAATATAAAAAATTAATTAATTTAGTTACAAATGGCATTATGGCCGTAGAAGTTTATCTTATTATTGAGTGGGATTTCAAGTCAACATGGGTTTTGACGATAACATTTTTCAATATTTTGTAAATAAGAACGCTTAAATAAATTGCTTTATAGTAAACAATTACCAGCATTGGTTTTAGAACTTCAAATAATAAAATAAAAAAATTTGTTTCTTACTTTTAAAATTGGAAACTCGTTAAAACATTTCCACATTAGTAAACATTTTGGAATGTCTTAATTGGTGATCATATCTATATGATATGATATTGCTTATCATCGGAACACAACTTGTTATCTAGTATAGCCGACTCACTTATATAAAATCGGCGTATAAATTCTTATTGGTACATAAACATACAAACATATGTAAAGTCTAAATGCGTATCAGTAAATGAAAATAAAATAATCTTTTTTGCAATGCTCTGCATAATGAGTTTTTTTTTTTGGTAACTTCTGCGATTCCTCGTTGTCACTTAGAAAAACAGAAATGCAATAATTATTTTATCTCTGTTTATAAATAGGCAGTTTCTGCTCACTAAAGTTCATCCCCGGAAAATACGTTTTAGGCACTATTTATATTTGTAAAAAAAAAAACCGTCTGTATTGCAGTTTCAATTTTAATGGGAGCGGTGTTACACACATCTGTTTTCCCTAACGTATACATATGTATCTTTCATAGAAAGTGTTTATTTTCGAAGCACTTTATGTTGTTCCCCGCATTCCGATTCAAATATTTACACACTAGGTGACATAAATCTATAAATTAATTAAACACACATACACATAAAAAGTTTTAAGAGACACCTTTAGCGAAAGAATAAAATCACAATTAATCACAATAGAGATGGGCAAAAAATCGATGAATCGATAAAAACAAAGGGAGTAGCTGTATATTATGCGCTTTTCGTGCAGTAATTTTCACTTTTAGCACTAAACCAAATAAAATTCGCATTTTTAAATAAAAAGTTGATACAATTTCAATGCTGAATTATTACCCTTCAAAAACTTTAATAGTTATCCCAAGAATTCAAACCTGGGAATACTGTGAAGCGCAGAAAGGCAGTGTAGTCGGAATGCTGTATTGAGAAATAATTGAACTGGATGACATCACCATCGCTTATCGATAGTCGATGTATGCACACTACATGCCATCCATGTGGCATCGTTGTGTTGTTGTTGTTATTAATCAGCAAAGCCACAAAAGTAGAAATTTGGAAACATGTCCGAGCTAAATATGGAGCTAAATAAACTCAGGGAACTGGTAAGGTCACCAACTTAATTTCCATTAATATGGAGACACAAGAACATTTTCTTTAAAGGAACTAAAGACGAAAGGTCTTGCCGCCAGAATACAAACTGCCAAAAATTGCAATACTGAGCCGCTCGACGTTGATCTAGTTCAGCTTCAGCTTGAAAACAAAAAGCTTAAGAATCGCTTATTTATCTTAAAGAAGGTGAGTTTTAAATCCTCAATAAGTAAAGTCACTTATTTATTATCTTATTTTTGTTCATAGTCCATTGCTGAAGAATCAAATCCCGGCGACATAAAGCTCAAAGATTCTTCTTCGATCACTGAGCATTTGGAAAGTGTATTTGGACAAGCAATTGCATCAGCCTTTCCGGAATTTAAAGATACTCAAGTTATCATAGCACCAGTTAATAGTTCGTCTGCCAAATTCGGTGACTATCAGTGTAACAATGCCATGGGATTATCCAAGAAACTTAAAGAAAAAGGCATTAATAAACCGCCACGTGATATAGCAACCGAGATAAAAAGGCATTGCCCACCGTCGCCAATAATAGAAAAGCTGGAAATAGCCGGAGCTGGTTTTGTGAATGTTTTTCTTAGCAAGTATGTAGTATTAGTTTACTAAAAACTTTACTTACCTTAATTAAATATTTCAATATTTGCAGAGATTTTGCAGCTTCAGCCTTAAGCAATCTGTTGCGTAATGGTGTTAAGCCGCCAGAAATACCGAAAAAGCGAGTCTTGGTCGATTTTTCATCGCCCAACATTGCTAAACAGATGCATGTGGGCCACTTGCGATCCACAATTATTGGCGAGTCGTTATGCCGCCTATTAGAGTTCCTTCAGCACGATGTGGTCCGCATAAATCATCTTGGAGACTGGGGAACACAATTTGGCATGTTGATTGCCCATTTGGAAGATCGTTTCCCCAATTACCTCAATGAAAGCCCACCCATTAGTGATTTACAATTGTTCTACAAAGAGTCTAAAAAGCGGTAAGATTTTTATATTGAGCAATCCCTTAAGCGAAAGAGTTAAATGGCTATACTATTTCTCCGCAGATTCGATGAAGATGAAGAATTCAAAAAGCGTGCCTACAGTCGAGTGGTTTCATTGCAGAAAGGCGTCCCAAACTCTCTAAAAGCCTGGGAACTAATATGCAATGTTTCTCGAAAGGAATTCCAAACGATATATGAACGTTTAGATATTAGCATTAAGGAACGTGGCGAATCATTTTATCAATCCCGTATGCTGTCTGTAGTCGAATTTTTGCGAGGAAAGGGATTGCTAGAAGAGGATGAAGGTCGTGAGATTATGTGGCCTGATGACACGAAGACTGGCATACCTTTAACAATTGTGAAATCAGATGGCGGTTTTACCTATGATACATCTGATATGGCAGCTATCCGTCACCGTGTACAAGAGGAACTCTGCGATTGGATTATCTATGTGGTTGACTCAGGACAAAGCACACATTTTAATACCATTTTCAAAGCTGCCGAACGATGTGCCATCTTAAATCCAAGTAGCCATCGCGTAGACCATGTTCAATTTGGCGTCGTTCTGGGCGAAGATGGAAAAAAATTTAAAACTCGATCGGGTGATACAGTTAAACTTGCCGATTTGCTCGACGAAGGAATGAAACGTTCACTGCAGCAATTAGAGAGTCGAGGACGCGACAAGGTTCTCACTCCTCAAGAGTTAAAGGATGCTCAAGAATCCTTGGCTTATGGATGTATTAAGTATTCAGATTTGTGTCATAACCGGATTAGCGACTATATATTTTCATTTGATAAGATGCTTGAGGATCGCGGCAATACTGCCGTTTACTTACTATACACATATACTCGTATTTGCTCTATTGCACGAAACTCTGGTGAAGACTTCTCTGATTTGCCTGCGATACTGAAGAAAGTCAAGATCGAATTAGCCCACGAAAAGGAGTGGAAACTGGCAAAAACTCTTTTGAAATTACACGACATACTCATAAAGTGTACTAAGGAACTCTTTCTGCACTTCTTGTGTGAATTCTGCTATGAGGTATGCACAGTTTTTACTGAATTTTATGACTCCTGTTATTGTATTGAAAAGAACAAACAAGGCGAAATCATTGAAGTTAACCACAGCCGAATTCTACTCTGCGAAGCAACTGCAGCTGTGCTGCGTCAATGCTTTTATATACTAGGTCTGAAACCAGTTTCAAAAATGTAAAATATCGACTCTGACATAAAATGTTCACGAATAAAATTTTGAAATTTTAATAGAAAATTTTTCATTTTCCGACTTAATTTTTTTATTTGAAATTAAATTTGGATCTGTAGTGCCAAAATTCATAATAATGACATTATATTTTTGCAGGTGGATTTCAATTGCATTCAATCTGATTATCCTCAGATTTATATTAAAAATCAAAAACATGGATACGCACTAAAGCTTTAAAAAAAATAATTTAGACAATTTTCGGATTTTAGAAATATAGTTTTTAAAATTTTGAAACAGATTTCAGACACTTGTCTCAATGAAATATATATTTTTTTTTGTGTTGTATAGGAATCGCTAAACAAAAATCTTAAAATAAAAATAAAAGTGCACAAAATGACGTTAGAATGTTTTCATTTTTCGTCTCAATTATATTTCTCTCTCTTTCTCTCTGGCGCGGCTCGGCTAAAAAGACCTGCAGATTGCCCAAAGGACTACATACATAAATTTCACTTGCTGTTAGGTTTTTATCGATATCGCACTCAGGTAAAAACAAGTACAATTATTAACTGATATTAATTTTAATGGAATAAAAAATGTAATTTAAGAATAATATGAACGAAATAGAAAAATAGAGATATAGCCGATAGTTAGTCCAAACTAAAAAAAAATAATACTGTTACTTAAAATATTAAATTATCGTATCACATCAATATAAAAGTTATTTTTGCCAAGCCAAATAATATTGAATACGTTTTCGATGTGTCGCATAAACATCATTAATATAAACAAACAAATGTCTAATATTTGATGTGCGTCAAGTAAGCGACAATAAATTAAAATTATTCATTTACTTTAACAAGTTTTTTTTAACTAATACCTAATTTCTTTTTAAATTACTATTAATTAATGGCTTAAATGTAAAATAGTGGAAGAGGTGAAAAATAGGGCTTACGTCCGATATAAACATCGATTTAAACCGCTGCTGTTATATCGATGTTTTTTCAATCAACTCAATTGCATATTCCTCTAATATATCGGCATTAATTGTATAACTTTCACACCTCTACCCTGTCTTTCAGTATTTAGTCAAACAAAATAAACTACATTTGTTAGAGCTTGATAAGAATTCAGTTTGTCTTCAGTGTGTGTGTCCGTCATCAAGCAACAAATCGACGTATTTTTTTTGAGTATGTTCGCACATAATAATTCATTATAAATTGCAGTAAACATACGGGTTTATAGTACTTTTAAGAAAACGAAGAAAGGAGTAAAAGTGTGTGTGTGTGTTTGCAATTGCAGTATGTACATTCAAATCATGTTTATTTAATGTAAAAGTATACGAATATTTTACCGTTTATCTAATTATGTTCTTGTTTATGTGGCATATTGCGGCACTGCAAGTGTATGTATGTGTGAGTGCGTGTGTGTGTACTCTTACAGAATGGAAAGCACCGCTACACAATTAGATATATACACATTTGTATACCGTTTTTTTAAATTTTCTGGCACTGTCCCATTGTTATCAAGTACTGAAAGTGACATTTTAATTTCGATTTTCGATTTTCATAGCATATAGTAAAAACGAGAGCAAAGACGTTTACATGTATTAGTCAGTGACTAATTGTTCAAAGCGCAACTCAACATGGCTGACTTTTCTGTGGTGAGCAGCGATTTTTGATGATAATGCTGCCTCTTTTCTTTTCAAACTCTCTCATTTTGATTCTTTTCTCACTCTCTCTGGCTCTCTCGCTCTCACCTTAAATAAAATAAAGTGCTGGTAATTTTCCCGTCGACACATCAAGTGCAAAAATACCGATACAAAGGATTAATCGTACGGAATTTATTTACTTTTTATATTATTTTGTCGAAAATTGTACAAATACATAATACGTGTTTTTTTTTGAGGGCGTTTACATCCATATGTACATATACGTTTTTATCTTTCATTTTTTTTCATCCGGTGACGCTGTCACTTTCTATCAACAATAAAATAACGCCCACAATTGGATTTTTCCTCATTCTTGCTGTATCAGTGCTATTCATTAATGCTTGTTATAACCATTCATTTCTTTGTTTTACGTGCAGCTAAAAAGTTCTAATGGAGAACCAATCTTAAACAAGGAAAACGACTTAAATCGAAAAAACAAATTTAAAATATAACACGAAACGAATCAAAAACTGTTAAAGAGTGTGCAATTAACAAGAAAACAAACAAAACCAACATTGTTTTGCAGAGATATATTTACATTGTAAAGGTCTGTCAATAACTAGACTTCACTGTGGTCAAGATGACGCAACCACTGCCCATCCGCTTTCAGGAGCATTTACAGGTGAGTAATATCTATTATCTGGGTCTTACCATCACTAGTAACTTCCATCTGGGAGTTGCAACCCTCCAATATGCTATGGTTATCTGATCAGAACGAGTTATCCATGCCGATGTACACCGATTTCACTTTACATGGTTCAATAAGCTTCCCGACATTTTCTTTCACGGTTTCTGGCTGTAAATTGTAAATGTAAGCAAGACACTTTATTGTCAAGTTACTAGACTATGAGGTACCCACTACCAAATTGTGTAGATAAATTGTTCAATAAAATTTCTTGCTAGAACCCGCATTGTATTTGTAGTACTTTACTAAGCATTTCCTTTCTTCAATTCAATTATCTAAAGCTCAAAACGATAAGGAATACTAAGTAATTAATAAAAAGAAAACATTGTGTTCAAAAAGTGTTAAGCAGCAGAATATTCCATTTGCATTTTGTGACCTTTACTGATTTTTATTTATTCTAAATTAATAAAATATTTTCGCTTTGTATTGATTATAGCTCACAAATGTTGGGATCAACGCAAATTCATTTTCATTCAGCACGCTCACGATGGAATCGGATAAGTTTATCTGCGTGCGAGAGAAGGTTAATGATACCGCCCAAGTGGTCATCATTGACATGAACGATGCAACCAATCCCACTCGGCGTCCCATCTCAGCGGACTCTGCTATCATGAATCCAGCTAGCAAGGTCATTGCGCTCAAAGGTAACTCAAAATGATGGTCCAGCCGATCAAAATCTGGGATACAAAACAGATTTTTTCCAGAAAATAATTTTTCAATACATGTAGAAGAATCCAATTAATTTGTTCTTAAAGATATGGAAACAATAAGGAAATCAACTACCCAAGATAAGAATCCATTTCAAGTTACAATCGGTTTAAACTTTGAAGTCCGAGTTTGTTCGTTTCCGGTTAATGTCTGATTTTGGTCGGCTGGGATATGAAATTGAACAATGTTTAAATGACATAAATATTTCTTTTAGCGCAAAAGACGTTGCAGATCTTTAACATTGAAATGAAATCGAAAATGAAGGCCCATACTATGAACGAGGATGTTGTGTTTTGGAAGTGGATATCCCTCAATACGCTAGCTCTTGTTACAGAAACGAGTGTGTTCCATTGGTCCATGGAGGGTGATTCGATGCCGCAGAAGATGTTTGACCGGCATTCATCTTTGAATGGATGTCAAATTATCAACTATCGCTGCAATGCCTCCCAGCAGTGGCTTCTACTTGTTGGCATTTCGGCTCTACCGAGTCGTGTTGCCGGAGCCATGCAGTTGTATTCGGTAGAACGTAAGGTTTCCCAGGCCATCGAGGGCCACGCAGCCAGCTTTGCCACATTCAAAATCGATGCCAACAAGGAGCCAACAACGCTGTTCTGCTTTGCAGTGCGTACTGCCACTGGTGGCAAGCTTCATATCATCGAAGTCGGAGCTCCGCCAAATGGCAATCAGCCGTTTGCCAAGAAGGCTGTGGATGTGTTCTTTCCGCCGGAAGCACAAAATGATTTCCCTGTGGCAATGCAAGTGTCTGCCAAGTACGATACCATCTATTTGATAACCAAATATGGATACATTCATCTTTATGACATGGAGACGGCCACGTGCATATACATGAATCGTATATCGGCCGATACGATCTTTGTTACCGCACCGCATGAAGCAAGTGGCGGCATCATTGGCGTCAATCGCAAGGGACAGGTCCTGTCGGTGACTGTGGACGAGGAGCAGATCATCCCGTATATCAATACTGTTCTGCAAAATCCTGATTTGGCCCTTCGCATGGCTGTGCGCAACAATCTAGCCGGTGCTGAGGATCTTTTTGTGCGAAAGTTCAATAAGCTCTTTACAGCTGGCCAATATGCTGAGGCAGCTAAAGTTGCTGCATTGGCACCAAAGGCAATTCTGCGGACACCACAGACCATTCAACGATTCCAACAGGTCCAGACGCCAGCAGGTTCCACGACTCCACCATTGCTCCAATACTTTGGCATTCTTCTCGACCAGGGAAAATTGAATAAGTTCGAATCTCTGGAGTTGTGTCGACCAGTCTTATTGCAAGGCAAGAAGCAATTGTGCGAAAAGTGGCTAAAGGAGGAGAAATTGGAGTGCAGCGAAGAGTTGGGAGATTTGGTTAAAGCTTCGGATCTTACACTTGCTCTCTCGATTTACTTACGCGCAAATGTTCCCAACAAGGTCATCCAATGCTTTGCTGAGACCGGACAGTTCCAGAAAATTGTCCTTTATGCTAAGAAGGTCAACTATACGCCTGATTATGTTTTCTTGCTGCGCTCTGTAATGCGAAGCAATCCAGAGCAGGGAGCTGGTTTCGCCTCAATGTTGGTGGCCGAGGAAGAGCCACTGGCTGATATCAACCAGATTGTGGACATCTTTATGGAACACTCCATGGTGCAGCAGTGCACGGCGTTCTTGCTGGACGCCCTTAAGCATAACCGACCGGCAGAAGGTGCTCTTCAGACGCGCCTGCTGGAAATGAATCTTATGTCTGCTCCCCAGGTTGCCGATGCCATCTTGGGCAACGCCATGTTCACCCACTACGATCGAGCCCACATTGCCCAGCTGTGCGAAAAAGCAGGACTACTCCAGCGGGCTCTGGAACACTATACGGATTTGTATGATATTAAGCGAGCTGTTGTGCACACACACATGCTGAATGCCGAATGGCTGGTCAGTTTCTTTGGTACTCTGTCGGTTGAGGACTCTCTTGAATGTCTAAAGGCAATGCTAACGGCGAACTTACGTCAAAATCTGCAAATCTGTGTGCAGATTGCCACCAAATACCATGAGCAGTTAACGAACAAGGCACTCATTGATCTTTTCGAAGGATTCAAGAGCTATGACGGCCTGTTCTATTTCCTGAGCAGCATTGTCAACTTCTCACAAGATCCCGAAGTACACTTCAAATACATTCAGGCTGCCTGCAAGACTAACCAGATCAAGGAGGTTGAACGTATTTGCCGCGAATCAAACTGCTACAATCCCGAACGTGTAAAGAACTTCTTAAAGGAAGCCAAGCTAACAGATCAGCTACCGTTGATTATCGTTTGTGATCGCTTCGATTTCGTTCACGATTTGGTGCTTTACCTATATCGTAATAATCTTCAGAAGTACATCGAGATATATGTGCAGAAAGTCAATCCGTCCCGCTTGCCGGTCGTTGTGGGTGGCCTGCTTGATGTTGATTGCAGTGAGGATATAATCAAAAATCTAATTCTTGTTGTCAAAGGACAATTCTCAACGGACGAGCTGGTCGAGGAGGTTGAAAAGCGCAACCGTCTTAAGCTACTCCTTCCATGGCTGGAGTCCCGAGTTCACGAGGGCTGTGTTGAGCCAGCCACCCACAATGCCTTGGCCAAGATCTACATTGATTCAAACAACAACCCCGAGAGATATCTTAAGGAGAATCAGTACTACGATAGCCGTGTCGTTGGTCGCTATTGCGAAAAGCGGGATCCTCATTTGGCGTGTGTTGCTTACGAGCGTGGATTGTGCGATCGTGAGCTTATCGCCGTTTGTAACGAGAATTCACTATTTAAAAGTGAAGCACGCTATTTGGTTGGACGTCGCGATGCGGAGCTCTGGGCAGAAGTGCTTTCTGAGAGCAATCCCTATAAGCGCCAGTTGATCGATCAGGTCGTGCAGACGGCTTTATCCGAAACCCAGGATCCGGATGACATATCGGTTACCGTTAAGGCTTTCATGACCGCTGATTTGCCAAATGAGTTGATTGAACTTTTGGAGAAGATTATTTTGGATTCGTCTGTCTTTAGCGATCATCGCAATCTCCAGAACTTGCTTATTCTCACAGCCATCAAGGCTGATCGTACCCGTGTCATGGATTATATCAACAGGCTGGATAATTACGATGCTCCCGATATCGCAAACATTGCGATCAGTAATCAGTTGTACGAGGAAGCCTTTGCCATCTTCAAGAAATTCGACGTGAATACATCGGCTATCCAAGTTCTTATTGATCAGGTGAACAACCTGGAGAGGGCTAACGAGTTTGCCGAACGCTGCAATGAGCCGGCCGTGTGGTCGCAGTTGGCCAAGGCACAACTGCAGCAGGGTCTAGTTAAGGAGGCTATTGATTCGTACATCAAGGCCGATGATCCGAGTGCCTATGTCGATGTGGTTGATGTGGCCAGTAAAGTGGAGTCGTGGGATGACCTCGTTCGCTATTTGCAAATGGCACGTAAGAAGGCACGTGAATCTTACATCGAGAGCGAATTGATCTATGCCTATGCTCGCACTGGCCGTCTAGCGGATCTGGAAGAGTTTATTTCGGGTCCCAATCATGCTGATATCCAGAAAATTGGTAATCGTTGCTTCAGCGACGGTATGTACGATGCCGCGAAGCTCCTTTACAACAACGTCAGCAACTTTGCCCGTTTGGCCATTACCTTGGTGTATCTGAAGGAGTTCCAAGGAGCTGTCGACTCGGCGCGGAAAGCCAACTCAACGCGCACGTGGAAGGAGGTGTGCTTTGCCTGCGTAGATGCCGAAGAGTTCAGGCTAGCTCAGATGTGTGGCCTGCATATTGTGGTCCATGCCGATGAATTGGAGGATCTTATTAATTATTATCAAAACCGGGGATATTTCGATGAATTGATTGCGTTACTGGAGTCAGCTCTTGGGCTAGAACGTGCTCACATGGGAATGTTCACCGAGCTAGCTATACTTTATTCAAAATTCAAACCTTCCAAAATGCGAGAACACCTGGAATTGTTTTGGTCTCGCGTTAACATTCCAAAGGTTCTGCGTGCTGCTGAATCGGCTCATTTGTGGTCAGAACTGGTGTTCCTTTATGACAAGTACGAGGAATACGATAATGCTGTTTTGGCCATGATGGCACACCCCACGGAAGCGTGGCGTGAGGGGCACTTTAAGGATATTATTACTAAGGTGGCCAACATTGAGCTGTACTACAAGGCCATCGAATTCTATTTGGACTTTAAGCCATTGCTGTTGAACGATATGCTCCTTGTGCTGGCACCCAGAATGGATCATACGCGTGCTGTTAGTTACTTCTCCAAAACCGGGTATTTGCCGCTTGTTAAGCCTTATCTGCGTTCAGTCCAATCTCTCAATAACAAGGCTATCAACGAAGCCCTAAACGGACTCTTAATAGACGAGGAGGATTATCAGGGTCTGCGCAACTCGATCGATGGTTTTGATAACTTTGACAACATTGCGCTGGCTCAGAAACTCGAAAAACATGAACTAACTGAATTCCGTAGAATTGCTGCTTACTTATACAAGGGTGAGTGAAACAATTTGTAAATAGCTTAATAAATCATCTAACAATTGATTTGATTTATTCCAGGCAACAACCGCTGGAAACAGAGCGTTGAACTCTGCAAAAAGGACAAACTCTACAAGGATGCTATGGAGTATGCCGCCGAGTCTTGCAAGCAAGATATAGCTGAAGAATTGTTGGGTTGGTTCCTAGAACGTGATGCTTACGATTGTTTTGCGGCATGTCTATATCAGGTTGGGCAAAAATTCAATTAATATATGCTAATTAGACTAATAATAAAAACTTGTACTAATTATACCTTAATCAATTTCAGTGCTACGACTTGCTGCGCCCTGATGTTATTTTGGAGTTGGCTTGGAAACATAAAATCGTTGACTTTGCCATGCCCTATTTAATCCAAGTAATTACATTTAATAGTATAACTTTTGGTGCCGTAATTAATTTGTAATCTTTTAAGGTATTGCGCGAATACACAATAAAAGTTGACAAACTGGAACTAAATGAAGCTCAGCGCGAGAAGGAGGACGATTCAACTGAACATAAAAATATTATACAAATGGAGCCACAACTGATGATCACTGCTGGTCCAGCAATGGGAATTCCACCACAATATGCACAGAATTATCCACCCGGCGCACCAACAGTAACGGCGGCACCAGGACGTAACATGGGTTATCCCTACTTGTAGGAATCAAAATCGTTAAATCCATCAAAACAACTTTAAAAACAAATGTATCAGCATTAAAGGAATACCAATAAAATAAGAAAAATAATCTATTAAATAATTGCATGTGCGCCAAAAATTACCAAAACAAAAGAAGAACAACAGTAAATATAATTCCAAACATCATTAAATTAATGCAATGCAATTAACAATCCAACTTTTGGTTTGTTTTGTAGACAGTTAAAAAATGATTATATGTTTTGATAATTACAGCACTCTTTATTCAAATATAACAGAATATATTACTTTTTATCATAATTAACTATGTTATTGTCAGTCGGTTAAAGTATTAAGGGTATTGCAAGTTTGGTTTTTCTTTATTAGCAATTTTATTTAAAAACCAAAATCTTTTTTAACAGTCAAATCATTATAAAAGAGCCAAAATTGTTTTCAATACAAAGGGATGAGCATTTGCTGAAGATACTCCATCTAGAAAATATATTAACATCTCCAAAGTTTTTCTGTCCATTTTAAAAATTATTTTTCTTTGAATGATACGAAAAGATAACTGGTGGAATTTCTTTTGGTCACAGTTCTAAATATTTTCAAATCAGAAACATTCTTTCTGATAGCCATTTCCATTTTTGAATTCTTTCGTTTTGTTTTTAAACTATATGGAGGATGTGAACATACAATTCTCATTCACATAAACAATTGCAATGCTGCAAAGAATATTTCAAACAATCAGAAAAATGGCTGAGTTGTTTTGCATCGCTTAAAAAGCAGATCTTTTCTGCAGCTTAACTAAGTGTCTTGTCTCCCAGCATGTACTGATTCATCGTTTACAGCGGACAAAAATATCCTCAATCGACATTTGAATGGATCCAACTCTTCATGTTTTTGAATTTCGGAACGTCGGTCATCTACCAAAACATGGAATCAAATAAGGCAAGTTATCTTCACACCATTTATAAATAGTTTCCTGAAAGCAAAATGATTCATCGCCAAAAAATTTTGGGTTTTTCCTTGCGGCGATTAAAACTCCTGACAACATTATTATTTATAATACCATTTGATACCTCTTCCTGATATTGGGGTGATTCATAGTTGCCAATAGCTGAAGTATCATCTTTTATCATGAAGCATAGAAATTTAAGAATCAAATCCAAGGCAAAATTATTAAAACGGACTATATCTGCGATCAAATTATTTTAACTAATGCGGCTGCTACAATTTGGAAATCAAAGACTTTCGTTTAAATTTAAATTTATTATATTTACTCTCCACCTATATTTTGCCAACCATATTCATTAGTGATCTTTAATAATAATATTTTTTAAGTCTATACCTTTAAAATATTTTTGTAGCTGGTTTTCGTTTTTAGCTCTCGAAATAAAATTCAACTGTCAGTGTTGTTGTGGAACTTTTTAGTATGCAATCATATTATTCTTTTCACATTAACTTATCTTACCTACGAACAAAAAATGCGTATTTGTTGTAGTCGTATATACTTTAGAGCATAAATATGTTATATTATTTGGTAAATATATATGCATAATTGTATTATTATTATTATTTAGATAATTAATTAGGCTGTTTTACATTCAGAATACATTTTGTTGTTGTTGCTGTTGTTTCTATCATTATTGTTTTAGATCGGAAAATAAATCTGTATGTTATTGTTGTTCTGCATTTATGTATAATTTCTTACAAATTGGACATTTTATATGTGTTCGAGCTTTGTCTTCGGTGGATGCAGAAATGGCTAATTACATACCAGTTTTATTTCGTTTATAATATATGGGCATTTCATTTTTAATACTAATGAATTTAAATCAGTAATTAATAATTTAATTAACGGTGGATCATTCGACACATGCTTAATTCAATTACTTACATATCCATTTCTTTTGCCACTAAAATACGAATGGATAGTCAAAAACCATCGTTTAACACACAACATCTCTCGCTTTCGTCTCGATTGGTTAACCCTTCTCTCTCATCGACTTCTACATTCTTCTTGCTAGGTTTTCAATTAACAAGTTTTTTTCTTTTTAGCAATATATTTTTTGTTCTTAAGTTCTCGAAGTTACCTTATCTAGCTCCATATCAGTTTTTCACTTTTTCACTCCAGCCAGCTAACTAAACTGTCTTTCCTTTCTTTCCAATCTTTACCACTGCACTCTGCACAAACTTGCTAAATTATAGATTAAGCTTGAAGGCTTAAATAAAATAGAATTAAAATATTATTTCTATACAATTTGTAGCTTTATGCAAAAAAGCTTTTATATATAAAAAAAATGTCTTAATCCTAATTGCACATAATCGTGCAGCATATCTAAATGGTAATTCGGAAAACTATATTGTATCTGTTTCTTTCGCGGCGTTGTTTGTTTCAAACAAATATTAGTCAATATAAACTCTTACTTTCCTAAATTTTTTCTTTTTTTTAAAATCAGCGCTCGACGACTCCTTTTCATTTTTTTCTTTTTGTTTCTGTTTTGTTTTTTTTTTTTTTAGGATTTTGTAAAGTTCTCATAAAAAAAATTATACACAAAAAATATGTTTTAAGTAACTTTGAGATCATTTAAATGTATTTTTTTTATGTTTGTATAGTACAATTTTACAGAAAGCACTCTATGCTGAACTAAAGTCGGTTGTTCGAGTCTTTCAAATTGATTGTAACATAAAAATATGATACACTTTTTTATTTTGCACAAATAAAAATCTGATTTCGATACTGAACACCAATCGATCATCTCTTGTTTTTTTTATATATATATGTTTTTTTTTTGAGGCTGTTCCGTTGTCACCTGCCATGTTATGTTTTTTTTTCTTTTTTTTGGGTGGAAAACAAAAAGTTCTGATGGTGTCGTTCCTTATATTTCTAACCCTTAAAATTAGCCTCAACCTTGCTTAAAGGCAAGGATGGTAGGTATTATATATATGGCGCTCACGGCTCACGGCCTTTGTTACTGATTCCATCGGCAGTTGGTCGACGAGGATCCTCTGCCTCGGTCGCACTAACCACCTCGCGTAGCATCCGAAACTCTGGTGGATCTTCGAGATCCTCCGGCTTGGATTCACCACCGTCCACCGCCGCTTCCTGTTCGCCAATACTGCTGAGATTTAGAGCAGCAGCAGCGGAGCTTCGTTCAGTTTCCGTATATTCATGAGCGGACAACTTCAGGAACTGCTCATAGCTAGTATTATCCAGCTGTTTTTGTTCCTCATCCTGTTGCTCAGCCTCGAATGGTTGTTGTTGTTGCTTGTTGCCAATACATAGGTTATATGGGGGCAGGACTTGACGATCCTCATAGGCGGTATGTTGCTGCTGGAGTGTTGGCTCTTGTACATTGGGGGCAATGCTTCTTGATTCAGAGTCTAACTGGTAACTGGTATTTCCTTGTGACTGTGTATATATAACCTCCTCCACTTGAAGTGCTGTCAAGGCATCGATATCGTTATGATGTTGCGGTGAGGTTAATGATTGTTTAATAATTGTAGCACCAGCAATAGATAGGTTATTCCTATTCTTTATATTGCTGTCGCTACATTTCAGTGAATTGCTATTGCTGTTGTTATTGTTGATGTTGCTTCTGGCACTCTTGGCGTTGGATACTGTGTTTGCAATGTCATTACTCGTTTTATTATCGCAATTCTTAGCCGTATTAATATTATTATTATTATTATTATTGTTGTTGTTGTTGTTGTTGTTGCTACTGCTGCTGCTGTTGTCGATAAATTTGTGAACGTGTGTGTTGATGATGGGATTCGCAGACAGGTTAGGCTCTGCTCCATGCAGCTTTTGCTATTCCTTAATTAGACGGTATATGTGGTGGGTGGTGCCGCTGTTCTGGGCCGCTACCTCAAACACATAGGCTATGCACAATAGTGTCTCCTGCGTCTCGCGGGCTCTCATTACCTAAAATATTATTAAAAAAAAACATTAGTTATATGCATAAATAATTGATATCCAAATTATACTCACTTGCAATATTGTAAAGTTTTCCAGGACACTGTTCATCATGTAGCGTTCCGGTAGGTTCTTCAGCTTTTGAATGAAATTGATCATATACTCGCACATTGGAGAGCGTTGAATGCGATAGACATAGCGATTGTTCTCCAGCCGGGAGTACTCGCTTTCCACCTTCTCCACCACCTGCTTGCCAAAAGAACAAACGATTGTGGAGCACACGAGCACGACATTCTCGTTGCTTTCATATCTGGGGGAGGGGAAACAATAAAATGTTCATTAGAAATTATCCTTCCATCAATAAATTATCTTTCAAGACTTACTGGCTGGTTACGCCATAGAAATCACCCGTTTCGCTGCCGGTTGTTAAGTCGGTATTAAGGTCTGCCCAGCATTTAACCAGGTAAAACGCATTCTGTGGACCCTTTTCGTAGAGATCTTTAAGCCCCCCAGACTTTTCCGGAAACTTGTCGAATATTTGTCGAATATCAACGGTCTAAAAATGTGAAAATAATAATAATTATGATTTTGCTTTTTGTATATAAAAGTCACTTAAAGTTCTTACCTCAAGTAATGGATCGGAAAACGATGGCTTACCGCCAAGTTGAACGAAAAGGTGACGGTTATACTGTGAAAATGTGTAAATTATTAATTATTAATAATTAGAAAATAAAACATTTTAGGTTGTTGATTGATTGATGGATGGATGTGGTGTGGGGTGTGGTTTGGTGGTGGTGTGTAAAAAGGTGGTTGATTTTTGGCCATACCATATCATCTCTCTGGATTTCCATGAACGCCGTAAACTCGAGTAGGCGGAATTTGTGCGTGGCAATGGCTCGTCCTTCCCAGGGCAATTGCGAGGGCGGAATTCCAGTTTCGTCCCCGGATACCGCCGTCGATGTTTTGCCAGCGGGATACGGCGGCTGGGGGAAGGGCTTGATGCTGTAATCATAGAAACTATTGGTCAATGCAAATGCGTTGTATAGCCAGCTTATTGGATGTAGACGTAATGCCAACTTACTCTTGGGACGTGCTTGGCTGTAGTCCAGGCTGCCAGAATTGCTGTTTTTCGTTCGGTAAATAATTATAAATAAGAAAAAATCGATTATATACAATATAAACCATTAGAAATCAACCCAGACGGTGTCAGTAAAGATGATATATATAGATTTGATTTGATTGGGCGTTATAACAAGATGGTTATACATATGGTGAGGCGACTTTGTTAATCAACTTTTGTTCACTAAACGCGTTTGTCATTAAATAAACAAAAAGTTACCCAGCGGAAAGTACCTTTTAGGTCAAAAAGGGTGAATGTTAAATACGGTAAATACACATCTATTTATATATATATATATATATATATATATAGAGGAACATTTGTAATTAGATTCTATTAACAAAAAGGTAGTTTCTTCGTAAGGCAAGTCAAAAGCAAGGAGTCAATTTCAATGAGCAAGCGAGCGCATTAGGGGTGGCGTAGCGGTACAACGGGCATCTCATTTTTGGCCTCGATGGTTGGTATCTTGATATCATCAGTTTAGATATTGAAAAAATAGTGATAGGATTGGTGGAGGCTTAACAGCTGTTGGATAGAGATGGGTGTACAGGAAGAGATATGACAGTGAGGTTGAGAGAGAGATGACAAAGTGCCTTTGGTGGACTAAAGCCCCTCGTCGATAGCAGCACACACACATAGCATTATATACGTGGAGGGCACAAAGATCTCTAGAGGTCACTGAACTCTTTAAAACAGGTGTCCAAAAAGGTCTCTATCACTTATATATTATATTTGCATACATTTAGTCTCAAGGATAAGTTTCGAATCTCTAGAGATATCTGTGACCCCTTTTTTAGAATGGAGGGGTGGTCAGAGGTCTCTTCATTATGATGTCCGGGTGAGTGAGTACACAAAACAGAAAGCTAAACAAGAGCATTGCAAATCCTAAATGAGCATTGCAGAGATTATGGCAGTGGTGATGGTTGGTTTTTTGTTTCGATGGTGCTACTATGATTCTTTTATGCAATTGGTAATGCAACGGCGCAGTAGCTTGGTAAATGAGTTGCGTGTATGGTTTTCTTTTTCGTTTTGGATCGCGGTATGACAGCACACGAAAATTTTGCACAAGGCGGTGGAAATCGAGGTGGAAATCGAGAGTTGGATATATTATAACGTTAGCTTACGCCAGAATACAACGGCGGGTGGTGCAGCGGCGGAGGAGGTGGTGGTGGTGCTGGCGGTGCAGGTGCTGCTGCTGCTGACACCGTAGTACCGCCAGTATCTCCCTGAACCACTGGATCGTTGTCCGTATTGTTTGGCCGCTGCTGCTGCTGCTGTTGCTGCTGCTGCAGTTGCTGCTGTTGCTGTTGCTGCTGCTGCTGTAGATGATATACTGCTGCAACGGCTGCCGCATGTTGGTGATGGTGTGTATGCATATGACTATGCGGTAGGTGCGTCAAATTGGGATGGGAATGGTGGTGGTGGTGGTGGTGGGCTGGGAGGTGGTGGTGGTAGTGGTGTTGTTGTTGCTGTTGTCGAGGTGATGACGACGACGAAGACGACGGTATAACCGGCGTCGGTGGCAGCGGCGGCGGCGGTCCGGGGACCAACGCGGATGAAGGAACATTGCCTATAGCTGCCGCTGCTGCTGCTGCTGCGCCGGCTGCTGCAGCAGCTGCTGCTGCCGCCGCCGCCGCCGACGAATGTCTATGGGGGGGAGGAAAGTTGAGATGCCTCGTGTGGTGGCCGCCACCACCACCTGCCGATAATGCCGAGGCAGCCAATGCCAGATTGTTGGCCGCTTGGGCGGACACGATTTGCGAACTGGTCATTGTGCTCATGACCTGCAACGTTTGTTCTTTCTCATTTAATAAATGCAAAGACACACCATTGGTTTCCTGGAAAAGAGTTTCAGTTGGTCGGAGTGTTCATATTCGGTTTGCTGTTTGTTTGTTTGTTTGTTTGTTTCTGATTGTGATTGGGTATATGTGCAGTTTCGGATTAACATGTGCATGCTGTTTATTTGCTATCAAGAGTGTGTCTATTTCAGACCTCATCACACGCAATCTTGTTGCCATTATCTAAGGATAGGAGTCGCTTTTACTTGGGTTAACTTTGAACCTTCTTCAATCAGGACAACCGCAAGTTCACCTTGGTGTTAGCCCTAATGCTCGCCCAGATCTTTTCATTGGGGGTTTCGATTTTCTTCTGACACTTTACAGCTCAACTGACAAGTCATCCTTGCTTTTCACGCTCACCTAATACTAAAGTCTAGCTTTTTCTTTGTGGAATATCTTCAATGTCAATGTTCAATATTCTACAAAACTAAGGAAAGTCTACCCCACCGAAAGAAAAATGATTATGCTTATTTTAAAAACCACTTACCACTTTGATTTTCGCCTGGATCTCGCGGAGTTTTCGCCTAGCCAAAACTTGGATGTGCGAGCTGACCTGCTTCCTGGTTCTCGTCTTGCCTGTGCGCAGTTTAATATATCGTGCGATTAGTTCGTTGCGACCTGCGGTATATTAAGATCAAAATTAATACATATTATAACTTTATTTTATTTCTTTTAATTATTATTAACTTTATTTGATCATTCTGGCAATGCATTTTCCTTTAAGATTGCACTTCCGATAGAGCTGCGATCAAAACGAACCTTTTAAAGGTTACTCTGCCACTTTATAATTCCCAAAAGGTTCTAGATGCGCAACCCTTAATAATAAACATGGAGGATTTAATGTGTCCTCTGAACTATTGTTAAAGGAGCTTTCTCATTGAATTTCTAGTATTGAAATTGATTTCTATTATATTTTTAGTAGGTTCTTTTTATCACTTACCGTACATTTTACCCTCGTCGGATAAAATGATTTTTCTACGTCCGCACGGCGGATATATAGATAAAGCCTCCTGAAAACTCTGTTCGATATCTGGGCTCCATACACCTTCGGCATCAGCGGAGGACAAGTCCTTTTCGTCCTGAAATATTTCATAACATTAATTAAATATTTAGTGATTTAATTAAAAACAAAAACAAATTAACAGATTGGCCATTTAAAGATGTTAACATTACTATCTTAGCCAGGTTTCTAGTATTTTTTTATACGACAAAGTAACATTCTAGTTTATAGTTTCTATATATATTTTGGAATTCGAATTCTTAATTAACAACAACAAAACGCCAGGATCAAGAAAGCAAAAAAAAAGTTCAAAACTTGCAACAAAATTATCTACTCTATGGCTTAAATCAAGGTAAATTAGTTTAAAGTTGTGCAATACTAAAAGCTGTAGAATGTATATAAAGCTAGGGATTTACTTTTAAAAGTGATTCAGTCACATTAATGCGCCGGACTATTTTTTTTCAAAGGATTTTTTAATCGTATTGGTTTGTGATTTTATTTTGTTTTTAACTTTTTAATATTTATTCATTCCATTTCCATTGCAGCACCATGAATTCCGAATCTTTCAGGCCGAAAGTTACAAACGACGATATGTTGAAATCGCAGGAGATAACGGAGAAGTTTCGCAAATTTAGACAGGCAATGAGCGGCCGGAGAAGGCCAAATCAAAGCGAAAGTCCAAACGTGTGTCACTTGCATCAGTACAGCGATGAGAATATGATGCTGCAGAATCTGTATCAGGAGATGTCCAGCTATGTGAACATCTACAAGAAGTACACCGACCATGAGAAAGCCGTGCAGATGATAGTGCTGGGGCTGAATGAGGATAGCCAGGTACTGCGCGAAGCTAACGCTCAGGAGCTCAACGAAATCAAAGAGCAAATAAACAGGAACGATAAAAAACTGGCCAAGATCAAGATAGAGCTGGACAAGATGCAGCTGGAGCTGGTCATAAAGGGTGGGAGAAATTGCCTGTTGCCCTAAAGTTTGGACAGTGACCATATTGGCACTTGCACCCCATCTGATGACCACAACATCTATGAAATGAGAGTTAAAACTGATTTAAAGACTGATTGCCTCTACTAATCAAAATAATATTTAAAATATGTTCTTAAAATATATTCTTGCTTAAAAAAATGTCATTAAACATTTAATTTATTCGACGCCTGATCTTGTTTAGTCTTTTTATAATATTTTGGTGGTTCCCATTTTCCGGAGACTTGCTTTTATTGGGAACTGGCGCTACTGTGCGTGAGGGAAGCGATACAATTTGGTAAGGGAAAACGTAAAAAATAAATCATTTTGCATTTAGAACTAAGCTAGATAAGTTTTTACATGAGATTTGATATCAAGATCAATCATCTAAGAAAGAAAATGGAAAAAAGGATCTACTAAATTACATTTTCTACAAAGCAATTAATAAAGCCAAACTTAATGTTGTCCAACACTGCAAGTTTCGAAAGCTGCCTAATATTCGGGATTTATTGGTAACGATAATACAGCCACATGAAAGCAGCTGTCAAATTGTCGTACATTTTCAATCAAATCGGTTTGTACTTTTGGTGAATTCTCATATTTTTCACTTTTAACGTGTTCAATTTTCATCGCAGCAAAATGAATCCAGAATCTTCAAAGCCAAAATTTACTGGCTCTTATCTGTCGCTATTCAAGCAAATAAAGAAGAACTTTCTTAAAATGAAGGATCTGATGGATATCTTCAATCAGGAGGAGAGTGTAAGGACTATGCCACTGTCGATGTGCCGTATCCTGCTGAAGAAGTATATGCGTCAGCTAACTAAGCTAAATGCCCAGTTGTATCTGTTCAACAATGAGGACGCTGCCTTCTGTGAGGAACTGCAGCAAGAGTTGACCAACTATGTGAACAACCACAACACGTTCAGTGACAATGAGACTGCCGTGCATGTGATAATGGTGGAGCTGCGTGAGGATAGCCAGCCACTGCGCGAAGCCAACGCCAAAGAGCTTAACGAAATCAAAGAGCAGATGAACAGGAACGACGAAGAGCTGGCCAAGATCAAGCAGGAGCTGGACGAAATCCAGATGAATCTGATCTTAAAGTTTGCGGAACTGAATTGCCCCCATTGAATGTTGCCATAAAGTTCGGCACTTTCACCCCATCTGATTACCACAACATCTATGAAATGAGAGTTGAAACTGACTTAAAGACTGATTTCCTCTACTAATAAAAATAATATTTAATATTTAATATTTATATTATTGCTAATTAAGTGCCTTTGAACCTTTAACTAATTTGAAGCCTAGTCTTTTCATAATATATGCAATGGTTCTCATTTTCCGTTGACTTGTTTTGATTCGTTGTGCGGAAGACATCTACTGTGCGAGAGGGAAACGATACAATTTAGTGTTGGGAAACGTAAGAAATAAATAATTGCTATTTCTTAATACACATTACTTTTGGCAGCAGATAATACAGCCACATGAATACAGCTGCCGTTCAATTTGTCGTGAATTTTTAATCAAATCCGTTGGTTCATTAGTGACTCCTCACATTTTTCACTTTTCACTTTCATCTCAGCAAAATGAATACAGAATCTTCCGAGCTAAAATATATTGGCTCCTATAGATCTCTTTTGAAGCAAATAAGGGAGTACTTTCTCGAAATAAAGGACCTACTGGAGGCCTTGTGGAAGGAGAATGATGTAAGGCTTCTGCCATTGTCGATGTGGAATACCATGGTGAGTGGTCATTTCCGTCAGCTAATAACCAATAACCTTGGTTAGTCAGCAAGCCCCATTCGATGTTATTTTTTAAGAGTTGAAACTTCGATTTCCTCTACCCATCAACATATTTAAAACATTTTCTTGCAAAAATAAATGCCATTAAACACATGAATAATTGAAAAAGTGATCTTTCTTAGCCATTCTATAATTAATGTGACGTTTTTGGGTCAACATTTTATTGGCATTTGATGACTTGCATTTCGTACGATCTAAAATATGACCGGCTTGTGCGAAAGCGGCCTATTGTGGCAGGGAGAAAGGAGACGGAAATGCCAAAAGGAAGTATTTATGCTTCATATTACAAAGCACCTTTTGGGCCCTTCACAACACTGCTTTATGTTAACAGCTGTTAAGTAAAGTGTAATCGAAAACTAACCAAGTCGTCGTAAATGAGTGTTTAGCAATAATTTACAAATTTAAGTACTAATTAGTTGCCGCTGCTCAGTTGGTATTTCATAAGGTTCATATTACATATATCATATATACATATATAAACCAAGTAATAGATCGTCTTACAAGGGTACAAATAAGCTTATTTTCCAGGCAATAAGATTTTGAACAGTTTTAGGTAGCATTACAGAACTATTTGTCTTGCATTTAAATTGGCTTACCAACTATGATCCTAAGATTATTAGAGCTTACATATAGATTGGCAAACTTACATCGCTCATATCACCAACATCCAGGTTTTTGCTATCCACCATGCTGCCATTTGTGTCTGCCGATCCAAGGGCACCTGGAGGACCGGCATTCACTGGTGTCCACGGTGATGGTATGGTGCCGGGTCCAACTGAAATTAAATTAAGAAACAAAACGTAGTTAATATAGTGTTAATATGAATATAAATTCAGTTTTTAAGCTAACAAAATTGTTAAATTATATGGATATTTTTCAAAAAAATTTTATGGTTGTACTTGACTACCTTTACTAAAATAGAAAAAATCCTCTAGTTAGTAGGTATTTGAATGACTAACATTTAACCAATATCTATCCAATTTTAAAACATATTTTACAACTATATTTCATAAATTATGGGGCACATCATATTGGAATCTTTGCAACACCCAAAAAAGTAACTTAACCTTCTTAGCGGTTATCCCTTCTTGCCGAAAATAAATGGAAAATATTTTTAACTGCCTAAAAGAAACTTAAATAGTTTCAACACAAAAATGTTGTTTACATTTTTGGACTGAATATTTCGAAAGGGTTGAATGGAATATCATCGGTTTTATATCATGTTAAACAGTGCGGATTGGAACATCCCTGGTGAATGGTGGACTTGAATAAAAAATATTTGACACAGCTAAGGGATGGTGGATGGCGTATGGTGTAGGGTATAGACGGGTATACTAAAATTGTGGATGGAAATGTAACAGGTAGAAAAACTCTATGAACTATATAAGTGTTTGATCATTATTAAGAGTTAAAATAACAGTTTGACCATGTTTGAGGTCATTCAACCATTTAAATAAACAATAGGATTTCATCTATTGAGCAATCTTTATCTAAAAGAAACTGTATCTTATTGAATTGAGCATAAAATGCCAATCCACTCACCCGATAACTCCTTGAATTCCTCGAGGGAATCTAAGTGATTTGAGAAGGGCGCCACTTTAAAGCCGCTTTCGGTAGTTGTATTCCAAACCAAAATATTTGAATAACTCTAAAAGTCTGTTTACTTTCAAATACGAAACAAAAAGTTTCAGCTAAACATATCACTGTTCGATCTGTATATATACACTTAAATTTATATATCTAGCAAATCATTTTCATTTAAATTATTTTGTAATTTTGCGTTGTTTTTGTTTTATTATTATTTTTCGACTTGTTTCCACACAGCGTGAATTTTCAAAAAAAAAAAAATAGTCCCGGACGGCAAACAGCGAAAAGCGAAGAGCAAACGGCAAAGAAACAAAAACTAAAATGCGTCTGGTTAAGAGAAACGCGCACGTCAAACTGAAATGTGCCGTATAGTTTCCACATATTTCTATTCTTTGTTTTGGCCGGTTCCTTTTTCTGCCCCTGGTGTTCCGCCCATATAGAGCAGACCAGCCCATAGGGATGGTATTGCTCTAGGTATTTGTGAGACAGAGGATAGAATGCAGTGTGGCACATACCCTCGCAGCGTACTATTGATAGAAGCCTTGAACGAACGTGTAGTATGGGGCGTCAAGTGTGAGTCCGCAGGGGTATGGTGTACGTTATATAGTGTAGTATAGGTCTAGCTATAGGTATACTCTATAGGGTATAGTATGGAAGGTAGAATTGTTGTAAATGTGTATACGTGTGTGTGTAATGGCAGAAGCAAAGCCAAATCACAATATACAATCTTTCCTTTTGCCAAGTCAACGAAAGTCGATCAGAACCCTCTATCCTAGGCAATCCCGAATCGGAAACGTTGTAAGGTTATCAAAAGAATGGAATGCATATTGCACAGCTTCGAACTGCATGGTATAGTGTGTGTGTGTGTGTGTGTGCAGGGGTTGGGATCGTTTTAGGGGGTGAATGTGCCATTTTTCATAATCTCGTAAGCACTCTAGAACTCACACACTAACACAGAGATACATGATTTTTTTGGTAAAAGGGAATAAGGCAAAAGGAGCGGAATACGAACGTACAAAATAGCTGAACCGTGGCATTAATATTATCGCATTGAATTTTTCAAAAAAAAATTTTCGAACAGAGCTCGAGCGTTTCAGGATAATTTCCAATTAGAAAAACTAGAAACAGACTTCGGGTACGGTTGAACGCAATTTCCGCCTGAAAAACACACACAACTCGCAGCTGCTCGTTCTATTCGGTTTTAATAAGGGAATGTGTGTTCTTTTTCCAGCCTTTTCCATTCCTACCCTTAGGAGCCGCAATTTTGTTGTGCGGCAATTGGAATTTATGGTATGCATTCTGCTTTTTCATTTTCTTTATGTATGCTTCGTCGCATATATACATATATATCCATCCTATCCTATACATATATATAAATATATATGTATGTACAAGCCGTCATGGGACGGCAAGGAGTTATATGATGACGTACTTAGCACTCTCAGGATCAAAGTTGGGATCCGCCATAAGTACACAGATAAAAAACAAGTCCTTCTTAACCAGATACAGGCAGGTGAATATGTGATAGTGTGAATTATACTATGGGAATCGTGTAATACGATTTTGATATTTTTACTTTTATATTGAAAATATGTCCTTAAACTATAGAACTGTTAATAACAACAAGATCACCTCTCTGTATACAATAGATAAACAGCATTAGATCATTTTAGATTTCAAATCTTATCAGATCCTTATCTACATTCAGCGCAGTGAAGAAGATATACCCAACTCTATATAGTATTTACATATATTTTTGATCAGCATCTATATTGAAAGTTGTCTAGAATAAATGTTAGAATCGAGCGACTAACTTTGGTAACTTTCTTCCATTTAAATGATATCATATCATATTATACTTATATCCCTTTAATATACTAACTAATCTTTTTTACGTATTCCTAGGGTATATGCACTTCGGTATGCCTTATTCAACCTTTAATTTAACATGTCAACCCCTAAAATGCGCTGACATTTCTCCTGCCTTAAATCTTCAGAAGTCAGGAGCTACGAATTTGCAACCTGGAGAAGGTTATAATTATGTAATAATGAAAACTGGAATCAAACCGGCTTTTATTTTTGAATTTTATAATGTTACAGAATTATTTAAGCATCAACGAGTTCAATAAAAAACGTTTTTATGATTCAAAAATAGGCACCATACAGTTTAAAAACGAATTCCATTTTGGAAAGTAAAAACTGAAAAAGGTTAACGATTTTTTGTAAGTGTAAATTGGGAAAAGGCTGGATAAACTATATAACTCGGGGAGGTATACTTTCTTTTTTAATTCAAAACCCGTATTTTATAATTAAACATTCATTACATTTCAGTTCTAATTTGTAGTAATTAAGTATGAATTAACATAAGTTAAAAAGTAGCTGGAAAAACATATATTGAAATAGAAATTAAAGCCCTAATAGTTTATCCTAAGTTTTATTTCGTTTCGAAAAAAAGCACTACAAGTTACATATTCCTGATCAGCATCACTAGAGAAGTCTATAGACAGGTTCCTTATCTCCAAAGCAGCCTAGTATGAGTAAATAATATAATCGCAACAGGAAAGATCGATCAGAAAATAAACCAAACTTAATGTTTTTGAATAGTTTATGATAAAAAGTTAAACAAAAATCTGATTTTTCCGCTGTTCTTAATGATACATATACGAATTTACCCATGAGTCATGACTTAGTCATTTCGCAGACGTCTGTAACCTATAACTGTGATAGCGACTGCTCAAATACCTACATGAGTAATACATTTCTGTTATATCTGCAAGGGTATATAAAATTCGGCTTTCTCGAATATAGTTTTTATTTTTTTGTTGACTCGTAAAAAAGCACGTGTGGGGCTCACGATATATGTATATGAACGCGCGATATCTTTGTCAATATTTATATAGAATTTATAAATTGATTGTGTTAAAACGTTTGGGAATTAAAAACAAGTCTGCGTGATAAATTGAAATGAAGCTTAAGCTTCCTAAATTAATTGAATATTGCAAGCTTATATATTCTCTAAAAACTGAATTTCACTAAACTAAGAAAAATAAACGTCCGATTTCCATTAAAATGTTCACCTCTTAGTTAGCAGCTATCAAAGAAAACGGATTGTATCTGATTTTTAAGACGAGTCGCGTGGACATGTCTCCATATATTTCGCAAAAAATGATCCACTTCAAGAATATATATACACAATCCCATATGTATAGATACATATGCATATATATATAAGTTTCTGATGGGAAATGTCTCCCACACTGCATTACAAACTTCTGACCAAAAATATGATTATGCAACGACATGCAAATGAAGAAATAACAAGTTGTGAAAAAAGCTCTTTCCGAAATCCGCTGGGTTTGCAAAATATTTTCAACCATACAAGATATAATTCGGTAAGTCCAAACAAGGGTATAACAATAATATTATCTTAAGCTTCTTGACTCTTCCATTAAATTATTCATCAATCGAAAGTTGGCTTCTCTTCTCTTTTCTTTGGATTTAGATCGTATAGACTTATATGTGTATATCGTATAATACGTATGATATGTACAGTGGATTGTGTGGAGAGTGGAAGAAGGCCCTGCAGTTCTGGTCTCAGTTTTTTTTTTTTTTTTTGGTGACTTTCTCAAATGAACTCTCCTACGTGTGTGTGCCTTGCTTTGCACGGAGAACTGATGAGGAAAGTCACAAAAAAAATATAAAAAAAAAAACGGAGATCGAGAAACAGGTGTGGGGGGTTAGCTTTGGTTGTTAAGAGGTTTTTAGTACGGAAGACTTGGTGATTCGAATGTGCAACGGACCTGCCTGTTGTTCTGTCTTCTCGGCAACTTCCAACTCGGTGCAGCTCAGGTTGTTCTGCAGTTGCAGCAGCCCAGTGCTGCAAGTGCTCGAGCTAGTAATGTTTTTCATGCAGCCAGTTTTTCTTGGGTTGTTTTTGTGTTTTTTTTTTTTTTTTGTTTAGTTCACAAGTGCGAGTACGAGAGTACTATTTCACGGAATTAAAATCTATTCGCGCTAGATTTAGACTCTGATGTCACCAGCAAACCAAACCAAACACCAACATCAACCGTCGTCGTCGTCTCGGCTGGTCAAAGGCACTCTTATTATTATTTATTCGCTTGTAACAGTAACTGTTTTTTCAGACTTTATATTGGGTGTGTTATTATCTATGTCTGTGATAACACGATGGAGCGGTTTTCATTTATTTTTTTTTTTTTTTGTATTTTAGTATATATTTAGTTATAGAGTAGCAGCGTCTGGGACTGTTAAAACCCTTTCGCTTTGGATTATGTGGCTTATTCAATACTTGTTTTTGCACTACTTTACTTTTTCTCGACTCGTATCGAATCAAATTTCGATTCTACGTGTATACACACATGCATATTCACAATACTTACTTACATCTGCAATAATTCATGAATCGGAGTTCTTGAGTTGAGGAAGTGAGAAAGATCTTTTTCAGGCAACATCACTTTACTTGTCGTCTCTCTTCTCATTCTCATTTGCTCAAACACTCCCACTCTCTCTCACTCTTCATCTCTCTCTCTCTCTCTCTCTGTACTGTTCTCTTTTCCTCTCTCTATAGACATATATATATATATAACAGTGTATTTTAGTAGTAAGAGCATGAACAGCTTTGTACAATATCGTAGTCGTTGTGAAAGTGAGAATGTGTCAGTAAGCCTTTCAGTGGAAATAAGGCGCAGCTGCGGCAATAAGATGAAGAAAGAAGAATGGCCACCAGAGAGCTGGGCTAACTATTAGATAGGTTTGGTTCGGGTCTGGCCTGGCCTGGCCTGGTCTGGTGGGTCTGTTGCTTTTTTCTACATTTCCGAATGTTAGTTAATGAAGAAGCTCGTAATTGAGATGGGGCTTTTAGGCGATGACGATTGCCGATTATGATGATGATGGTGATGATGATGATGTCCATATGTATTTTTTCATCTGCTTAAGCAAATAGTCTGTTTTTCTGCACAAGTGCAGTTCTAATTGTGTGTACACATACAAATATATAGATATAGATACATATATATGTATATTTAAGCAGCTGTAAGTGTGCAAAAGTATACGCACATGAGTACATCTGTATTTAGATATCTATATATTTTTATGAAATTCTTTTTCAAATGCCTGATTTATTTATTTTATTTGTTTTTTTTTTTGTGGTCACCTAGACCCATAGGATAATTTTCTTAAAAAAAATCTACATATCTATATCTTACGATGCCCCACACACGCCTACTGTTTATAAGATACGTATAAGAAAAAGATAAAACAGAAAAATCAGAGAGAGAAACGAAGAGAGAGAAGAAGGTGAATCAAAAAAGTGGCCACATATTTAAACAAAATTTTTTCTAAAAATCTTTCCATATAGATGATATACAATAAACACAAAACGCATTAAAACAGAACAAAATCAAAAAAAAATTGCAAATCGCGAAGGAAAATGTTTTTAATAATCTTAAAAACCCACGCACACTTTTACAGCCGCTCACGGGCTGTACGAAAAAATGGGGGGTCGGGTTGTCGGGGGCTAAAACGAGTGGGGGCGGGGCTGGCGGGGCGGCGCACTATACACCACACACAACAACAACGAGCGAACGAACGAAACAACGATGACGACAACGAAAAATCGCGGAAACACTGCGAAAAACGCAACGCGCAGAAGCGAGAGAAACTCATCGACTGAATCCAAATTCGAATCAATACAAAGAACGACGCCGACGTCAGCGTCGATAACACACTATATATTGTATGTAGCTATATAGCTAGTCTCTGGTCTGGTTGTTGTTGCTGTTTTCCTGGTTGTTGTTGCCTGTTGGCTTGGCCTGGCTAACTCAACCTCAACTCAAACCGACTCATTCTCTGCCAGCATAACTGGTGGATCTGGTTGTTTAGTTTCAGTTTCCTAACACAGCCGATGACTACACGGGCCGAACACAGACGCAGAATATACACAACCCGATCAAAAACCCAGAAACACACAGGCACTATACTATACCACCATACAAGTGCACTGCTTTAACCACTCATACCATTGCAATTGGGGAGCTAGAAGAGAGCGTGAGAGATCAAGACATTCGTTCTCTCAATATATCTATCCCGTTCTCTCGATCACTCTCCAGCTCTCTTTCTCTGTATATCTCTCCCCCAGCCGACGGGTGTGACTAATGTTCGACGAGCTTTATGCCGCTGGCGCCTTACCGCACGATTTCGATTTCGCTCACTTTGTAACCCTTTTCCTTAGGGTGTTATAACTTTAGCCAGAACTTTGCAACGGAAGTTGTCCTGTTTTTGATCACTCCCCCAATCTTTGACCTTAGTCAACAAGGGAAAATAAAACTACCGATCGCATAAAAACTAGAATGGTCTAATAATATCTAACTATGATTTGGTAGCTTTTATAACACACATCCTTTAATATTTTCGAAAACAAAAATTTCGAAATCTATAGTTTTGTATCGTATATCCTTGAATTCTGGTTGTCTTTTCTAGCAATATCATTATTTATAGAGCAAAAGGTTTTCTCTTACGTATGTACATATGTATGTATCCTAAAAATCATTTCAAATTATTAAATTTATACAGTGACATCCGTCAAAATCCCAAGCGTATTGAAAATTCGAAAAAAAGCATATTTTATTTAATAAAAATACCGAAAAAGATGTACATTAATACATATGTATATAAATGATTCTTTTGCTAACGCTTCATATGATTTCGTTTGGACTCTTAAGAGAGAGAGCACGTTTTTTCGTGAGGATTTTGCAACAGTAGCGACTGTTTAAACGCTCCGCAAAAAGATTTCTTGCGTTTTAATGTTGCGGCTGTGTGAAGTCGGAATGAAATAGCCTAACGATTGATTAGCATTATTTATAATTTTATACGAGCAAGAAAACAAGTTTATAATACTTTAAAGAATTGTTTCTATTCTTCTGCAATCTTTAGCTGATCATATAAATCTTAACCTTTAAGTGAAAATAACAAAGTCGATCATCAAGTTACCTGGGCATGTTAGCCTTTTACAGATAAACTTAACATATAAGTATTAGAAATACTTTCACTATCGATTCACAGGATGGTTTACAAGCGTTTGTTGTACCAAAAATGGCCATAACGTATACGTAGTATGAAAAAAGTTTTTCTTGGAGAGAGGATTGTAGTTTTCCGATACCCTAGGGATAGCCAACGGACATATAATACAAAAAGTACAAGTTTAAATTTCAGAGAGGCAGCAATAAATAGTAAGTTTCTCTCTTTTCCAAATTAAAAAAAGTGTTTTCATTTTTGAGTATAGCAATTCTAGTAAACAGAAGTCTCAATCCTATCGTTAACTATAACTTCATAGATTAACACATGTTTTTGCTAGTTAAAATACTGTTATGTATATATGCATGTGTGAATAAATACTGATTTAAAAATCGCCGTACAAATGTAACTAGTTTGCAATCCATACAGTTTTACATATATTAATTGGATTGACACTTTAGGGACCATCATTGCCAAATGAGGTAAGAGAGTCGTTCGTATTAGCTCGCCGATCCGGAAAGAACGAAGTGCTGTTTGGATCAGTTTCATTGGCAATCTGTCGTACCATACAGAGTCTATCGTCCTCGCTGTCATCCGATTTGTTTTCAGTTGTTGATTGCGGAAAGCCAAGAAAGGATTCTGGTTCCATGCTGTTATATCTGCTGACGGGCGGCGATAGCTCCCAATGGAATTTCGCGTAGCGTGGTTCCAGCTCCATATCCTCCTCGTTCTTCTGACGATCCTGACCCAAATATGCCCGTTCCAACTGGCTTGGCGAGAATACGGGCTCAAAGGACATCAGTTCACAAAAGATCGCATGTTCTACGGTTCGAAATGAACACAACACATGATCTCTGTAGTTCCGTTCGAGTCCGTTATAGACCTGCGGCCAAGTCGGTATCGATAGAATACTCCACAAATGAAAGGCCACCTCGCTCAACTGACCGCCGCGTGTCTTCTGCAGGTGCTCTATTATGTTCAATATCATATAGTCCTGCCTGTAGCTCTCAATCACCTTGCTCTGTTCGCACTCCATTGGGGTGAATGGACAGTCCAGTGACAATTGGGCAGCTCCCCAGAGATAGGGAAGAAAGTAATAGTCGTCAACAGAGCTCATCGGATCTTTGGCAATAGGCAATGCATAGGTTATGACCAGACGACGGACCAGGTGAATATATCGATCGAATAGCATAAGCGCCGCGGCAACCGTATCCTTGGCTAAAAGGATACCAGCCCGGAAGAGGCCGCATAGGAAGAAGAGGAACATGAGCTCGTTGGCGGGACCAAAATCCACACTGGTCGCATTGCCAAATGAACGTCTAAGATATTGGCCCAGTTCGTTAATGTGCTTGCAATTCTCATGAATAGCATCATCCAGTTTGTTAAAAACATGCTGGAACATGTGCTGCATCCAAGTGCGGTATGATCGACTCCTTAACTGGCCAACTGGCATCGATGCGTTCGATTCATCTGCCTTTGGTGTATGTTCCACAAGAAGATGCTCTAAACCATCGAAAATTTCGCACAATCGTCGCATCTGCTCGGTCACCGGAAAGTCCCGTGTCAATCGATGGCCCTGAATGGCCCTACTGGTATTGCTGATATAGGCAATCGTATCGTGATAGGCCTGCGAGCGTACCCATCGGTCCAGATCCTCGAGGCTGCGAACCTGTTTCGATGGCCCATTCTGCATGAAAGACGATGCTCGGAGCACATGCACAGTGGGATCGGTCACATCGTAGCCGAGTTTGCTGCTCATTATGGTATCAAAGTCAAACACTATGTGTATTTTTCTTGTGTCGAAATAGGTATGAGTTAAATGTTTTCGAATTAACCGCCACAACCTACTAAAAATGCTTGAAAAGCACACACCATAAACCTGAGATGTGTGTGTTTACACGAACTGATTTTGTTATCTGCGTTTTTCTTCTTCATTTGCTTTTTAGGGTTTTCAGTAATGTTCCAGTAATATCTCAAATATTAGTTTGTAATATAAATAATCACATAACCACTTCGTAAGTAACAAGTGAGTTTACAAAAGTCCACATTTAACAAAATTTAATAGAAAAAAATCAACGTTTGCAACTCCGTTATCTTCATTCCGAAAAGTCTAAAGTATCTTTCAGAATTTGGGGTTGCTAAGGGAGATATTTTATTTAACTTCAAGAGCTTTCAAGAGTTTTTCTTTTAAACTGATATTATATATTCGAAAATAATTCCACAAACGAAATTACTTATGGGTGGTCGAAGGTTTCTATGATTGTAAAGTCATCTCCTTGGGAATATTATTTCCAATAGCTTTTATATATATATTTGGCATTAACTTCTTCCACTGAATAAAGAAACAACAGTCGTATCCTCATCAAAAAAGAGATATATATTCACTCATTACCTTTTAGTTCATAACTATTTAACAGATGAACATGGGTAACCCATTGTGGTCTGTCTTTTGGCTCATAATTATGCTTTGGTTTTCGTTTTGTGTGGCCCTAATTGGTGCTTTTTTCTACGTGTGGACATACATGTTTTCTCAATTTAGTAATAGCTTCCGGGTAAGTTGGTCATTTTGCATCATAACAAAAATATTAAACAAGATTATTAAATTCATTTATCCAACCAGGGCATCTCCGATTTCTTTCTAAAGTGCGTTCAATTTCCAGGATATTGTACTGCAGCCATGATTAACTGCCAGCCCATATGCTAAACTTCCTATGAATTATGATAACGATACGGTTTGGGCAAGATGATCCACCCACACTCAATTGAAAAGTTAATTCAATCCATTATGCATATACTCCTCCTATTGTTTCTATACTCGATCAATCCCAGATAGACCAATGAGACCAGTAAGCAATCCCATTAGAGAACAATCAAATTCGAATTAACCTATTGTGATAAATTATTTTTAGATGTGTTTCCATTGAAAAAGTCTGCTGAAAGCTGGGAAAACCAAAATAGCGACCGGACATTTAATTTAGCTGAGAGTTGTTTTCTATATTTTTCTATCAACAAGTGTCTGCAAAGGTGGAAGTGTAAATATAAAAGCTTTCTATTAGTTAAACCATCGACTTAGTTATGCATGACTTAAAAGTGCATACAAAATTTTAAAAATATCAACGATTTGAATTGGACCTACGGAAAATAAAGAATTGTATTCATTTTGTAAAACAACTTGCTTTTGAATAGTCCAAAAATAAGTTTATTAAGTTCCAATTTAAGAAGTATGTACACCGTTTCTGACTTACCAAATACCTAAGTCTGAACCCGAATTAAGCTAAAGCTATAGCTTTTGTTAGGTGTATAACTGTATAGCTTTAACCATACATAACGTAGGCGTATTGCCGAACTGGAACTACCTTCCGATACAGCTTAGTTTTAGAACACGGCAGCTGTCACGTTCCGCAGACATGACAAAACGATCATTTTGCAATTGTACACGATTTACTTTTCCATAAATACAATATAAACCGTTAAATGCCACATAACTTAGTAGTACGTCATTAAAAAATTACAAACTTTTCCTCTATTTATTTTTTCACACTTATCCCTGACTTCTCCTATGCAGTCATATGTCGTATTATAGTTTCTATGAATATTTTCTTTCTGTATCCTCTTAAAGGACGAAGAAGTTAGTCCAGACTTTGGTGAATTTTTACGGAAAGTTTTTTATATAGATATATATTATATATATATATTTATATATATTTACTTAAATGTGAGTTTCAAGCAGATCTTTGGACCAAGTAAGCAAACCATTTGTCTGTGTAAAAGAAATTCTTTGTCTCATACCAACGAAGATACGAGATACAACAGGAACGGCAACAGCAGAGAAGAATCGACGGACCGGGAACCAAAATAAATGCGCAATGCATACATGGAGCGCACATAAGAGTGAGACGGGACTACAACGTGACATTCCTTAAATTTTTGTTTGTGTTCAGGGAACATTAAAAAATATTTTTATCTTGTGCAAAAGAACCAACTTCTGATGGGAAGAATCCTTTCTTTTTTTTTTAAGTTTCTGCTGCCTTTGTCGCTTTGACGTTGCCGACGCTGCCGTGCTGCGCTTCTTTCCGTCTTCGTCTGGTTTTTGTAGTTTTAAAGGGAAGCCGAATCCCAATCCCCGAACTTTCTATGGAAGAAGGAAATGAGAAAATGCACAGTGTTTCTCGAGGAATTTTTCGAAACTGAAAATAACTCTATGGAAAAATGTGCCTACTAAATGTATAAAAGCCTTGACTATCTCTCCATCGTCATCTCCATCTGCAACAAGTTCATTTTTAACCAACCAAAGCAATGTATGGTAACATTCTTATTTATTCAATCTGATCAGAAAAATAATTTACGATAGCTCTGTGTTTGCTACAAGGCTATGAGCCAGGAAATAGTTTTTGAGATCCTAAACTTCTAACTAACGGACAAGAACACGGACAAGCCAATCAACTTTTCTATATTATTACCATTCTACAAACGATTCTTTGAGATTCCGTTTAAATCAAAAAGTTGCCTACGGTCTCACCTTAAAAAAGGTCCTCACTTTTTTATAATGATCGGAAAGCGTTCCATAACCAAAACGAATAATGATCTTATAGTATTACTGTAATGGACGATAGACTTTCAGCATATGCTTTCAAGAAAGAAACTTAGGATTGCTGACAACAGCAATTGTACAAATGTAATTCTGAAGGTATTACACTCGATAAACCTTCCAAAAGGTTTTACAAAGTATTTTATTCTGCTAAACTTATTATTATTTACAATACTATAGATCTTTCACCCCTTTTGCGGTAATAGCCGACGGTAAATGTGAAAACATATTAAAAAGAAACTTACTTTTGTACAAAAATTTGGAGTAATCACAATCCATATCGCATTTATGTGAAGCTCCAGGATTATATTGTTGTTACAGTTGTGGCTCCGATTGGCTAAGTTTTAAGTTTGATGTGTTGGGATCCAAACTCGAAGTGATTGATTGATTGATTAAATGATTGATTGTGCTGATTAGGTATTCACCGCACCTTTTACGGCGGACTGCTTTCTTGGACTTTGCAGAGATAGAAAAGAACACAGCTGCGGCAGTTTCTCAGAAATAACAGATCCATTGAAGGAGCTAGCCGCTCTAACCATTTTCCACCATTTTTCGAACGATGGATAAATTGGTGATATCTTTGGGTCGAGTTACATGACCATTGTGTTAAAAGCCCGGGTTTTTGGTTTTAATTTGCATTTATTTATTTTTGTTTAGGTTTTCCTTTTAAATTGTATTTTATTGACCGCTTATTGTTGGCGAATCATCTGTGCACTTTCCAATGATGACAACACTGCTTGTTTCGATTACACGGTTTTGTCATTACTGCAATTTAAATCCACTTCCAAATAAGTATATCGTGCGGTTTTTTGTATTATTCTAATGGATTTATATTCAGCTATTTACACAGTGGCAAAGAAAGCTGAGTTTACACTTAGGGACACACAAACTTTAAGGTGTTTATCGAATCTAGTCGATAGTTCGGCGGAATTACTCGCCATAATTAATTCTTTTTGAACTATATATGATTTAAAAGTATTTCAAGTTGTTTTAATGATATATATATATATATATATTGTGTTTTGTTTTCAACTTAAAATCGATGTTGTTGAAAAACTTTTATTATAAATGCACTGTAAAAAAAATAAATAAATAATACAAATAAACTATAAAAACAGGAAACAAAGTTTTTATAGGTCGGTTATACTTTGTTTGTTTATTATTATTGGTTAAACTCGCTTGAGTAGGTTTTCCCGAAGACGATGTGTTTTTTTGAAAGTGGGTGCAACAGTTGTGCTGCAATCAGCGCAAATGAAATCTCTGCGGTGATTCATAAGCTGTCAAATAAATGCACACACCACAACACAACACCACAAACAAACAAAAAAAAAACAGAAACGAGAAAAAAAAACACGGTGTAGAACAAAATATTGTAGAGTGGACGAAAAGCGCTCCGAATTACCTGCGCATTAACAATAACGGCGCGAATCGGATAGGATAGGGATACTAGACTACTATGCACTCTCAATATGTAACTGAGCACACACGAACGCAAATTTACACTGGCATACATGAAATGCAATTATTATTTTCTTTTCCACGGTCTGTTTCAGATCCGGTTGCAGCTTATGCGAAGCTAATTAAACTAAAACTTTGTTTACCCAACACGCTTATGGGTAGCCTCACACCGTTCCCGTTGCCGTTGCCGTAAAACAGTAAAACCGTCGAATATTGTGGGCTAATACCATGCGATTTTCCAGGCTATTTATAAGCAATTTGTCAGTTAAAAGATACATCTGATGATTTTCTAAAAACTTTGCGCTTATTTTTACCGGCACGGCTAAACACAGTGTTTGTACTTGTACACCAACGATAAAACAACATATCCGACGGGTAACGAACGGGATGGATGGAAATTCGGATAGAAAAGAAAACCGCAATTCTATTATATCTTTAGCTGCTGCTGTACTGTTGCTATTCGTTTATTTTAATTTTAACTAATGTTAACTAGCTCTCGCAATTCGAAATAACACACAGACGCAAACGATGGCATAAACAGAACTACCAATAAGAAATTATCTCAAAATGTATTTCAGGCAAAAAAGTAAAACAGTAAAAGCTCTTCTCATTGAGCATTCGCATTCGACCGACCAACCGACCGACCCAGCCGAACTGCCGCAACCGCCCCGAACAAAAAAGCAGAGAGCAACTGAGCGAGCGAGTGAGAGAAGTGAACGAGCAGAGCAGGCGTACATATGAGTTGAAACTGACATATACCATGCCGCCAAAAAGAGCCAGAACTGAGCAAACGTAAACCCCCAACTGCTTACTCAATAGACCCCAAGTGGTTAGCAAGGGGTACATTCCGTTCCTGCAGCCTCAACAGATTGTTGGATGCGCGTGTGACCATTCCTGACTTTTTATCTAAGCTTTAACGGAGAGCTCCAACTAACATAGTATATCTAGTATATTTTTATCAAGCTCATTCGATTAAGTTCCCACAATAATTTTGGCGGGATGTCTTTTTCTACTTTTTTTTTGTATAAATTAGGCTTATATATATAATTATTTTAAATATGGTCACTCTGAGACAAATAATAAAAACAATTTAAAATACATCAAATAAAACCTACACCTAAGCAGTATTTTTCTCTAGATAAAAATGTATATATATTTTAAACTACGTGGTTAGCATGAATGACCAGCCTTTATAATAAAGAAATTGAAAGATACTCATGGAAAAATAGCAGAAGTAAATGAAAGGAGAGGCATAGAGAGTAGAACAGCGCAAATGCAAGAGTGGATGAGGGAATGTTTACAGCGCATGAATTAACTTTCGATGTTTTGGCAAGAGTTATGGTACATCTAACCCCTACAAGGAATGCCCAAAGAATGTAAACGAATCAAACCGACGACTGGAGTAGGGTTAGGTCTATCATGAATTTGCTATCAAATACGTTGCAATTAACAATTTTACTTTGAAGCCGCAAATGCGCGCGCGTAATAGAGACAAAAGTTGAGCTATGTAAATCAGCGTTAAAAAGCTCTTAGCTTATTTCTGGTAGGACTGGGTGCATTGAACTTGTTTTTGTCTTGGCAGGTGCACAAAACAGGTTATACTTTAGCCTGTAACAAATTCAATGGCTTAACAAACTATTGGGTTTTTAAATAAAATTATGAACAAACATTGTTGTAGGAAGGTATATGATCCAATTCGATTGACTCTTCTTATTGGAAATTTTAAAATCCGATTAGCTGACAGTAAGATTTCCTTGCTTGCATCTTGCCAGAGTGTGAATAGGGTATTTAGTATTAATGCTAGATTTTGTGGTATATTGTACATCATGATCAGTTATTGATGACACAAATATAAATGGTAAAATTGTTAACAAAGGCAAAAATAGCAAATTGTGCCTATTTTCTTTTAAATTATAATAAAATTGCAATGCTTTGATCGCTACTGCCGGGCAAAACGATAACAACGATATATCAATATATCGATTTTAAACGGATCTTCGATACCTATGATAATAATTATAATATATGACTAAATCTGCAATAAAAAAGCCCCAGTCGGGCTGATATCCAATAAAACATTTCACCACTGCACATAAGCATATAATGGTGGAAAGTACCTGGAACGTCCTTATCTTATCGGGCATGGTGGACACGAGACGACCGCTAATCAAAATATAGAGTAGTGCTAACTCATATTATTGATAAACAAAGTAAAGGACGGCAGTGAGTTAGTTACACGCGCATTTATTGGCGAAGAATAGAAGCCAATACTACGGATATGTCTGAATCCGGAATTAAAAAGCTTAGTCAGGAGAGGACTCGAGAATGGCTGGCGAGTCAGGCGGCTTCAGCCGATGATGAGGAGTTGGAATCAATAGCAGAGTCCTCGGTAGTGGACAGTTTGGACTACGATTATACTGAAGACGATGATATAGATCAAAATACCAGCGAAGAAATCAGCACCTTGACTCTAGGAACACAAATCAGTGAGTAGAACTTGCACTATGTAATTAATAATATTCATTAACCTTCCTTGAAGCTGCGAAGAAAGACTCGATCATTAGCGATACAATAAGGGACCTCATGAACTCGATTAACAGCATTCAGACTTTGGGCAACGTTAACATCAGCAACTCAACGAACGTGCACATCGGCAATGTTACCAATATTAATGGCAATATACAAATCATAGCCGATGGCCTTAGCCGAAGAGATCGCCGACATGTATCGCCCTCGAAAGATAGTGCTCCTAAACCTCAGACACATTTTGATGATGATTATCAGGACGAGTCGGAGGAGAGAGTACGGTCGGATGTATTTATTAAGCGCCAAAGTAAGAAGTTATTCAGCAAAGAATTCCTAAGATACTTACTATAAGATGCCAATATCTTTTACAGAATTTAAAATACCTAAGGAGCTGTGCTCCATTATTCCGAGACATTCCTGGCTGGCACAAAAGCCCATGGAAGATCCGATGCCTTTGCAGCTCCCCGTTAAATATGTTGTAATCCGTAAGTGAATTAGTGTACATTTTTGTAAAATTATTTCAGTAATCGTTTATGTTTTTTATATAGTACACACTGCTACAGAGAGCTCAGAAAAACGTGCGATCAACGTAAGACTTATCCGTGATATGCAAGTGAGTAACCACACAATTGGGACTTTGGGAACAATTTCAAAATATATTATAAATGTTTATTTAAATATTTTCAGTGCTTCCACATAGAGTCGCGAGGATGGAACGATATTGCCTACAACTTTTTGATTGGCTGTGATGGAAACATTTATGAGGGTCGTGGTTGGCAAACGGTGGGTGCCCATACACTAGGATACAACAAGATTTCGCTGGGTATCAGTTTTATTGGATGCTTCATGCGAGAGCTGCCAACGATGGACGCTTTAAATATGTGCCGCAATCTATTGGCCCGCGGTGTTGAGGATGGCCACATATCATCCGACTATAGACTCATTTGCCACTGCCAGTGCAATTCGACGGAAAGTCCTGGCCGGCAATTATATGAGGAGATACAGACATGGCCCCACTTTTACAATATAGAGGAAGAGGAGGAGGAACAATAACAAATACGCTTTTTATTACATGACTTAAGTGCACCCGAGTTTCGTTTTACTTGTTAAAAATTAAATCACATTTTTATAAATTCGTTGGGAAATTGATTCATGATGTATAGGATTTAAAGGTATGTATACATTTATTTTAAATTTTTTGTCATTTCTCGTTAAGCTAGTTATGGAGTAAAAGTTTTGTAAATAATCTTAATTTTCTTGCTGGTCTTTAGGTGATTTCAATATTTACAAACCATCCTCCAATGAATGGCCTTTTGCCTCTAAAAATTTTATCAAAACTGGCCGTCAAATTGGTTTCTGCTTAAGTCTAATGATTAGTTGTCGGTTATGATCCATATCCATCTCCCAGGAATCCAATTATTCAAAAATGGTGATGTTTGAAAATAATATTTTGGCATCTCACAGAAATGGCTGGTCGTAAATTTAAAGATAGATCATTTTAGTGGCTGATGGACTAGACCAAGTGGTCCAAGATTTCGTCTCTAGAAAGACTAAGAGGGATTTATTTTGATATTTATTTAATGAAATTTGAGATTTCAAGGCAAGATAAGTGCTACAAACCTCTAGTCAACTAGTTTTATAACTTGGCTTCTCCATTAATATATAGTAGGTGTCAGCTTACTTTAGTTTGCTATAAAGTAAAGATTTAAAGATTTAAGAAGTAATTAAATTAAGTAAGTTGTTAAATATCTCAAAGTTTTAAATAGATTCAAGCTAAATATGCAGATAACCCAGATTAGATGGATGATGAGAGATTTAAATTCCAGCGTAGAAATACAGAGAAAAAAGATTTATTCCTAACAAGTGAAGTATCTCCATGTAGGTGGTCCATAAATCCTCAGTGAAAGAGCACTCCAATCAGAAGAAAAAAACAAGCAGAGCAGTACCTGGTCTCCAGGGCCAATAGACTGGGAGTGGTTCACAGCCGGCAGAGCTTAATATAACTTATTTATATATAGTCTATCCATATTGCATTCGAATACACTGCGGATTTTGGGGCAATTATACCCCTAAGCTTATATAATAAATATAATAAATCAAAGGCCACCTACCTTAATTTCCCGCTTTACGTAGTCCATTTATGGTATAGTAGGCATCGTCGTATGTATCCAGCTTCACATGTCATCAAAAATCAAAAATATGGATTTCCGAAAAAAATCCATGATGCACTGCATCTTCCTGGTGACCAGGTACCACCAATTTGATGGAGGATGCCATTAGACCACTTGGAAGCACTGTACTAACACAAACACACACACTTGAAAATGAGTTAACTAATTTTTCGGATGGCCACAGAGAGTACCTCATTACTGTTGGGCTAGAATAAGTTGGGAATTATATGTACCCTAGATGCACAAAATTTGTAAATTTCACTTGTCATTGAACTTTACATTTTTCCCTACATTTGACATTGCACTTTACATTTTCACTACATTTGACATTTAACTTACATTTTACATAGCCGTTGATCTTTAAATTTATACTGGCTTAAAAAAACGTTAGAATTCAAATGAATTCTTTAATTTTCTTTACAAAAATCGAAAATGCTTTTTGTGTTAATCCCGATTTCAGCCCAAAAATTGTAGTGTTTTGTCCTTAACTAAGGCTATAATGGTCCAAATATAAAATGCCATACCTTGTTGAGCTTGTATTTTAATTCCTAGTAGATCTCCAAAATAAATGTGATAGATTGGTTTTAAACTTAAACGAGACAAGCGTTGTTTTACTATTTTGGCAGAGAACTAAATTCCTTTACAAAATATTGGAACTTTTCGTCTGACTTCCTACTGCAAAGTTTTTTCTGACCTTCGAATCGGAAAATGTAATTCAAAAACATAAGATTGTCACACATAGATAGCGTTTTACCTGCAATAAGTGAAATATATTATTACGTACATATGGGAGTTGTTTAGGCTCTACCTCGGAATCCTCACCATTCGCACCTGCCTTGTAGGTTGTGTCACTAACGTCCAAAGGTTTTTGGTCCCTATCATTCAAAAATGAAACAGCAATATACTTCGCATAGATATGAGCAAGCTAGCACAACAAATCATATTTTGTTGTTAACAATGTTTAGATTACAGCCAAGTAATCTTTAACAATTTTTGGAGATGAAAAATATTTCTACTTAACGCGAGTGGTAATCCTTATCATAATTGTGGAAATCCATATAGCATCAATTGCAATAGAGATCTCCACCGCATTCGTCATCTGCGGCATCAAGACGTTTATAATCCAATGTATCATTTTTAGAATTAGTCTTGTACATTTATGCTCCTCTTTGCCAGGATAGTTACTTTATTCTTATAGCTTAATTAGATCCTCTGATCACAAAAATACATATGTACTTCATTTATACAAACAATTAATAAATTGATTTACAGCTGCATTTAACGTCTCTGAAAGGATAAAAGAATGATCAACTTTAAGCAACCATAAATATAATTTATTTAAATATACAAATCAATAAAAAAAAAATTGTAATTAAAATCAATCAATCGAACTCTTTATGAATTTCATTTCAGCAAATATGCTCGGATCTATCAATTCAGTTACATTGCAGATGCGTTCTCGCTCCAATACCTCGTCCTCTTCGCCAAGTTCGGTGCAGGTACCCCATTCCCTGGTTGCATTATCAAACTGTATAAGAATTGGGCCAAACTTTGGGCATACATTTATGAGCATAGATAAAACCCGTTTCCGGATATCTGCAGTGTCATCTCTATGCACTGGCCAGTTGCATTTGTAGGTGAAATCTCTTAGATCACTTAGCACCAACTCCAAATCAGATCGAAATGTGTGTGAGAAGTGGGGAAAAAGACTACAAAGCAAAGGACCCCGTACATTGCAAAACCTATCGTCGACTTTAACTAATGCGTCCAGATAGGTTGCGCCTATTAAGTGTCCTTCGATGCGGCACTTGATTATTTGCTCAACGGTTAGCGATTTAAAAAAACTGAAACGCTCAAGCTCGCAGTAGATAATTCTGCGCTGTAGAGGGGAAACGCTAAGGGAATCCGGAGGCTTAGCAAAAATAGTATCACCTTCTTTTTCAATTACCTTTCGAGTGTTGACATTCGTGGAATCCAGCAGTCCCTTCAGTTCAGTGCAATCTAAAAGTTCGTTGCCGACGGCGAAGTCCTGCGAAGGAGTGATGTGGGTCTCAGCTGGTTCAGGCGTTGGCATGTTTGTAGGCTTCACAGGTTGTATCGCCATGGTATTTGGAGAATCTGTGTTGTTCTCCTGCCCTGATTCAAGACGCACCATCACGCCCATTGGTAACGATTGGAACTCGTGCCTAAGCTGCGGCACCTTGTCGTTCATCAGTTTATATCGCTTACATTTTAATCCTGGGCTGGGTGCCCGCCGTTTTGTCGGATTAACAGGAATATTGAACGCTGGCGTCGGTGCATTAATCACCAATTCCTTAGCGGCTGAGGCTTCCAGCTCTATAACGTTTCCGACAGGGCCATCATCTTCCGACAGGTTGGTATTACTTAGCAACAACTCGACCATTTCCTCCGAATCTTGATTTTTTGAATTCGGGATATCAAAGCAAGACAAGGTCGATCCCTCGTTTTGGCTAGCATCCAAATCTATTATTTGGTCCTCGGGCGTAATATCTTCCCATTGGCAATCATCGCTCTCGCAAATTACACGTAGATTGGTAGGTAATGCAATGGATTCCCGCTTGACCGAGACCAATTCCGTCGACTTTACCACTGGAAGCAAATCCCCAGGATCCTCGGAAATCAGTGGATCCCAAGCCATTTGTGGTACTTGGGAAGCTTGGGCCACACCCATCACATCCACAAAATTCGTTTTCTCGAGCTGAGAGGACTCTGGAAGATCAGAAATTATTAGACTTAACTTCAGTACAAATTGGGATAAAGAACTTACCAGAACCAGAATCTGCACTTGAGGAGATTAAGACAGTCTCGGTTAGGACATTACCAACTTCGCCACTTATATCACTTATTGGCTCTGAAAATTAAACCATTATTATTATTATATTTGTAAAGCAAATACCAATTATAATTAAAAAGGCTGACTTAATGTAATTTCATCGAGAATAGGCATCACTTCTTCAAGTTCAGCATTCAGTGTCTCATCCGTTATCTGAGGTGCCAAGGGTATCCACTGATTGTGTGTCCAGCAGGATGCATAAAGTTTTTCCCTCTCTTGACACAGATGCACCACATCTTCAATTTTCTTGCCAGTCCGATTGGTGTAGTGTTGTTCAACGATTTTATCGAAATCCGAGTAGCAACTTAACTCCCAAGCATCCACTATTTTTGGAGATAGCTGGGCCAGTTCTAGCTTGTTCAGATATACTCCTTCTTTTTTATGGAATAGCCTCTTCAAATATGGCAATTGGATACAAAGGTTTACTGGCCAGTTTCCATAAGTCACAACGTGCTGAAAGCAAAGCTGCAAATCTTCATCGCTTAAATACAAGTCCCCTCCGTCGTGGATGTTCGTGTATTTGGCGAATTCATCAAGAGTTAGTTGGTTGAGTATACGCCAAAGGGATCCCATTAGGCCTTGACTTGTGTAGAGTAAGTATTTAAGTTTATGATGCTATTACCGGTAAAAAAACGATATTATTACCGTATTGTTTCTTTAAATGTTGTGCCTTACCGGTTCAGTTTCGGCGAAAAATATTGCCTTTGCTTTTTCAAGAAGGATTTGGGTGTCTGAACTTTGTGTTGAACTTGTTGCTCCTTCAGAGCTTTCTGATGGACTCTTCGGACGCGGAGAACTTCTTGGATTATTGGATGAATCAGCCTCGACATTTTTAGTACTCGCCTGCACTGCATTTTTAATGGTTATATTTGAAATAATTGAGCTGTTTTCTTTAACTTCTGATAGCCTTGAACTATTCTCATTAGAAACAGTTTCCAGCACTTTGTCTTCTTGTGTGGTAACTGGTATTGCAGGATCACTGCTGACTTTTTCAACACTTGAAGTTGATACCGGCTCATTTTCTTTTAAATTCTTTTCTTGAGCTGAACAATAAATTTTATATTTTTGTTTAAGATAATCTTGTTTTTTCGGGCAAGTGCTACCAGCAAATAAATATTGATAAAAATTATGGGGTTCGTACTTACCCACATCTATCTTTCTTTTGCTGCACCAATAAAAATTCAACTGTTAGCCTTAATGAAATTGCTTCAATGGAATATGTTTTACTTACCGAGCTAGTTCTGCTATCCTCTCGGCATTACATATGTCCGAAATGCTAGCCGACTTTGCAACTGTTTGTTTATTTTGTAATTCACTTCGCTCAATTGGGCCTTGGCTCTCCAGGTCCGGCACAGTGGCAGCTTTAGAGGAGGCAGCATTAGGCATCGCCTGAGGCTCTGTATGCGACTGGTTTTGAAAAGCCCCAGGCTCCGTGGTCACTTTCGCTTGGTGCTCAGTTATTTGCTCACTGGAGTAACATTTTATATAGAAATCTAGAAAAAAAAGAGACAATTTTATTTACCTTTCCTTGGCGACATCTTCGGTGTTCTTCTCAATACTCCTGGGAATGGCCAACTCCTGCTGACCTACCTCACATAGTTCATTTGAGGTACAAACTTGGCAATCTGTTTCCTTTCGACATTCTTTTTCATTATTTGGTGGAAAACTAAGCAAAATTTGTAGCTTCTTGCTAGGACATGGCTTAAATCGGCACTCGAATTTTTCCCGCATCTCTGGTCCAGAATAGAAGCCTTCGTAATAGTCGTAAAAAACCATCTCCTTGGATTTTCCTTTATACTCATCGCACAGCAGCATTTTATTTACAATTTCGTCCATATTGCTCACACGACGTTTGAACATTTCAAAAGTTATTGGATTAAGTCCACTCTTCTCTCTTGGTTTTTTGTTAGTACAAATCTCCGTTTTCCCAGTCACTTTATTTTCGCATTCAGGTATTAATTCGCTGAAATTAATAAAACTTGTAGTAATATCTATAAAGTAAATACACGTTTTAATATACCTTTCCTTTGCATTATCTACGGTTTTATTGTCCATATAAGTGGTGTCGGTAACCGTAACCGTAACACGACTTTTGAATATTTCAAAAGATATTGGATTTGATGGAGACTCTTTTGCGGGCTTTTCAAGAGTGGAAGCGACCTGATCTTTGGTTTTATTTGGACTTTTGCCTTCAACTTGAGGTGCAGTGGTGCGGGATACGGTTTGCATGGCTTTCTCATCCAACGGTTTAGCGGGTTCTAGTATCTTGGCTAGCATTTTTGGATCAGGGCAGTTAAATTTATATGCATACCTTTGGCGAACATCGTGGCGTGCATAGAATTTATAGTAATACTGAAGGAAAACTTTCTTGCATTGCGGATTCGAGGGATCAGCAATCAAGTCTGCTAGTTCAGCTTCATTTTGAGTAAGTTCTTTCATAAGAATGGGGCGGATTATATCTTTGTAATTTATATAACTACGAAAAGTTTTAAAAGAAACCGGAAATATAAAGCGTCCTCTTCTACGAATATAAGACAATTAAATTTTTACAAATAATAAAATTTCAATTTATATTCTTACTTTCCAATATTAATTTGTACATCGGTTTCAAAGGGAAGACTCCTAAAATTGTTTTATTTTCAATGTTTGAATATAATAATAACATAAATTTGTAATACTTACTCTATGGTTTTCATTTTATTTTCTTTTCCACTTTCTGACTGGTGTTCAGATCTCTCCGGAGTCTTTGACCTACGCAATCTGAGTGCTGGCTGAGGAGTACTCAACTGCGGCAGGATTTGTCCGATCTCGTAGGCAACCTGTATGCTGGGAATAGTTGGTACTTGGATGGACTCTTCGGTTGTCAAAGATTTTACGAGATTTACACTTTTATCTTCAGCACCAGTCTTTTCGGGAGTCTTAGACCTACGCAGTCTGCGTCCTGGGGAAAAAATAGGCAACTGCGGTAGCATTTGCCCGATCTCGTCGGCCATCGGTATGCTGGGAATGGTTGGTACTTGGAGAGACTCTTCGGTTGACAAAGATTTTAAGTGATTATCCTTTACACTTTTATCTTCAGTAGCAGTCTTTTTTGGAGTTTTGGGCTTACGCAGTTTGAGTCCTGGGGAAGAAATAGGCAACTGGGGCATGATTTGCCCGATCTCGTCGGCAATCTCTATGCTGGGTATAGCTGGTACTTTAACAGACTCTTCGGATGTCTTAGATTTTAGTTGATTATCACCCGCACTTTTATCTTCGCCAGTTGACTTTTCGGGAGTCTTGGACCTACGCAATTTGAGTGCTGGCGAAGGATTAGCCAACTGCCGCAGGTTTTTCCTCAGTTCATCTGCCACCTCTTCATTTAGGATGGCCAATAGGCGGGTCTTCATGGCATTTGTATTCGATCGCAGTTTATAGGCGTACATTTCGCGGATCTCCGGTGTAATGTAAAATGCCAGGTAGTAGTCGAGGGCACACTCCCGAAAGTCTTTGCTTAAATAATTATTATCAAGCTGCTTCATCTCCTCCACAATGTCTGATAGATTCAAGATATTTTTCTGGAACACTTTAAAACTGACGATAGAGCTTTGGAATATTTAAAGAAACTGTTAAAAGGAATACATGAGCGTAAGAAACTTAACATGCGTACTTGTCTTCCAGGGACTTCTTTGCTGCATACTCCGCGACAGTATTATATGCCTTTTCATCCTGCGGTTGGCCAAGTTTAACTAACGTACTTAAAGGGATCCCTGGCAAATCTTTAAAGAAGTGCGCCCTGGATTCTGTTTCTGGAAACATGTAAAAGAGGTTGTAGAACTTTCGAAGCGTGAGCAGTCGATAATTGTCGTCAACCAGAAGTTCCATGCACTTTTCCCTGCTTTTGGCGATCTGGTCAAAAAGCACAGCCTTGTTAAGATACTTTTCAAATATTTTAAATGATACAGGGAAAACAAAGGTACCACTTCTGCAAAGAGCGAAAAATGTAATAAGCGTTCAATATGAAAGGGATGACACTCACTTGTCTACTTTAACTATAACATCGTGAGATTCTGGGTGCAAGACTTGAGATGAATCTCCTTTAATTTGATCATCTTGAACCTCAACGTTAGATATTGCTAGCATGATTTCAAGTACTTTTGACTTCCTTTCTGCAACAGCAGCATCGGGATATCGGTTGTAAGACTTGCGTGCGGTGCGTCTAGATTTTCCTTGGCTTCGACATCTAAAACACTGTCATGTTATAAGTCTTCTCACTCGGTGGCTTGTTATTAGTATTCAATGTTTAACAATGTGCTAATATTAAACAGGACTCCATCCTGCCGCCAAAATAAATAATAATAAGAAATGGTGTGCCCGCGCAACAACTACTTTAAAATCTTATCGATAGTCGTATAATTATTATTGCATCTCTCGATAGTAGAACACATTTTTACATGTTATCGAATGCAAGCATGGATTTTGCCCTAGTGGAGTCAGGGTTTTACATAAACCGATACTAAACGATAGGGTAAAGGTCTATCGGCCAGGTATCGTCATTGCAATTGTTTTGAGGTGTTAAGACGTCAATTGATAATTACCAAATTTAACCATAACACAATTTGTTTATCAACTCGACTTCTCTAATAATAATCTTGTATTTGATAAGTTAGTATTTAGCCAGCCAAGTAAAGGCAAACAAGTGAAAAAAAAAACAATATGAAATGAGGACAAACAAGTCAGGTTTTACAAACAATACAACTACAATGTTATTTCAAGATTTTGTATTTTATGTTGTGCACCAGTTTTATTAAGACATTCTGTTGCATTTAAATGCAAGCTCTGGGCTTCAGTACTCGTATGTATACGATTCATGATGAGTAACGAAAATGATAATAAATGACCATAAAATACCTTGACAATAAAATATATCATGTGACTTCTACACAAATATTACATGGAGTGCATAAAAAGTTTAATTTTACTTGTTTTCACGTACATATGTAACAGGTAGGAGGAAGCTTTCCCGACCCTAACAAGTACACATATGTATGTGTATATATAAGTACACATAAGTGCCTATTTAGGTATAGCCCTGATTGAATTAATGCGACAATATTAACAATTTTCCGCTAGGTTTTCTCAGGGATTTGTTCAATGGAACATGGTCAATACATTAACCTTCGCTGAAAGGTCTAATGAGATGAGTAAGGGCGTAACTTTACATGGTTGTAATAGGTATCATACTAATAAATACAACCCCCTCGTATTCTGGATAGAAAAATGCTAAATGCTATGTAACTCGTAGGCTCCCCCTTGAAACTACGCTTTAAAAATGTAATTAAATTAAGTTACACTTATACTTAGTAAAAATAAGACGTGGTATCTTACACCTTACTTTAGACAAACTTGGTTTATCCCATAAATTTGTTGAGATAATGGAGATAACATAGGTATTTTTTTATCTGCTTAACATATCTGTTTTCTTCTTGTCAAAATTAATTTCCTCTTAAATGTTTTATTGTTACTTTTTGTTCTTCTCTTTGCGTTTAAGTCCATAGCCTAATATTCTCCATTAATCTATTTTTAGTTTAAAAGATTGACCAGCTATCAGCATCCTGGGCAAACCATGGAAGAGCCAAAACTGGCAAACTCACAGGAGCTGCCCACTACATCATCCGGGGCATCATCCTCAAGCACATTGCCCGAAAACGTGAGCTACGACAAGATCGCCTGGACTCGGGATATTACAGAACCTTTGGCGGAAGAGTCCTCTACAAGTCAATTGCGACCGCTTGGAACATCAATTCCATGTGATCCGCTGGCAGAAACTAATACATCCACTACATCGTATTCTTTTACGGGCGATTACCTTTCTGGTGGCAAGATTTCCGATTTAAAGTCCGGATATACGTCAGCTGGCACTGAAAGTGCCACGAAATCGACCGAAAAGGAAAAAGAAAAAGAGAAGGAGAATGATGAATCGCTATACGAGTGCAATATATGCCTGGACACAGCCAAGGATGCTGTGGTCAGCATGTGCGGACATCTGTTTTGCTGGCCATGTTTACATCAGTGGCTCTTGACACGACCCAATCGCAAACTCTGTCCCGTTTGCAAGGCTGCTGTCGATAAGGATAAAGTTATACCGCTCTACGGAAGGAATAGTACACACCAGGAAGATCCTCGGTAAATTTTCTCTTTGCCTAACATCATAATTGTATATTCAACATTTATTTTTTACTTTTCAGAAATAAAGTTCCACCACGACCCGCTGGTCATCGTACAGAGCCAGAACCTGCTCCTGGATTTCCTGGATTCGGATTCGGGGACGGTTTTAACATGTCGTTTGGTATTGGGGCTTTTCCTTTTGGTTTTATAACATTATTAAATTTTGGCGAACAGCGTCCTGCTGGTAAGTTCTTCTCTTCCTCAACAAAATTACATGACTAATTTGAAACCATTTAATATTTAGCTGCTAATCGCGGTACAACGCAATATGAGATCGAGACAACCCTTTCTAAGCTGTTTTTGTATCTGTTCCTTTTGTACATGGGTTGGCTGTTTTTTACATAACAATCTCCAATTGCATAAAAACATCACACTGATATAAAGAACTTATATTCAATTGTGCATGGAAAGCGTCCGAAGTAATCATATTGCAGTATCCTCCAGTTAAAACAACAAGATTTCTAAACATGTTGGGTAAATGTCGTTGGTGTAATTAATTAATATAAATGTAATACTTTTTGGTTAAAATTCTGCTCTGAGAATATCTAATGAAGAAATCGATTTGAAATGTGAAATCCAAAATTGTTTTAAAAAAGTTCAGGATGCCCTACGACGACTCTCAACATTAAAAACTGAAAGCTTAGTCATTTCTTCTGTTAGTTCTCGGATCGCATTGATTTAATTAAAAAGTAGTTGTCAAAAATTGTAAAAAAAATATATATAATAAACTCGATTAAAAAGTGAATGCCCTTTTGTTTTGATTACGTAAATTTGTTAGTAAGTAATAATTTTTTACACTAAAAAGATTGTTTCTTTGGTGGCTAAAGACAAATGATACGCACAAGGGACGTTAGCAAATTAAATTTACAGAACATTATGAATATTTAAGTTTTTTAAAAAATAGTTAATTTTATTGCTTAATTTAAACTGCACAACATTATTTTTAACTTGAAATGGCCATTGCCTTAAGAGCAAATAAAACACAAATAAAACTGGTCGCTACTTAAAATATTTTAGCTAAGCTGGGAGTTCGACGAAAGGGATTCCACGAACTAGATGAAACGCTGCCAGCGGGACGCGAGCTAGACGATGTTTTCAGATGAAGCTTGGGCTTTGCCGCAATACTTGTCGGACTGGGAAATCCGGATGAAATGCCCGATGAACTGGCTGCAGATAGCGTTGATAATGATCCTTTCGACGACAATGGCTGTAGATTGTTCAACATATGGTTTAGTAAGATTTTGATATTTATATTTTTATATAGAACATACCTTCAAATAATTGCGATCCATTGGCGTTATGACTCTCAGTTCAAGCGTAGAGCCGCAAGATTGTATAAGCTGAACTACCTGCTGATGCGAGTACCACTTAACGTCCATGCCTGCAATTTCGACTATGAAATCCCCTTCCTTGATGCCGCCAAGCTGTAAATTGATGTACCAATTTAGTTCCAATAGTCAACGATAGATTTCTCAACTTACGTCTGCCAGTGAATTGATCTCAACGTGGGCAATTATGACTGGGGCATCGCCGCGCACATGGAAGCCAAAGTTCTCAAACTCTTCTTTATAGAGATTAAACCCGCCGTCATGTTCATCCTCATCGTTGTCCGATTGACACTTGTTATTGTTGGTGGGTGCATTGTGATATAGAGATGATCCCTTTTGTAAGCGAACACATCGAGGCGCTGTCCAGTGGCGTCGAGCGGAAAATATTGCGATGGGTCCCAGGCGTTTAAAAGGATCCTTTACCTTATGTGATGTGAAATCGGGTCCGGTTAAGGATAACGTAAACTTCGAAGAAGCTAATAAGAAATAAGATTACATTTAAGATTTCAAAACATTTTGTTATCTTGTGAGTATTATACCTTCGACGACACGCTCTAAAAGATCACCCTCTTCTATATTATTGGCTGATGCTTGCAGTCTAAACTTCTCGAACTCCTCCTGCGACTTAGAGTGCACCTCCTTCATAACTTCAGTCAGGGATGCCTTGTTCTTAATAATTAAAGGTCATTAAGAAATATTTTTAAAGAAAAGCTATATAGTTACCTTTAGGTACCGGCACATACGCTGCAAACGTTGAGCTTCTTCGATACTAGCTAGAGCTTCCTTCAAGTGGGCCAATTTGTTTGCGATGGATGTGACAGCTTCTTCGCTGGTACCATAACTGGCTGCGACGCGTTCTACCTCTTGTGAGTTTCCAATAAAGGATTCCGATGTTAGTTTCGACTGGATCTTTTCCGCGGGCAAGGATGTCTTCAGTTCGTCAGTCGCATCTATGCTGCGAGCCTTGTAGAAATGTGCAAAAGCTATAATGGAGGAGAACCAGACTTTAGTATACTATTATTTGTTACTTTATTAATTTGTATAACCTTTGTAAAGTTCCGCCTTGACCGGAACCAGACCTGCCCAGCATTCTGGCAAATAGGTATGGGTATCATTTTCCTGGATATTTTTATGCATTTCATTGTACTCGTGCGATATCTGTGCAGCCTCTCCAGCTAAATCGCGAAAAGATTGGGAATCGGCCTATATATAAATGTGGTCATTAGTCAGTTTTGTACATGATCATATATCAAGACTACCCTAGAGATACTTACGCAATTGAAATCGGCCTGACCTATTGCCTCAATTTGTAGCTGTAATTTCTCAAAGAGACATTCTCGGGCCTGGGAAAGCATTAGCGAAACGAGGACATCAAGGACCTGCGGCTTCAAATCCATTGATGGTGCATTCGTGAACGTATCGTAGATGTGACGAAATACCCCCGCTGCTCGTAGAAAACTATCAACAGCTAGATCTAGACCCCGTTCGGTGGTGCGATCGTGTCGAGCCCCGATCTGAGTATATATCCCACCCAGATTAAACAAAGTGCATGCCTTTTCAAAGGCAATTGTGCGCTGACAAGAGGGTACACCCGTAAGGGAATCATACCACTCGAAATATACACCCAAATTACGATCAGGCGGAAAGAAACGGCGTTCTACGTAATACAGCGTATTGTAGTATCGGAAAAGTAATGCCACACCTAGGGCATCACGTGATGGCGTTTTGGATGCCTATGGATTAGTAAGATTTGGATACTATTTGTTGGTAAATTACCTTAGGATCTAAGCCAATACCTGTCGCGTATCTGTCATATCTGCTATGGCATCAATGTACATCGAGGGTTCTTCGCTGTAATGTTCCAAGATAAAATCGGAAAATGGTTCCATAAAGTTAATCTCCTTGGTTTCCTTCAGGCCCAGTGGAATCATAGGCATAATTCCATTATGACTGAAAATTATCGTTATTTTAAGGATAAATAAAATAAACAAATATCAATGAAAAAGGAAGATATTCGATTTGCATTTTAAAAACTTATTTAGCTTACCATAAATGCATAATATATAGTTATAAATTGATAATTGATAAAAAGGAAATCTCACCTTTCGCTTTGATAGATTTCCACCGAAGAATTCAATTCGGCAAGTTGCTCCTTCAGCAATTGCAGATTTGAATTGACGAAGCTTAGTTCCAGGGCAACTGTGTCACGCAATTTTCGGTTGGATGTGGCCTAAAATGAAATGGCATTAAATAATATATGTAGGTAAGTTAAAAGTAAACAAATTTTAAACTAAAAATATCCACCTTATACAGATTCTCAGCACCAGCACGTAGGCGAAGTTCCTTATTTATTTCTTTATTTAATTTGCAACGCCTATTTTGAAGTTTGCTACGGCACGTAGCAGCTCTAGGATCTGAACCCTGTAAAAATATTCGACGGTGTCAGTTATAAGTTTAAAAAATAGGTATAACATATAGTTATAATTTTCTGATTTCAATTTTTGCACTTACCCGAACAAAACAAAAGGATAATTCATTCGGCTTCTCGTCATCCTCGTTCTCCTCGTTCTTAACTGATTCATCGCTTTTCCCAGCCATGGCTCCAATATTAAACATTTCGAGATCCAATTGGACACCTCTTTATTGCCACAGCGTGGTTGCTTATACTGCCAATAAATATATGTATGTATAGAAATACATTATAGCCACTGTAACTCACTAAATACTAATCAGGTTTCATTTTATTTTCTAAATATTATTTTGTTTAGTTTGCTTTTCCTATGAAGCTTTGTTAAAGGCTTAAATTATTTTCTTGTATAACTGCCATTGAAATTCAACAATTATAAGATCATTAAAATTTTCAGAGCAACATTTAAGTTATAGGTGGTATAATCATCACAACATGGGTTTGTTTTATACACACAGATAGAACCGTATTTTTGTAGCCTTAGGAGGTCAAATACATCATTTGCTTTTTAACGGTATTCCCATTCGAGAACCATTTAAATAGCTTCAAACACATAATTTGGAAGATTATTTATATCGACACTATATAACCGTCAAAAAATAGTTCTAGGGCAAATTTGGCGAATATCAAAGATATATACATATATATATTTTTTATCTTAGGGGTCATTCACTATTACAATATGAACTTTAAGAGTCATTTGAATAAACTTCACTTTAATTAGTCGCAAATTCTAGGGCATAGTTTTTATATGTTTTCGCATTTCTGCCTGTTTTTTGTCCTAGGCAAACCCGAATATCTATATCTATCAATCGTTTTTGATATGTAAATTGTGTTTTTTTGTATTATTAATGGAAAGTGTAAGTAGGTTTCTCTATCAGATGAATTTAAAAAACCTGTTGTTTTGAATAAATAAGAAAACAGCTTTCTGGGACACCAAGATTTTACTTTTGTTTGGATTGGTATTTCTGGGACACCCCCAAATAAACAATTCACTTGAAAACAATAGGAATGCATTTCTTTTCAGTTTTTTGTTAATTGTGGTTTTTGTTTGCTTGTCGCCAAAAAACACCTGTTGGTCAAGTTCCCCATGTTGACTTCACGTATTCAACAGTTCATCAAATGTATATCACATGAACACAGTATTATCGTATCTGATCGGATCGTTGGGGGCGGGGGAGGAGTGGCTGATTTGTCACTGGTTTCACTATTTACTATTCACAATTTTATTCTGGCATTCCAGCGTCTATGACATATTTATCATAATCCGTTGTGTTCCACATCATCAGTAGCATACTTTTAAACTACTGTTATGGCATAATTATTATATACATATTAACATTGTGCAGCTATAAGCTTGTAAAGTTTTTTCCAAAAAAAAAAGATAAAAAAAAAAAAAAAAAAATTTCTTGGCCACAAATCTTCACAGGTTTTACCACATACTTTTAATAAATGTAAGATTTTTAGCACTGGCTCAACAGCATTTCAACCCAATATCAGTTATGTTGGACTTGTCTTCACTACACTTTCCACTATTACCAAAAAAAAAGCAACAGGTTACTGTTACCTTTGGACGACCAAAGCGCCAGGTACGAGTTTCCGAATCACCGTAAAGTCTCAAACTGGTTATTTACTCAAGCCTAACTACTCGCTGCCAGTGTGGCCATCGCATGACCGTTGTAACATACCACTGTTACCTAAAATTACCTAGTTTTAAACATTAAGAGTGATTTAACTAAGTTTATACATTAATATACGGTAGAACGAATTTTCTAATTACTCAATTATGATTTGAACTATTCAAAATCACATTAATTGGACGTTTTTAAGCGAAAATGTCCAGTAACTAATTGGAAAAAGGTTTTCTTAGCCTAGGGTAACCGTACACTTTTTTGAATTAGTAATTTATATGCATTTGTTTTTAAGCATTTAAATATGAAATAAATATGTGTGGACCTAAAAAGGAAAAAATTAACATAATTGGTATTACTTTTTATCAATTTCAGTGACTGATCGTAGGCATCAATAAAGCATTGTAGAAAAGACAAAGTATTTAAAAAGACGTTATTTTTCAAACAAAAGTTGGAATGAATTGTTTATACTACCTATTAAATACTACGAAACAATGTTTTTTCGTTGAAATAATTAAACTGTAAAAAGTGATCGATATTTTCAATTGCAATTCAATTTAGTATGTTAAGAGTTATGAGCGCCCAAGTGCTAATAAGTTTTTTTTTTTTATTAAAAACGAAGGCATTTATAACAAGTTTAACTTCCTAAAAGTTCATTTTTATTTATTTATTCAAGGGTAGTACGTCTTTTTAAATCTGTTTTGATTTTTACGGACATCTGGTCGGACTGCTCGTGGTACGTATTCCTTGTCGTGTTGATCAAGCCTTCTCTTCCAAGGATTGATATCAAGCTCAAAGAATCGACGTCTTGCGTCCATTGCGCGGGTATTGTTATCAATCTTGTATAGCTTTTCCCACAGGTAGATTTCAGGTATTTCTAAATGTCGCGGTCTATTTGAAGCCAAATACTTAAACGTTTTGCTAATAAACTCTCGTTGTTCAGAGTTCTCATAGGCGTTGATATCGGATGCAACATACGGCTGTTGCTCCTTAATACTCCGTTGAATAGATGGCGTGTTAACATAAAAGTTTAGGAGTTGCCGCAGTGCGGTATCATTGAAATCCACGCACTTTCCATTCGACGAAATCTCTGCGTAAAGTGGAAGGGGCTTTGTACCGCGACAGAAGTTTATACGTGGATTATCCTCAACGTTGTTGCCGTGTAACAGCAGCGTATTCAATTGATACTCGTAAAAGCTCCATTCCCTACCGTTTGTGATCACAGTTTGAGTGTTCATGGGATAGGTCAGTTCGTTATAGGTGTTAAAACCATTGTAGTTTGCCTGGGCCAAAAGCCATGCATATGATGATTTAATCGCCAGCGAATGAAGAGCTTCCTGTAAATCTCGTTCACCATATGACTTCGGTCTCAACTGCAGATGAGCCCGCGATTGGAACGAGAGCAGTCCAAAGTTGCGCTCAGTTCCTTTAGGCCAATAGCCTGGAACATTGGTAGCATGTTGATACTTGGTACTGTAACCAAGAGTTCGCGGGTCGTGCTTGAAACGAGGCAATTGTTTGCTCAGCTTAGGATCTCCACTTTCCGCCGACGATTTCCACGGCGTTAATTGCTTTCGATGGCGCAGTGAAAGATACGGAGTTCCCGTATATTGTACCAGACGATCAATGCTCTCGTTGGCCGAATCCTTTTGCCAATCACGACCTTTCTTTGAATTTTGCACGTTCTTGGGAGGATCAACACCGCCAACTGCCCAGAAGGCTTCGTGACGCGGATTATAATCAACCTCGACGTCATCCAGGTGTTTGTACTCCTCGCTGAGCACCTGCAGTAGTGTCCTGTTTAGCTGTTCGACAATTATCTGCGTTAGGACTCGCTCACGTTCAACAGCACTTTGTTGAGCAGATTGGGGTTGCTTTTCCAGATGCCTACGCTTGAAAATAAAAACATCTTCTTTAATATTAGACTGCAAAATGAAATATGTATGCCTTTCTAAACAAACCGAGTTCTTAACTGAGTTATTTTCTTGTTATTTTGTAACTTTGAAGAATATAATGAAAATAGTATTAGAACTCAGTTCGTGCAAAGTGTTTTATACTTCACCCACTTGTAGTAGTCGTGGGCGAACTCTAGGGCTTCAATGACATCCTCACGGGCCGTCTTGATAAGAGAATCCTCGCTCATTTTATCTCCTGAATCGACCTTTTCCGATGTAGATGCGGTTGGCAGATCCTCGAAAACTGTGCGCGTATAATGTTGCGTGAGCGGTAGAGCATTGTAGGGAATTTTGGAGTCGTTGAAATCGACCACCTTAAAACCATAATAGCGGGGAATATTTATTTTGATTATTTTCTCCTCTACCGTGGGAACTTGGCGGATTTCCTCATGCCAATCAGCCGTAGCCTTTTGCTTGCGGGCCTTAAATGACAGATCTCGAATTTCTGGATATGCCGGCTCTTCATCAGCCGGATTTAGTTGCAGTGATTGTCCGGCCAAACAGCGCTTGTACGTCGTTCGCAGTTGATTCACACGATTAAGCTTTAACATATCGCCAACCCAGACGCAAGTTGCGATTTATGTTTTCAAAGAAATAAAATTTACTTTAGACAATAACTAGGTTATGTCATTACAGCAGCAGTGTGACCGCGTCTAAGCAAAACTTGTAATTTAAATTTAGCTGTGTCAAAATAGCAACGGGCTCCATGAAAATAGCAACGGGCACCATGAAAGAGGAACAGTGATGGCTGAGAAATAGGGGGTTCTTTAAATGATTTGTAAACTAAAAGGTATTTTGTACTTTAACATGGTTTTACAAATTTTAATATACTGATTTATTTTAACTGATACAGAATCCATGGATTCAAATCGATCGCCAAATATCAATATTCAAAACTATCCAGCAAACAGGTGTTTGATTTGAGTAAAATGTAGAATAATTAAAAATTAATATATAGTTCACTCCTCCCTATAATGAGCAGACTATTTTTAATAAACTCAAATTATTAAAAAACCCTTATTTTCAATGCCACCGTTTCACTTTCGACGATAACTATTTTAGTATATTTTTTTTCTTCAAATTGTGGCATATTTGAACGGTCTTGTTGCGGTCACATTTGCAAAAATATGCACAATTTGAGTCCCAATATTCGCTTTAAAACGAGTTATTGAAGTAAACAAATTAAGAGAGCCGTTTATGCAAACAATTATTAATCGTATTCCTTACTCGCGATCGAAACGCTATTCTTGTAAACTGAAAAGAACTAATAGCAATATATCTACTGAGACGAAGCCGAAGTCGAAGCCAATGCCTCATTTATCCGCATGCTGAATCTGAAATTAAATCGGAAACTGAAACTGCAATTGGAACTGAATTTGTACCTAAACACTCCACCAAAATGAATCCCTGTGTGCTGCCCACTCCATTGCCCGATTTAGATGGGGATAAGCGTTGGCACAGCATACACCGCCGGTTTATCTCCGATTGCCGCGAAAAGGATCCGGATGTTATATTCCTCGGAGACTGTATTTTTGAAACAGTACAGGATAGCGAGGCGTGGAATCAATATTTTGCACCACTGCACTGCCTTAACTTTAGCATTCGGGACGATTGCACCGAGCACGTTCTGTGGCGCATCGAAAACGGAGCTCTGGACAATGTAAACCCTAAAATAGTGGTCCTTCATGTCGGCACGAATAATGTGAAAAACAGTGCAGAGGAGGTGGCCGAAGGCGTACTCGCAAACGTTTCAAAAATCCGTCAAAAGCTGCCTAACGCCTATATCCTTCTTCCTGTAAGTATATAGTATTATGAAGATATTACCTCAATCAGTTACCATTATTCGTTTTTATTAACAGTCATTACTGCCACGAGGACAGCAGCCCAATAAGTTACGCGAAAAGAATTCCAATATTAATGAGCTGGTTAATGGATTGACCAAGGGATTGTATCGGGTCCAGACAGTTGCCATTGACAATGGTTTGGTCCAGAGCGATGGTAGCATCAGTCACCACGATATGTTTGATTATAAGAATCTTACCAATGCTGGAGCGAAAAAAATTCTTGAGCCACTATATGATTTGCTTTCGCAAATTCTCAACGAAAACGAACCTGAAAACGATCTCACACCCTCCGAATAAAGGAAATTCCATCAGATATCCATTATATATACCAACCAGAGAAACAATTCCCAGAATATAACTTAACAAAACGTATTTTTTGAAATCTCAAAAGCAATAAAGCTGCGAGACTATCTCACAATTAAACATAAGTTTTCTTATCGAATAGTAAACAACCGCATATACCATTGCAAAATGATACTATTTTACATTATATTTATAAGATAAAGAAATGATTGTAATTGGGTAAAATACAACTTATCTTCAAGCATCAGACATATATCGTTTAATCATTAAAGAATAAGTTTTTTGTAATTATAAAATATTTGTGGCAGTCAAAACCGTATAGTAAATATAGTATAGCTGTTACCATCTCGTCCTTAGAAGAAACCTAATAAATATCTATACGAAGTTCGATTGGAGTTTGGAGCAAAAGAATTTCAGGTTCTGACAATAAGAAGTAAATTTTAAAACAAAAGTATTGTAGGGCATCTGGTAAAGCCTTTAAATTTACAAATAAAAGATAATGATGCCTCGAGATTTCCAATAAACACATCTTAAATTAATAGAACGGCAGACTACAAAGCTAAGTTTGAGAACTGGCAACTAGTTTAGTAGGCTCTGAAATTAAACGATCTAAAATATATTTTAATAGTGCTCAGTATCATATTTAGAGCGTACACAAAAAGCTAGAAAATAATTCTCAGGATAAGGCATAATTTAAATCCAGATACACAATGTTGCGCATTCCGGGAATGCCCCTTCTTCCGGGCACGCTGTTCCGCGATGTAAGTACCCTAAAATTTCTCATATTTTCGTAATAAATATAATAATAAGATCTGTAACCGGCTAATAAGGTATCTAAAGGTCACTATCCAAAGACGCAATCGTTGTCCAATTTCCAAGGACTTAGCATGTTAAGTGATCGTCAGCAACCGCCTCCAGTCGAATCAGGGAGCGTTACGGTGGACATCAGTTGTCCGCCAATTGGTGCATCTTCCATATATCCACCTCGATCGGGTCCTCGTATGCCACCCTGGTTGGCATACGACAAGAAGGTTCTGTGTTTCCATGCGTATTTCAAGCAAACCCTACAGGAGGTCTATCATGCCCCATATTTGGTGCGTAAAGTTAAGATTTATTATTATCTTGAAGACGGTACTTTGGAGATCTTTGAGCCACGGGTCGATAATTCGGGCATTGTCCAAGGATGTGTGGTACATCGCCAACGTGTACCGAAGGCCCCGCCCTGTGACAATGAGTTTATGTCGATGATCGATTTAAACGTTGATCAGACTGTTCAAATATTCGATCGTCAATATCATATTACTAGCTGTGATCAGTTCACACGGGACTTTCTTAATAAACGCGGCATAACCGTTCCAGATCCAGTTAAATCACCAAGGTCAGTCAACTATATATTTTATATATCATATATTATCCCCAGAATTATTATAGCGATCCTACGCAGTCGTTGAGACAGCGGGAGCTACAACCACGAGGCGGTAACACAGGACCAAAGGCTCATCCGTTTGCCCAGTTTCTAAAGTTTGATAGGCAAATTCTTAAGTTTCATGGTTACTGGGATGATCGAACCGAGTTCGGCGATGTACGAAAATTGGAGATATGTTACTATCTAGCCGACGATACCATGGAAATTAAGGAGCAACACATTCGAAATTCTGGTCGGGATGGACCAACCGTGTTTCTAAAACGTGCACGTTTAGCACGAGTAAGTATGATATATAGGAAGTATAATAACATTTAGAACAATTTATCCTTTTTGTTAGGAATTCGAGGGACTCCCGCTGCCAGGTCAGATGACCCCAATGACCCTGCTAAATGTTTTGGGTACAAATATGCGAAACGTACGCTACTGCGTTGATCCTTTAAATACGGGAAACAAAGAGATCCTCTACTATAAGGAGCGTGATCTGCAAATTGGCAGCGTGATAAATGTATATGGTCGTGCAGTGGTTATTACGGAATTGGATCCTTTTACCCAAAATTATTACCGCCAACGGTTTGGTATACAGGACTTTACACCTCTACCAATCCCAACCAGATCCGATGATTGTGCAGATCACAGAGTTGGTGAACGACAATTACCACCGTTCAATGGCTGGGGTAGTTATGAGGATTCGGTGGGCAATTGTATATCTGTGGAGCCCAAACCGCCGAGGGCGGATTTTAAGAAATTCATCAAATACGATCGTTACGTTTTGCGTTATGGTGCCAAAATGCTCTCGACCATTAAAGCAAATTGTGAGCGAATTTTCGTGATAAGCTATTATCTAGCCGATGATACCCTGCAAATTCAGGAGATTGCTGTTCGGAATTCGGGTTTCCTTGGTGGCGTATTCATGAAACGTTCGCGGTTGGAGTTGCCCGGCCAGGAGAGATTTTCGTGCAAGCAACCACAGTACTATATGCCTTGGAATTTCTTCATCGGCTCGACTATGTCGTTAAAGGATTTCATTTTTCATATAGTCTCGGCCGATGAATACACTCTGATGTATATGGAACATCATCCGGAGATCTTTACCCAATCAAATGTTGGACTTATCATGGACAAAGTTCGCAACTCCTTGCAGAATCGTATGGCCGAGTTTGTAGGTTCATGTGTTCCGGATTGTACGGACTTGGAAAAGAAACGAGATGTCTTCGTATCGTTTGAGAGCTTTAAGGGAGCCCTGATTGGTATCATTGGAAACCAGATCAGTGATCACGAAATTATCACTCTGTGTCGTCACTTTTCGGCGGAGAGGAGTCAGCCGAATGCCTGTAATAGATCCAACGTTCAGGCAGCAGCTCATTTGGAGCTAAAACGATCCTTGTGGAATGCACGAGATGATCTGATGGAGCATTTCCATCATATCAATCCAACGAATCAACCATTCCTGTCGGAATCCAAAGTACGTTCGGCTCTACGTGGTTGTCGCCTACCGTTTTCTCTGGAACTCATCGACAATATACTATCCATATTGAATCGTAATGAGTGCGATGATATCGAAATATGCGATCTAATGAACTTTATAGACGTATCCTGCGGCAAAGGATGCGCCATGGTCCCCGTTAATCATGCCTTCGAGCTGTGTCCGAAAATTCCATTCTTGAATAAGGGCCGTGTGGTGAACTTCACCTGTTTCCTGCGCGAACTGAATCTTCCCCTTAACCTGCCATCTGGTGGGGAAAAGGACCATGATACCATTGGAGATACCAGGATTTTGCCACCAACGGTGACATCAGAACCAGAGTTCCAAAAGCACGAAGATGAGCCACACGCAGCTCATCACTAATAACTTATAAAGATTGTTCCTAGCACACACATATTTTGTTCCCAAATTTTTGGTTGTGAATCATTTTATTCTGACTCAAAATATATAATTCAAAGTCGGTACTTTTTTTCGGGAATTATATTATTTTAATCAGATGGAACTGGAAGATGTTTTTTTGAAGGAACTAAAAATTAAAATGATTTATTTATTGATATCGTTAGCAGAAATAATCATTAGTTAGCAGAATAGTAAAAAGAAAGTAAAAAAGTAGAAAAAAGTATTTATTTTAACTTAAATATTGTCTTAAAAATTCATTTTAATTATATTTATCTTGGTGGTGCCTGACCAAAATTTTTATTTTGTAAAATAAATTATAGTTTTGACTGACAACCATACTTTTTAATAAGAAAATTCTTTTATGGCGTGCGATTTGAAACGTTTTATTAATTTATTAAATTTATAAACCTTTGCCAGTGGTATTGAAATTTAAGATCTTTAAAATCTGTTTAATAGGACTCGTAAAAAGTTGCTGACTTTTTTGAAAACAATACTAAAGAATTTTGATGTTTTATTATATTTAAACCAAAAAAAAAAAAAACAAAACTGTATGTCATGGAAATTTATCTAATTCCGGTTCGCTGGGCAATTGGAGACCTCAGTTCGATTTGCACAGGCTTTAGTTTCTCGATCAAACCACTGATTCGCTGGGCAATTGTGGCGCCTAGCCCGATTCTTACGGCACATATAGAAGCGACGGCAATGCCTGGGATCGGTGAGGTAGACTCCATCTTCGATACCACGGCAGTCACGAGAGGATCTCAATACATCGATTCTTTCAACTGGCGGCTGAGCAACCTCAATAATTTCATGATTGTCATTATCATCATCCTCGTTATCCATGTTATGTCTTATGGGTACTTTTGATTTCTTTATATTTATGGATTTAGGTGTCGTTGGAATTATAGCTTTTTCTTTGTGAACTTTTTGTATTTTTTTTGGTGGACTCGCTGTGGTCGGTGGGCAGTATGTGGTTACCGGTACCTCATCCTTCGCTTTTCCATCCGGCAGCACCGATGTCTGATTGACTTGAGTTGGCCCAAGTAGGGTAACACCTCGATCCCCGTTGAAACATTTTATGAGTCCGGGCAGATTGCAACTTTGTATTTTGGGATCGAAGTAAAGACCATTAGAACACTCCCGCCTGATGGCCTTACCACGCTGGCAGACATAGAAACTGGAGCAACTTGCTGGATCAGCAAACGAAAGATCATTAAATATATCCGCACAAATGGTAGTGAGTGCCTTGATTAATGGAACCGCTGAGTATAGTAGGACCACGAGCGTTACAAGGTGTAAATTGCCTGAAGATATATAAAAAAATATACATTTGTCCATTATGAAATAAATAAGTCACTTTCCATTGATGGAAATTTTAAGGTATGTTTAAATCGTTTAAGCATTTAAGTTTAAACCCATCCCTAGAACATCTATGACAGTTCTAATTTCCATCAATCAAGATTCGTTTGGTTTTTGCCTTATTGATTTAATATATCCAAATCCGATGTATTTATCATATGATTGCCGTCCAAAAGATATATTCCATATTCACTTTCAATTTTAATTACCGGTCGATTTCTTAAGAACATACCAACATTCATATTGGTAAAAACAGCTCGCAGTTTTCGTTTTAAGAACGAGACAATTGTACCATTGACTCGTTTTTATAGTCGACGGCTGGTTCTTATCGATATAGGTAGACAGTTACATGGGGGACGCCAGCTATTGAAAAGAACATGGCCAAAACAAATAGTTTTTGCGCGTGCATCGGAACTAGCGTTTATCATAAGTAAAACCATTAGGAAATTAACAGGGAATATCTTTTTACCTCAATGCGCTTCCTTTAAGAAATTTTTTTTTTGGTAATACATTATTTATATGCATTCTAAAACGGATAAGATTTGTATAAGAAAGGAATAAAGTAGATTATAGAGTAGACCATACCTCCAAATTATACATACAGTAAACGACAAGGGTTTGGTCCAAATGAGGAATGTAATACCTCGTAGGGTTCGTAACTTGGTTGGCATGATTCCCAATTGATTTTCACTTAAATCTGGGAAACTTAATTTTTGGCCCATATTTGAAAATTTTGATCAAAAAAGCGAAATTTGGGCCAAAATTGATTTTCCCAAAATCGAAAAACGAGTGATAGGGGTAGTAAGTGTTGGTCGTTAGCAGCACGAAACAGTCGTTCTTTTGGCTGTGCGTCTTGTTTTGACTGAGCTAGAGCTAAAACACCGAAAATATTGCTTAAAATCGGGTTTTCAGCCCTTAAAACAGAGCTCGCACAAAGAAATCAGAACAATAATGATAAAAGCAAGTATAGGGGTGTTATGTTTTGGTAGAAAGCTGTAAAAAACAGTCGTTCTTTTGGCTGTGCGTCTTGTTTTGACCGAGCTAGAGCTAAAAAACCGAAAATATTGCTTAAAAATCGGGTTTTCAGCCCTTAAAACAGAGCTCGCACCAAGAAATCTGAACAATAATGATAAAAGCAAGTATAGGGGTCTTAAGTTTTGGTAGTTAGCTGCAAAACACAGTCGTTCTTTCGGCTGTGCGTCTTGTTTTGACCGAGCTAGAGCTAAAAAACCGAAAATATTGCTTAAAAATCGGGTTTTCAGCCCTTAAAACAGAGCTCGCACCAAGAAATCTGAACAATAATGATAAAAGCAAGTATAGAAGTTTTAAGTTTTGGTAGTTAGCTGCAAAAAACAGTCAGTGTTTCAGCCATGCAGCTTATTTTGACAAAGTTAGAGCTAAGGAACTGCAATAAGCCGCGCTCTCTGCTGTCAAAAGACGTAGCATAATCTTCCGCACATTAAAAAATCAGTTCTTTGGGCATAGCACAGCCAAAAATGGTCCAAATGAGGAATGTAATACCTCGTAGGGCTCGTAATTTGATTGCTATGACTCCCATTTGGTTTGCATTCAAATTTGGGAAACTTAATTTTTGGCCCATTTTTGAAAATTTTGATAAAAATGCGAAATTTGGCTCAAAATTGATTTTCCCAATATCGAAAATTGAGTGATAGGGGTAGTAAGTGTTGGTCATTAGCAGCACGAAACAGTCGTTCTTTTGGCTGTGCGTCTTGTTTTGACTAAGCTAGAGCTAAAAAACCGAAAATATTGCTTAAAAATCGGGTTTTCAGCCCTTAAAACAGAGCTCGCACCAAGAAATCTGAACAATAATGATAAAAGCAAGTATAGGGGTCTTAAGTTTTGGTAGTTAGCTGCAAAAAACAGTCGTTCTTTCGGCTGTGCGTCTTGTTTTGACCGAGCTAGAGCTAAAAAACCGAAAATATTGCTTAAAAATCGGGTTTTCAGCCCTTAAAACAGAGCTCGCACCAAGAAATCTGAACAATAATGATAAAAGCAAGTATAGAAGTTTTAAGTTTTGGTAGTTAGCTGCAAAAAACAGTCAGTGTTTCAGCCATGCAGCTTATTTTGACAAAGTTAGAGCTAAGGAACTGCAATAAGCCGCGCTCTCTGCTGTCAAAAGACGTAGCATAATCTTGGGCACATTAAAAAATCAGTTCTTTGGGCATAGCACAGCCAAAAATGGTCCAAATGAGGAATGTAATACCTCGTAGGGCTCGTAATTTGATTGCTATGACTCCCATTTGGTTTGCATTCAAATCTGGGAAACTTCATTTTTGGCCCATTTTTGAAAATTTTGATGATGGTACCCCTTATCAAAAATGCGAAATTTGGCTCAAAATTGATTTTCCCAAAATCGAAAATCGAGTGATAGGGGTAGTAAGTGTTGGTCGTTAGCAGCACGAAACAGTCGTTCTTTTGGCTGTGCGTCTTGTTTTGACTGAGCTAGAGCTAAAACACCGAAAATATTGCTTAAAATCGGGTTTTCAGCCCTTAAAACAGAGCTCGCACCAAGAAATCAGAACAATAATGATAAAAGCAAGTATAGGGGTGTTATGTTTTGGTAGAAAGCTGTAAAAAACAGTCGTTCTTTTGGCTGTGCGTCTTGTTTTGACCGAGCTAGAGCTAAAAAACCGAAAATATTGCTTAAAAATCGGGTTTTCAGCCCTTAAAACAGAGCTCGCACCAAGAAATCTGAACAATAATGATAAAAGCAAGTATAGGGGTGTTATGTTTTGGTAGAAAGCTGTAAAAAACAGTCGTTCTTTTGGCTGTGCGTCTTGTTTTGACCGAGCTAGAGCTAAAAAACCGAAAATATTGCTTAAAAATCGGGTTTTCAGCCCTTAAAACAGAGCTCGCACCAAGAAATCAGAACAATAATGATAAAAGCAAGTATAGAAGTTTTAAGTTTTGGTAGTTAGCTGCAAAAAACAGTCAGTGTTTCAGCCATGCAGCTTATTTTGACAAAGTTAGAGCTAAGGAACTGCAATAAGCCGCGCTCTCTGCTGTCAAAAGACGTAGCATAATCTTGGGCACATAAAAAAATCAGTTCTTTGGGCATAGCACAGCCAAAAATGGTCCAAATGAGGAATGTAATACCTCGTAGGGCTCGTAATTTGATTGCTATGACTCCCATTTGGTTTGCATTCAAATCTGGGAAACTTCATTTTTGGCCCATTTTTGAAAATTTTGATGATGGTACCCCTTATCAAAAATGCGAAATTTGGCTCAAAATTGATTTTCCCAAAATCGAAAATCGAGTGATAGGGGTAGTAAGTGTTGGTCGTTAGCAGCACGAAACAGTCGTTCTTTTGGCTGTGCGTCTTGTTTTGACTGAGCTAGAGCTAAAACACCGAAAATATTGCTTAAAATCGGGTTTTCAGCCCTTAAAACAGAGCTCGCACCAAGAAATCAGAACAATAATGATAAAAGCAAGTATAGGGGTGTTAAGTTTTGGTAGAAAGCTGCAAAAAACAGTCGTTCTTTTGGCTGTGCGTCTTGTTTTGACCGAGCTAGAGCTAAAAAACCGAAAATATTGCTTAAAAATCGGGTTTTCAGCCCTTAAAACAGAGCTCGCACCAAGAAATCTGAACAATAATGATAAAAGCAAGTATAGGGGTGTTAAGTTTTGGTAGTTAGCTGCAAAAAACAGTCGTTCTTTTGGCTGTGCGTCTTGTTTTGACCGAGCTAGAGCTAAAAAACCGAAAATATTGCTTAAAAATCGGGTTTTCAGCCCTTAAAACAGAGCTCGCACCAAGAAATCTGAACAATAATGATAAAAGCAAGTATAGAAGTTTTAAGTTTTGGTAGTTAGCTGCAAAAAACAGTCAGTGTTTCAGCCATGCAGCTTATTTTGACAAAGTTAGAGCTAAGGAACTGCAATAAGCCGCGCTCTCTGCTGTCAAAAGACGTAGCATAATCTTGGGCACATTAAAAAATCAGTTCTTTGGGCATAGCACAGCCAAAAATGGTCCAAATGAGGAATGTAATACCTCGTAGGGCTCGTAATTTGATTGCTATGACTCCCATTTGGTTTGCATTCAAATCTGGGAAACTTCATTTTTGGCCCATTTTTGAAAATTTTGATGATGGTACCCCTTATCAAAAATGCGAAATTTGGCTCAAAATTGATTTTCCCAAAATCGAAAATCGAGTGGTAGTAGTAAGTGTTGGTCGTTAGCAGCACGAAACAGTCGTTCTTTTGCTGTGCGTCTTGTTTTGACTGAGCTAGAGCTAAAAAACCGAAAATATTGCTTAAAAATCGGGTTTTCAGCCCTTAAAACAGAGCTCGCACCAAGAAATCTGAACAATAATGATAAAAGCAAGTATAGGGGTCTTAAGTTTTGGTAGTTAGCTGCAAAAAACAGTCGTTCTTTTGGCTGTGCGTCTTGTTTTGACCGAGCTAGAGCCAAAAAAATCGAAAATATTGCTTAAAAATCGGGTTTTCAGCCCTTAAAACAGAGCTCGCACCAAGAAATCTGAACAATAATGATAAAAGCAAGTATAGAAGTTTTAAGTTTTGGTAGTTAGCTGCAAAAAACAGTCAGTGTTTCAGCCATGCAGCTTATTTTGACAAAGTTAGAGCTAAGGAACTGCAATAAGCCGCGCTCTCTGCTGTCAAAAGACGTAGCATAATCTTGGGCACATAAAAAAATCAGTTCTTTGGGCATAGCACAGCCAAAAATGGTCCAAATGAGGAATGTAATACCTCGTAGGGCTCGTAATTTGATTGCTATGACTCCCATTTGGTTTGCATTCAAATCTGGGAAACTTCATTTTTGGCCCATTTTTGAAAATTTTGATGATGGTACCTTATCAAAAATGCGAAATTTGGCTCAAAATTGATTTTCCCAAAATCGAAAATCGAGTGATAGGGGTAGTAAGTGTTGGTCGTTAGCAGCACGAAACAGTCGTTCTTTTGGCTGTGCGTCTTGTTTTGACTGAGCTAGAGCTAAAACACCGAAAATATTGCTTAAAATCGGGTTTTCAGCCCTTAAAACAGAGCTCGCACCAAGAAATCAGAACAATAATGATAAAAGCAAGTATAGGGTTTTAAGTTTTGGTAGTTAGCTGCAAAAAACAGTCAGTGTTTCAGCCATGCAGCTTATTTTGACAAAGTTAGAGCTAAGGAACTGCAATAAGCCGCGCTCTCTGCTGTCAAAAGACGTAGCATAATCTTGGGCACATTAAAAAATCAGTTCTTTGGGCATAGCACAGCCAAAAATGGTCCAAA